CGACATGGTAACGAAGAAGGTCGACGGCGATCGCCTCAATACTCCGCTTGATCTGGAATACCCGCAAAACGACCAAGAAGCCGAAGAATACGTCGTTGACGTGGTACTGAAGTATCTGCACGCGGCAAAGAACCCCGTCATTCTTGTAGATGCATGCGCTATCCGCCACCGAGCATTGAAGGAGACTCACGAGCTCATCAAGAAATCTGGAATACCCACTTTCGTCGCCCCAATGGGAAAGGGTGCGGTAGACGAGACTCTGCCGAACTACGGTGGTGTTTACGCCGGAGACGGTTCAAACGCTGGTGTGCGTGAACGCGTGGAGTCGTCCGACCTCGTACTCAGCATTGGTGCTATTAAATCCGATTTCAACACTGCAGGCTTCACCATCCGCATGTCTCAGCTCACGACTATCGACCTACACAGCTACGGATGCAAAGTACGATACTCGGAATACCCTGGTGTTAGAATGAACGGCGTGCTTTCCAAAGTCACAGCCAAGCTTGGAAAGCTGAACATCGAATCTGGGCCTAACCCGAACAACAACGTCCCAGACAAGGAGACTTCATCGACAGAACCAACCATCAAACACGCCTGGTTCTGGCCAAAGCTTGGTCAGTGGTTGAAGAAGGACGATGTCCTGATCACCGAGACTGGTACCTCCAACTTTGGCGTCTGGGAGACTCGCTTCCCAGCAGGCGTCAACGCCATCTCGCAAGTCCTCTGGGGCTCCATCGGTTACGCAACTGGCTCATGCCAAGGCGCTGCCCTCGCCGCAAAAGAGTCAAACATCAAGCGCACCATCCTATTCACAGGTGACGGCTCCTTCCAACTTACCGCTCAAGAAGTCTCCACGATGATCCGAAACAAGCTGGCTCCCATCATCTTCGTCATCTGCAACAAGGGCTACACAATCGAGCGACTCATCCACGGATGGGAAGATTCCTACAATGACGTCCAGGAATGGAAGTACAAGGACATCCCCCGCGTCTTCGGTGCTGAAGAAGGCAGTGTACTCACATACAGAGTGGAGACGAAGGAGGAGGTTGAGAAGCTGTTCCAAGATGAAGAATTCAGCAGTGGCGAGACGCAGAAGATGCGGTTTGTTGAGTTGGTCATGCCGTGGGACGATGCCCCGGCGGCTTTGAAGGCAGTTGCTGCTGCGGCGGCTAAGACAAATGCTAGTGCGGAGTAGACAATGGATCGAAGGAGCGACTGATGATTGACGATGTATTAGCAAGGCGAAGACAATAGGGTATGGCATTGCGTAGGATTCTCTTCTCTTATACGAATGATGATAACATGACTCTCTTCATGTACAAAATTCCCGTTGATACTTGCATGTCGTCTTCATAACATCAGCCTTTTATTGCTGTGGCCCCCTACGAGCACGTCGTCGCCGTCCACATCCACGGCAAACGTCAGAGAGAGAGTTTTATTGATTCCTACAGTTGCATACAGCGAATACAAGGTGTTGGAAATACACCTGCATTGAGATCACTATATAGAGTTACCGACTGCGTTTTGTTGCCTTGCTCTGCATCAACACTTCACCGTAATAACATCAGCCTTTGTGGCCACAGAACCAGACAGCAGCTATCGAGCTAAACTTCCATACTCATGACGCTGGCGTCGCCTCTGCGTCTTAGGGGTCGTCATTACCCACATCCTTGTCCCCATCCTGACCTTTATCCGCAGCCTCGTTCCTTTGCTCATCTGTAAATGGGTTCTGGTTCCGACCCTGGTCCTGGTTGTGGGCATTCGCCGCGTTCTGGCCGTAGAAGCTCCATACCACATTCTTCCAGTGGTCTGCAGTAATCGTCTTACCAGCAAACATCTTGAGCATGTGCGAGAACTCGTCGTCAGAAAGACTACCCTGAGGAGGCACATAGGAGGACCCATCAACTGCAGGGGTGTGCGAATCTGCAGATGGCGCATCGGGTGTCTGTGGGCGAACTCGCTGCAGTGTGTTTTGATACTCCAGATGGTTAACGGACTCTCTAAGACGGATGTAGAGTTGGTTCATGGCGTCGACCATGTCGCGGGTGTCGTTCTGTTGGTCTTCTAGCGCTTTGATACGGGCTTCCATGTCTGTATTCGCTGCAGCACCGGTAGTAAGACGTCCAACACCTGCATCATGATCTTTTGAAGTGGAACGAGAGGGGTTCAGGCCATGTCCCTTCTGATTTTCCATCTTTCCCGTAGCTGAGATAGGCTGGAAGGCGACTACCTCACCGTCTGTGTTCTTGATTTGGATAGCACGTACAGAGCGGGCGGGCTTTGGAGTCGCTGTCACGTGGTTCAATTGACCAGCCTGGTTCTGAGCCGCGTAACGAAACGGATCCCTAGAGGAAGAAATTGATGGGGAAGAGCGGGTGGGCAGAGACATCCTCGAAGCCTCATCCCCCGCGCGACCAGCTTGTCGATCGGCCCCCAGACCAGGGAACTCGTCTATTGCTTGGTCGGCGTCACGCTGAGAGCGTTCGTCTTGGGGTATGCTAAGGCCTGGTGGGAATACGGCGCTTGGTCGGGGTTGATTGATTGTGTTTCCATGTACACCGACTGTCAACCTGCCGTTGAAGTCCTCGCCAGATGGCTGTCTGCCAATCGCACTGTTGAGTCCCATCCTGCCAAACGGAGACAAGCCGTCATTGATGGAAGGGCTGCGATCTGGCGCAGGTCCTGCAGCGCCACTGTTGTGCCCACCGCGGTTGTTGGTGCGCTCAGTTCTGTTCGAGCCTCTGCCTCTTCCCTGTCTTCCCCTTCCAGACTCATTGCGACGGTCACGCGACTGTGTATCGCGAGGACCCGTAGGCGCATTTGCTGGTGGGGCGGGGGGATCTGGTTCATTATCGCTATTCACGCCGCCAGGAGCCCACTTTGAGCTGTTCATAGTCCTTCTGTTGTGATTCCGCGTGGAGTCGTGCTTGTGTGTCAAAGAGTGTGACTGATCCGAGTTGGAATGCGGGGTGAGAGCCCGAGCTGGTGCTTAATGTAGGAAAGAGCAATCGCGTCAAGGAGAGCAAGCAGATTTGCTCAAGCAAGCAGTGCGAAAGGAGTGGAAAATGAAGTACGAGACTGGAAGTGTAGCTCAAAGTGCGTAAAAACAGTCAGCAGGCTCGCGCTTTGAGTTAGCGCAGGGAAACAATACGTCAGCTCAGCTCGCGTTTGCTGTGTCGTGTGCGCATTCTCAGTTCGCCATCTGGATTTTGTAGAACTAACGGGTCGAGGTTGGACGGACACATACAAGGACCTTAGATCGACTCTCGGATCCTGTGAGTAAGCAAGTCTGATCTATCCACTTCTTTCTCATGCGTTGTATTCTTGCATGCGAATGCAATCCATATGTATTCATCTATCGTTCCCTCGTATTATGTTCATGTACCAGCCACCTCTTTTTGTCCTTTTCTCAACATGTCCTTATTATACTCATCTTCTAATCCTAGACTCTTCCTTTACAAAGCGATAGCAAAACCCACGGCTACGACCGCAGTGCTAATCGCGGTCCACAATGTCCTGCCACCAATCATGGCGCCACTCGCGTCACCCGAAGCAGGGCCGCTCGAGCCCTCGCCATCTCCCGTTGGGCTCGGCCTCGGGGGTGGGAAGCTTGTGTTGGACGGCACGTCGGTAAGGTTCTGTACGGTAATCCAGGTCGCCGCCAGAGCAGTCGTCAGGTTCGCGTCAGCCGCAAACTGGCTGACGTTGAAGCCGACCCTGTTGTCCGCCAAGTCCGCGTACATGGAGGGTATGCTGAAGTTGCGCGGTTGCTGCATGAGGATGAATGTGTAGCTGTGGGGGCTGTCACCCACTGGAGGTGAGGGCTGGAGGTATGGGACGGGGTTGTCCGACGGAATGTCGAGGGCTGAGCCAGTTGTGTTCGCGGAGATGGGAACAGAGCGCGTGACGTTGGTAGCGATCCAGTGGACTAATTGGACGCGTGAGTTGTTACGGGGCACGTCGAGGTCGACCATGAGGAGGACGCATTGGCCGGGGCCTCGCTCGTCGGAAAACCATACTGGCGACGAGACGGTTGGGGCTGCTGCGGTTTCTGGTGGTGATGAGTGTTAGTTGGTGTGTAGCAGTACTCGGCTCGACTGCGCCGCGACGACAGTGGATGGAACGTACCGGGACGAGGAATGCGCTCTCCGCCGGGCGACACGGTATTGTTGCCGTACGTCACGGTCAAGTTCTGAGTGACGTCGATAGGAAAGCCAGGCGCTGATCCCGCTGTCGCAACACGTGCGAGTAGCGCAGTCGCGCTGAGGACGGTCTTGGTGAACATGGTCGGTGTCTTGGCTGGTGTTGTAGTCGGCGTTGTTGTGGAGCAGGTCGTACTGTTGTGATGTAGTTGATGCTTGATGGTCGAAAAGCAACGGGCGCAAGCAGCTTCTTTAGTATTTTGGCTGAACCTGCGTCGGCTGCGGGAGCGTAGGGCTTGATGCGCAGCTAAAGGCCTATTTCCGTGTAGCCGGCGTGACAGCAGAGGTTCATGACGTTTACCAAGACTCGGTCCCTTGCTCGGGGTATCGCACGGCCAGCGGACGGCATCCCGGCACAGCTCAAGAAAAGGCTGGGGCTGGCCGCCTGAGGGGCCTTGTTCATGCCGCAGCCAGAATTATTCCAAGCATCGCGCTGGTCGCCTCGGCCTCAGGAACATCGTTAATCGAATTTACCCTGTTGTCCGCGAGTGTATGTAAGCACGCGTCGTTATTTGGTTGCGGTTGCGACGCATGCTCGCCTAGTTGGGGCCAAAGGGACGGGAGCCGGCTGAACATCCAGCAATTCAGGCCGCCCTCATCGCACGATGCCTGCAATTAAGCCACGCATGAATCAAGTATGCCTGAGATTTGTCTATGCTCTATGGTTTCGAGGCCTTGCATCCTCACATGGACTTATCGGCGGCAGCCCTATCACCTCTCGCTCGGGATGCAGACGTTGTGTCCGCACAAGCGCAATGGTTTCAGAAGCCGCGCCTCATCACCAATCCTCCAGGGCTATTATAAGGTGATCATGTGGTCTCGCGCAGGGCCGACACCAATCCATTTGACCTTGACTCCGACGAACTTCTCAATGTACTCAATGTAACTCCTCGCTTGGTTGGGCAGGTCGTAGTAGCTTGTCACGCCAGTCGTCGGCTTCTTCCAACCTGGCAGTGTATCGTATTGTACTTCGACTTGGGCAAGGATCTCGGGATTCGCGGGGAAGCCTTCAAGCACCTCGCCCTTGTACGAGTAGGATGTCGCAACCTTGAGCTCGTCAAAGTCATCCAGGACGTCGAGCTTGGTGAGGTTGATGGCGGTGTAGTCGTTGCACGCGTGTGAGTGCTTGACAACGACCAGGTCGAGCCAGCCGCAGCGGCGCTTGCGACCGGTTGTAACGCCGACTTCATGGCCGACTGACTGAAGCTTCTCGCCCACCTCGTTGAGCTGCTCGGTAGGGAAGGGTCCGCTACTACTTGTTAGCCTCTGAATTTGTCTTTCGGGGCGATGCAACTCACGATCCGACACGGGTAGTGTATGCCTTGACCACGCCAATGACCTCCTTCAGTGATCGCCATCCCAAGTTGAGACCTGTGATGACACCTCCAAGACCAGTGTTTGACGATGTGACGAAGGGGTATGTGCCGTAGTCGATGTCCAGCATCAGCGCGTTCGCACCCTCGACGAGGATTTTGGCGTTCTTCTCCTTTGCCGATGCGAGGAGCGGGATCTGGTCGACGACGTAGGGAGCAAGCTTCTCGCGCAGAGTCTTTGGCATTGTCAGTCTTTGTTCCGTATATTCCAACCCCATTGTGACTCACCTTATACTTCGTAATCTCCTCTTCCACATCGTACTTGAGTAGATCACCGTATCGCTTCTGGAACGAGTTGGCTAACCTCCTGAGCTTCGTCTCGAAGATCTGCTCGTCGAAGAGGTCGCACATGCGGAGGCCGCTCCTGGTCATCTTGGTGCTGTAGGTTGGGCCGATACCCTTCTTGGTCGTGCCTGCATCCCGCCATCAGCACGTCAGTCCCGCAGCAGGCGCGTGTGCTCCTCACCAATCATGCCACCACCCAATTCCACCTCCTCCAGGCCATCCACCATCTGGTGCACATCAAACACGACATGGGCGCGGTCCGAGATGAATATTCTTCCGTCCGTCTTCAATCCGTGTTTCTCCAGCGCTTCCAGCTCCTTGAAGAAACTGGGTACGTGAACAACGCAGCCACTTCCGATGACATTGATGCAGCCGGGATTCACGAGACCGCTCGGGAGGATATGGAAGTCGTACGTGACGCCGTTCGCGACAATGGTGTGTCCGGCGTTGTTACCACCCTGGGCGCGGGCGCAGATTTGCGACTCATGGGCTAGGATATCGGCCAATTTTCCTTTTCCTTCATCTCCCCACTGTGCTCCGAGCACCACAGTAGTCGACATCGTGAAGGCGGGAGACAAGAAGGAAAGAGCGGAGGGGCGGCAGGTGGGTTTTCAATTCCGCGTTGACTCGATCTAACAAATTCGTGCCCCACCCATCACCCCGCGATGCCGCAATTTTCCGCACGAGCCACCAGTGACGCATGTGAATGAGCCGCAATCCATGTGTCTGGGCTGATCTGCAATCTTCGCAATCACAGCCTCTACATTGCTGTACAGCTACGTCGTTATCGTGGTAAACGCGTCAAGAAATTAAGAAATCTCATTTCTAATATTTACAAACACTCCCAGTGGAAATTTAGTCACATCCAGACCTATCCTCCTAACCGCGCCAAACACCCGGACCCGGCGGCTGATATGTCTCTGGCGCCGATGTGTACTTGTTCAGGTCGACAAGAATTCCCGGGTCATTACTTCTGCGACCTAATGTTAGCATGTTCTGGGTGCTCATCAGTTTGACTTACTTGTAGGCACCTGGGAACGCAACTAACGGGCTCGGCAGCCCATTCCCTCCCTCAATTATCTTGATCTGCGAGCAAGCCAAGTAGAACTGCGCTTTGTTCGCTTGCATAGCCATGTGCAGTGCGATGTGCTCAACGCGGAGCAGGTAATCGCCTGATGGCGTAGCAGCAGGGATTGTTGTGTTGGGTGTGAGATACTCGTCTGCGAAACGTCATTAGTAAACGCGAAGTGAAGAGAAGGAATAGCTTACTCTGTCCTGGCCAGCTCATCTGTTTCTGTGCGTTTACGGTCGGCATTGTGGTACTAATCTTGAACCACACTGCACCACTCCCGTCCCAGTTCTTCACATCCTTGCCATCAGGAACTCTCGCAAGGTAGTATTGCGTTGGTCCCGGGTGATTGACTTGTTGCGTGGATATGTAGTGAATAGTTGATCCGGCCGGTACGCTTGCGACGTTTGGCGCGGTTTTGGGGGTGTAGCAGCGAATGTCCGCGACAGTGGGGTTCTGGCCAAAGTAAGTATCATAGACACATCATGGGCCAGTGGTAATTCGAAGAGTATCTTACCTCGATGCCTTGCTTGGTGTTCGCATTCTTGGTCTCGCGGGTCGAGGCCCAGTCTTTATCTTCTGACTTTCCATCTACGACAAGACGTGGGAATGTGTCTGTTGGTATGAGACTCATATCACTGGAAATCATTTGTTGCTAACTCACAATGTGCCTTGACCACCGTAGCGGCTACCAGAAGTGTGATAAGCATCTGCATGATGAGGGGTCAGATTCTTGCGCCTGAGAAGTATTCACCTCTCGCTTGACGTCTTATGTATGCTTCATGACCCCGGTTCCAGAACAGACATGTGAGCTGAGTTGCGAACTATCGGTAGATTAGCTTGGCGGTTTGGCATACACCGAAGTAGTCTACTGCAGACCATACACACATCACAATATACCATCATCGACAAAAGAACCAATAGGCATCGATATGTTTATGAATCATGTGCAACGGTCCAGCATCTGCCGAAACAAAGCAGGCCAATGCCCAGACCGCATGTTGCCAATAGCTCACCAGATCAGTAGCATAGTTCACCATCACAACAAGCATATGAAGAATTTGGAGGCCCATGCATTACTGGGCAAGTTGAAAGGGAAAAGTTGAATTCCCAAATGCCCTACGCTAACATCGAGCAAAGTAAAAACGAACGAAGTGTTGAGGTCGTATCGAATCGTAAACACACACGTCTAGTGCATGTAGCGGAACTCAGGGTGTCTGTATCCGAGATCCTTGATCTGAGCAGCGGTCTTGCCGACCAAGCGGTGGTCTCGCTTGCCCATATCACGCTGCTTGTTCTCCCACTTGCAGTAGCAGATACCGAATATGGCGAGAATACAGACGCAACACTGACCAACCAAGTTGATGGTGTGGCCGATTGGGTATCGTGGCGCGTCAGCACTTGTGTAGGTCCTGTAATGTATTAGCCTAGGATCTGATTCAATTATTCACATAATCTGACGTACCAAGTCGCGAGAATACCTCCAGCGGTACCCAGCGTGACAACGTAAGCAGTCGAGACGGAGCGGATAGCAGGGCCGGCCGCATTGTTCGCCGCCCACGCAAGGAAACCAGGACCTCCGGGAAATGCACCAATGGTGATCAAGAAGATACCGCCGTATCGGACGTTAGGGTCGGTCGCCCATCGCATGATCGAGAAGCCCGCAATAGCGGGGAGCGTGAAGACAGCGAGGTAGACACCACGGCGGTTCGTCTTGTCTGATGCGAAAGCTATTGCGATAGCGATCAAGCAAGCACATACATAGGGTGGTACTGAGTAGAGTTGTGCCTTGGTGGCCGTCCATCCGAGATCCCTGAGGATAGTGGGCTAGTAATGTATGTTAGCAAATCATAAGTTATGGGGAGGATATCGGCTTACCATGAACAGTGAGATACCCTGTACAGTGATGTTGATGAAGAAGAAACCAAAGGCACAGAAGTAGTTTGTGATGTTCATCACGGCCCGCTTGACGTGGTGTACTTCAGTCTTTTCGTTCTCATCAGCTCCTCCTTTCAGCACCAGTCTCTGTGTGGCAATCATTCGTTCGCGCTCGTTCAAGAACCAGCATTCTTCTGGGCTACGGGGCATAAGAAAGGGAGCAGCAAGGCCGACAATGACGGTAAAAAGTCCCTCAAAGAAGAAAATGTTACGCCAGGTATGGAGAATCATAGTCGAAGCTCCCCATGGTGGAATACGAGCGAGACTGTACTGTAGTTAGTTTTTCATGTAATCTCAAGAATGTGACAGGACCTACGCAGTAGCGAGCAGTCCACCAAAAGCTCCAGCCATTGAGGCCGCGGATACGTAGATACCAATGCGGAACAAAAGTTCGTTGCGCTTGTAGAAACATGTGATGAAGAATGCCAATCCCCTACAGACTGATGGTTAGTATGCACTCCAAACAACGATAGAAGGTACTTACGGCATCACACCACCTTCAAACACACCTAAGAAGGCCCTTGCAACCAACAGACCTGCGAAGCTGCTCACAAAGGCGCTGCATAGTGAGACCAAACCAAAGCCACAGACGAGAAGTGGCAAGTAGTATTTCGGGCCAAGTCTCTTGAGAAGGATGTTGCTCGGTACTTCGACGAACATGTAGACAATGTAGAAGATCGAGGTAACCCAGTTGAAACGGACACCTGTGTTGAGACCCAATTCCTCTCCCATACCCTGGATACGCGCGTTTCCAACATTAACACTTTCAAGGTGGTTAGCGAACAGTTTTGCGCAGAGTGAAATGATACGTACCGATCGAGGAAACAGAGCAGGTAAAGAAAGGTCGTGAGTGGCACAATCACGCGGTCCAGTTTACGTCGAACCTTCTTCTCTTCCTCAGCTGTCCAGGTAAACTCGCCGTCTGTAGATCGGTCGCTTCCATTGGCCTCCTCAACTAGCAAATCCGTTAGCACATGTTCGCGACAAGATTAGTAAACAACGTACAAAGCACATTGTCTCCCTTCTCCAGCTCAGCAGGGGTTGGGTGGTTTGGGTGTGTCCCCGTCGATACCATCCCGATTTGTGCCATCTTGTCCAAGTAGGATGCCGAATTCGAGATCTAAAGGATGCGAAGCGAAATCTCTTCGTTGTGTCGTGGCCCCACAAGTTCCGAAAGTCTGGGGAAAGGAATCTGGGGAAGAGCACAGCCCATATAAGAACGTACGATGCGTCCCGGTATCCGAACAAGCTTACTCGTCGCACGTCTGTGTCTTGGGTCGCAAGTCGAAAGCCAGGAAGAGGGAATCGGCAGTTACTTCGCAGCCTTCAGAGGATGGCAATACGGCACCATGTTTAGCTTGATGTCCGCTCCACCGCGCGCTCTTGTCCCGTTCCAGCTGGCGGCTTGATTGAACAGGGAGCGAAGTCGGTGCGGAAATTTTACCGAGTCGACACAGAACCCTACATAACGCCGCATAATTATCAACGGCCTCCTCCTTGGTTGGCGTGTTGCGGGGCCGTTCTCTTGGCTGACATGGGTTGACTCGTGGAGCCCGCGAGGGTGACGGGCGGATGCTTTCATTGTGGTCATTTTGAAACGCCACGCTTGGCGAAGCGGGACGAGAACTTTCGTGTTGCTAGCAGCTCGCGATGCGCTTCGGCAGTTCTGTTCATCTTCTCAGTGCTTCCTGATGGTGTTAACAAACTGTAGTTATGGAGTTCTTCTCCTCATAGATTGAACTGGGGTAGGGCGGATGATTGCGGTCAGATTACGGGCGTAATGTGTGACAGAAGATTTATCCACCGTGGACGAGTTTTGCTGCCGCACCAACAATGTGGGTGATTGATTGCTGCATATCAGCGCGGCAGGATTGCATACGGTCTACAGTATTCCAGACAACTGGGTATATTTGCCGCCGAGGTCTAAAGTGATGCAACTGGCAGCCTTCACAGATCATGATGTACCTTTGCTGCTCATGCAAACAATAACATCCCCGCAATTTAGCCGGAATCCTTCGTCGTCCGGTGGATTTTCTTGGTTTCTTTGTGCCTTTCCGAGCAACAAAATGCAAGAAATCCACCGACGCGTACTCGCAAGTAGAGCCCCTAAGCTTCTCAGCGAGTAGAGTGTGTGATAGGGTCCATCAAAGTGGGCGGGTCTCGTAGCTGGACTGTTCCGCTCGGTCTAGCCGTATAGTGGCTGCAGGTTTATGGCTCGCACAAACGCAGAATGCAAAAGCTTTGGGAAGTCGAAAGACGCGACTCGGTGGCCGAAGATGGCTGTCAGTGCTGCGAAGTGGGACGGGCGCCGGCGTCGGGGAACAGGACGCTCTTGCCAAGCTGTCGCGCCACGTGGCTGAGACACTGAGCTTCACAACATTGCGAGCTCCATAAATACATACTGACCTACAGAAGATCAAATAATTTTAATTCGACAAGGATTCGCAATTGCAGTATTCAAAGCGCCGATCATCTCCAGAGCCTCGTCCTCAGAGCTTCAACTTCTCGAGACGCCGTGTCAACGACCCACGACTCCACAAATCATCGCGTCAAGGGCCACTTCCCCTCACAAATACATGAACCTCCACAGTCGCACACGGGAACGGATGTCCCTTCTCGGCAACGCTACCTTTGGCGTCTCGCCTTCGTCTCCACCAACTCCTTCATCACGTCTCTAATCTCATTAGGTCTTACCGGCGCGTCATCCAGATCCACCTTGGAAGCTGATGATGCTATAGATGCGTGGGCTTTGGCGGCTTGGGTGGCTTCTCCGGCTTTCCCTTCGGTAGCTGATCGAACGCGGCAGTCGTCTTAAGGGCGGGTTTGTTCCCGCGATCATCCTCGGTTTCGGCTATTCGATCATGTGACCACTCTTGGACATCGTCTTCAGCAACTTAAACTCCAGAAAGATCAGCTTCAAGTTGATCGAATACACGTCGAGAGTTCTGCGTACCATTATCAGAGAGAGCTGTTTGCAACTCTTCTCGAAGCTCCAAAATTGTGATTTCCAATGCCATATTCTGGTCGTCCATTTGTCGGACGAACTCAGCTTGCTCTACCGCCAAGATGTCAAGCTGAGTATCTACTTCTTCAGCATGGCGCTGACCATCTGACAGTAGCTCTTCAAGAGTTGCTTTAACCTCATCTTCAACCAAATCCAGGCTATCTGCAAGCTCATCTCTCTCTTCTTCAAGCGCGTCCATCCGTTCCCTCAACTCATGCACTGTGTCTGTTTCAGCAGCGTGAGATCTAGTTAATCGCGCGAACGCTTCATCGCGATTAGCTTCTTCTTGCTCTAGACATTCTCCGCAGTTTTCGTCCCTGTCTTTCTCGAGCTTTCTCCAAACAGATCGGTGATTGGCAGCTTCTGCGGTTTTGGCAGTGGCACAAGACCATGTCGTTAGATCTAGATGCCCGCAGGCGAATGTTGTCTCGAGATCGACGTGAACACAGATGTCTGCTGTTGCTACCTTTAAGTCCTGTTCACGCTCAGCTTTCCGTTGCTGAAGCATCTTAGCAGACACGGTCCCAGCATCTCGAGCCTTCTGTTTTTCTTCGTTACGTTCGCGACTGAGGCGATTTATGAGTTCCGTTACACAAGGTCTGCATTCGTACTGCCTTGTCCTAGTATGGTCTGCAGTCTTCTTACAACTCCTCTCCCCACAGGGGAGGTTGATCTTGCTCTCGTGGCCACAGTCGTACGTAATTACGAGAATGGTACACATAACGGACAATATGATTTTGAGGTAGCGGTATCCGGCGATCTCACTCTGCGATTAAGATATGGGTGATAGACACGACTCTCGTATAGGTTTTGAGCATCTACGCTACAACCTTGGAATGATCAACGACGTGTCACTCAGAGAGTCTTCAACAGCTTCAACCTTGCCATGTGAGCCAAATCGTCACATTGGGCAAAACAGGTCACATTGGTAAATGCTTCACAAAGGCAACTAATTACAAAACCATTACATTCGGCACACGATTTCTGTTTTCCCCAGAAAACGCCGTCCACTACCTGCATCCTGTCATCGCCAAACACCCAATCTACTTGTCTGCTCTCATTTATCACGCTAGCCCAGGATGTGCACAACATATCGCGTTTACTTCTACTGCGGACACCTAAAGTCCACGACCACTCACGAGCACTCTGGCATCGAGTGCACAATCAACGAGGCGAAGAGCATCACAATCGACGAAAAGTGCAAGCGCTGCGTTCAACGGACATCTCGAAAGAACGTCCGACTCGGCGATATCATGAACGGTGCGGAAGTACCATCGATAGTAAAAGGCGAGGAGAGTGGTGCCCATAGTGGCGACAGTGAGCGATGATAGGAGGTTCAGAAGACCAGGAGTTCTCAATATTTAACTTCACTATCATCGAACCGTCATGAACAATCCAGAGAGCAAGAAAACACATATGTCGGGTTCTGGATTGGAATCAGACTAGATACGCATAAGATAAGGTAGCCCTCTATGCGGTGATCTACGCTCACCGGTTTATTATGGAAGTCGTAGCATCGCTGAAATACGACGTACTCAAATCTCGCGTTGCGTCCGATGCATGCAAACGTGATGACCTGGTGAAGCGCTTTTACGTTCATGGGAGTAGCCTATTGTCCAAATTGTAGTCACATAAGCCCAGCGTGCAGTTCTCCATGGTCTCTTGAGCTCATTCCAAGCATCACAGCACCCTATATGGCAGACATCACTGTACCTGTCAGTCAAGTTTACGCCACCTACCGCTCCCTTGGAAGATATCTGGAGAATCCCAATATCAGGCTGTGAGAAGAATGTCTAGACTCATCGCCTTATAGATTGCACGCGGCATTACTCGTGCCCGGCGAAGGCTCCACAGACAGCACCCCTCTTCTGGTGCTAGCCTTGTCGACGATAAACATAGAGCTCGCGCAATAACGCTCCTTATCATCATAAGTGCTGCGACCGATAATTCGACTTGTGACTATCCGTTGTTCGAGGGCTCGACGAGATCGCGGCCACTAACTGGCGATGGATTGTCGGCACCCGAGGCGTGGACTAGAGATCGGTCTCTGCGCGAGGTGCTAGAGCGACTTCCGTATGCGAGATATGTGCGACGAGGGCGCTATGCGTGACATAGTCTTCGGCGAAGTCTTATGAGTAGTGTCGATGCGAAGAGAACGAGGCGGGGAGGAAGCTGTTGAACGCGTTCAGAACAGCTGACCCGAAGACGCGGTTGAATGAATATGGTCGGGGGAGCATGTGAACATATGGCATGTCTGCTCATGTCTTCAGACGTGTCGTGAGCTACATCAGTGTAGACGACCTGCGGGTTGTGTAGGAAGCCTCGCAAGCTCCAAAGGTTGGGTTCCCAGCCGCGTTCCGATGCGCGGGTGTTGCCGGCTATAATCGATAAGTTCCGACGGAGATTCCGATCAACTCACCACGCCACCTCCACAGACGCTTGACTTCGAGACTTCACACCCCAGATCACATTCCACTCAAATCACGACGCGTCTTACTTGATAACCAACATGGCCAAAGTCGAAGGTGCCCCTGCTCATGGCGCTGTAGCCCACCTCCTACCACAAACATACAAGCGATTAGTCTCGGAATGGCTTGAAGAGGACACACCAAGTTTCGATTACGGTGGTTTCGTAGTGGGCGAGGAGCTTTCGGAAGCGAAGCTGCTCGGAAAGAGTGAAGTGAGTGTTTTCGACTACTGTAAGTGCCGACTAACATTGACAGGGCATAGTAGCAGGCGTCCCGTTCTTCGATGAAGTGTTCCGACAACTAGGTTGCACGTGCGTTCATCTCACCAGATTACATGATCAAGCTCAATATTGACAACTACTAGCGTGGAGTGGCACGTCAAAGAAGGTGCTTCATTCCAACCCATCACCCACTGCGCTACTGTGCGCGGCCCAGTCCGTCACCTCCTTCTCGGCGAGCGCGTGGCTCTCAACACCCTCGCCCGCTGCTCCGGCATCGCGACCAAGTCAAATCGCCTACTTACTCTTTTACGAGGAGCTGGTTACCCAAACATTCTTGCTGGTACCAGGAAGACTACACCAGGTTTTCGACTTGTAGAGAAGTACGGCATGCTGGTTGGAGGCGTGGACGCGCATCGAGTTGATCTTAGTGCAATGACGATGCTAAAAGACAACCACATCGTGGCCGCAGGAAGCATCACCAATGCAGTGAGAGCCGCCAAAGCAGCAGGCGGCTTTGCAATCAAAGTCGAAGTTGAATGCCAATCGTTTGATGAAGCAGACGAGGCGATTGCCGCTGGTGCTGACATCGTCATGTTAGACAACTTCACCCCAGAAGGTGTCCAAGTTGCTGCTAAAGATCTGAAGGATAAGTGGGGACGGGGTACTGGAGACAGGAAGCAATTCCTCGTTGAAGTGAGCGGTGGGCTTACAGAGTACAACGTGGAGAAGTACGTCTGCGGCGATATTGATGTCGTGAGCACGAGTAGCATACACCAAGGAGTACCACACGTGGACTTCAGTCTGAAAATCGTACCGAAGAGTAAAAAGGATGGAGGGGAGAGTCTAGCGGTATAACCTGACGATGGGCGAAGGGGACTTGTGGGTATCCCTTACGTATCGACAGACATAGCTAACTAATTCAGTATAGTTATTTACAATATTTGTCACCTTTCGGTGGCATGACTTTCACTATGATACCACTTCCCAAAACTGTCAAGCGTTCGTTCCATAACCTCAGACATCTCAGACTCTTACCCTTCTAGCAAGCATGGCAAGGGGCTCAAGCAACCGCTATCCGCGCTGATCTACGACACGGCAACATCACTAATTAAAGCGCTCTTGTAGTCACTGTCTTCTAAAAAATCGTCTCACAATGCCAACATCGACTGCAATACGTGGCCCTCTATTCCTGCTGCTCGGGCGTCATCTAGCCGCTTTGCGTCGCCTCCGCGGTCTGCGTCAAGCCTTTCCAACCAATCCTTCTCGTGGCTCTCGCATACAAGTCCTTTGATCTTCGGCAGCCGGCTGGCCTGATCACCGGTAAGAGGTCTGGGTCCGCTTCCCTGCATTCCAAGGTTATATCGCCGTCGTCCCGGTCATGTCTGCTAGAACAACTCGCGCGTCCGCCGAATCTAAGCGATGGTCTCCACATACGCCTTGCTGCGCCTTCAAGTGCTTTCATCTGTCTGTTGCGCGTTCGAAAGCTACTCCTGGATCGTGCCGGGCTGGTGTACACCATGGGAAGGTCGACCACGCTGGCTGGCAATGCCCTTTCCGCCCGGATATTCAACAAGCCAAGGTCATACGTTGGGATCAATCAAATCCCTAATTTTATCCAGCAGTAGGTATGCAAAGCCGAGTAAAACATCGTTACTCTCTTGGGTTGCGTTGGCAAGCGCTGGCGACAAGTATAAAGTTACGCCCGACGCGGTCTTCAACTAGACTCCATAACGGTGGGTCTGCTTGTGGATCTGACAAGGCCGTGCCCAATGAGCGCCTTCCGCTTTCGCAGAAGGCTTCCGCGAGAGTTCAAGCATCAAAGCTCCCGGCCCTAAGCGAACTACGTTTGCTTCGCTCACCTTCCGTGTGCGCCGTAGCCCAGGCACGAAGGAACGACGTCCTCTCGCCTCAAGCTCGTGTTGTAAATTATTTTGCTTGTATCGCATGGAGCCAAACCGCTTTCTTTTTACCGCCATGTAGAGCTTCGAATCCTACATCGGGTACACCGAGTGACAGAGCACGCATGCGCCCCATCTCGCATATCCATGGATGTCGAGGCGTGGAAAAGACAGGTACAAAAGGGTGAGCTGTAGGCACCCTCTTCGCATCACCATTCTCTCGTCCACAAACTTCAGCTTAATCAAGCCCTACAACATCATTGCTCTCCTCACTTTTTCAATATGCAATACCTCAACACCATCCTCGCTTTCGCTGCTGCAGTGTCAGCTGTCGATATCAAGTCGCACGGCGAGTCACACTGCAAAGGTACCGAGAGGGTATATGTGAACGCCAAAACCAACCAGTGCTATGCCGGTGGCGGGATATCCTACGCTTGGTCGTTCAACGCTATTCCCACAAACTGGAACCTGCAGACTCGATCTCACAAAGACGGAAACTGCAAAACGCTGGTTCACGCCTGGAACTCGAATGGCGCACGCACGGTCTGCCATGGCGCAGCCGTCAACAACTTGTTGTACACAGGTGCTGGATACAGCTTCGCCAGCAAGAAGAGGTCGGAAGACACAGTTTTCAACAGCGAAGACTGCATCTGGAAGCCAGACCTTATGACCCTGGGAGACGGCACAACATACAAGCTTACAGATGTTGAGGACGAAACTGCGAAGATCATGTAAGAGCAACCCTAAGCACCAGACAGGGCCCTGGATATGATGTACTAATTTCATCTTCTCATAGACTCGCATATGGTGATAACACCACGATTGCCGAGAACATGCCAAGCACATTCGACGAGTACATTACACAAGAGCGTCGCTGAGTGTGCCATCAAGATTGGTTGTTGGTGATCTCTAGTGCGATGCCTTGGCTCAATACATTCCATCCACTTCCTCCAATGCTACTGCGACAGCGCAGAGCAGACGCATTCACGACTTCCAAAGCTCACATCACACCTACTCAAGCAGGACTCCCGAAACGAGAAAGCGAGCAAATGATGAAATCCGGAAGAGACTAGTCTCGCTATATATTGTTGGGATATCACACACAAGATGACCTAAATCGATGACCGGCCTACTCCGTTTCCACTTCTTCTATGACTTCCATCTCTTATCTTTTGTGACACTTGGAGGATGACGATGGTATTGCTAATGATTCTCTTTGTATTTGAGTCGTGTCAGAGTGAAGATGGTAAACCCAGCGAAATGCTATTCTCTTACCTTGTACTATGGAATGCTCTCTCAACAGCACGCCAACCGTCGTTCACGTGGCACATTCACTTTCGCAACACCGTGCTATTGTTAGTTTACAGCGCAATAAAGACGCATCAAGAGTTTGGATAAGCGCTCGGTTATTGTGCAGCCGTGGACTCAATAGCAACAGCGTGGCATTGTGCTGGCGCGCCTTCCACCTTCCGACTTGGTATAACCAGTCTTTTCCGGATTACGCCAACCTACCCACAATGTCGCATCACTGTGTTATGGTCAATACAATCAACCTATAGAACAAAGTCATTTTCTCTCTCTCACTTTTCCTCGTTACCACAAACCTTTGCCGAACAAACACAGGTACAAATATGCGCACGAAATTATCGTTTACTACGACCCTGGCGGCTCTCGCAATTTTGGGAGACGCGCACGGCGACCATGCTAATGACAGCAGGCAATACTCCCTAACAGACGATCTTAGTTACAAGAACTTCTTCTCCGCCTTTGACTTCTTCAACGAAACCGACCCAACCAAAGGCTTTGTCAATTATCAGAATCAGGAAGATGCTACCAAACAAGGCCTAATAGGCTACCTTGAGGACACAAAGTCCGTGTTCATGGGTGTGGACTATACGACCAAGGACCCCACTGGCCGCGCTTCTGTTCGCCTTGAGAGCAAGAAAAGCTGGAATCATGGACTACTCATCGCAGACATTCGTCATATGCCCTCGTCGGAATGCGGCACTTGGCCAGCCTTTTGGCTTTTATCGTCTTCAGTGCAATGGCCGAACGGCGGGGAAGTCGATATCCTCGAGGGTGTTAACGACTATGAAAGCAACTCTGTTACTTTACACACAACCAAGGGCTGTGTTGTTGATAACTCGACTGCGGCTGGAGGAGGATTTGGTGCTGTAGGTGGTGATAACAATGCGCCATTTACTGGTCTTATGAGTACCGACGACTGCGACGTCGCCGCTCCTGGCCAAGAGAAGAACGTCGGATGCTCTATCCACGCTCCTGACACCATGCCTGGTATCCAAAGTGGCGGCGGTAGCGGTAGTTCCGACAATACTGGTGCCGCGCCTCTCGCATCTTATGGTACCGATTTCAACAAAGCGCAGGGCGGTGTCTATGCCATTGAATGGGCCGCCACCAGCATCTCAGTTTGGTTCTTCCGCCGCGACTCCCCGGGCTTCACGGATAATTTCTCTTCGAACACCACGACACCCGACCCATCAACCTGGGGCACACCTATAGCGCACTTCGGCGGTGCTGGCTGCGACTTTTCTGAGCGCTTCAAAGATCTTCAGATCATCTTTAACACTGCCTTCTGCGGCGAATGGGCAGGCGCCGAGTGGGATAAGTCTTGTGCCAAAAAGACCGGTGTTGTTACTTGCAATGAGTATGTACGCGATAATCCCCAGGCCTTCGTGGAGGCGTATTGGGAAGTCGCGGGATTGAAGTGGTTCCAAAAGGGTGCTGCGTAGAGGCGGAATACCGTTGCAGTTCTGCCGAAACGCGAGGAAGTTGCCCATTTCCCCGTGAAAAATGCCAAGACAAAGGGTAGATGGTATGCTTGGTGACTATCACATCCGTATTTGTCGTGTAAGCTGCGTCTGGGCTACGGAACTGTTTCGCTTTCCAATGTCTTCAAGCTTAGCTTCGCGGATGTCAAATTCGATGCTTCCTGGTTCAATCGCGTCTATTCAAGCCCAAGCTGCCCTCCCGAGGCCGATATGAGAATATGCAGACTATCTCTTGTTCGATGTGGAATTGTGGAATCGTTCACTTTGAAGTGATTTTCTGGTTATGATTGTGGCTACGATGTTCGAAGGTACCTATGTCATTTGGTCGGTTGCCCACTTCCAAGCCGAAGATGTCTGGAGCCGATTTCCTCAGTAGATATGTGCGCACAATGATCAGAGTTTCGTAGAGCAGCCAAAGGAAGGAAAAGAGGCTGAGAGTTTACGTTCAGGATGTGCGCGGGCGCGTCGCGGACGCGTCAGACAGTTAGCCAGGTTGGGTTAGCGCTTGAAACGCCTCCTGCAACATTCCATCCAAGCTCCCGACCCTTTTAGCCCCTGGGAAACGGTTTGAGCGCAACACAGCGACATCCGCACTACCCTCGATCATAAGTGTAGTGTACGACCCTCGTTTAAAACCACGTTTTCGATAAGCCCGATCTATATCCATTCAGTGAGATGGCACCTCCGGAAAAGCGCCCTATGATCCCGAAGAGTGCGCACACTTTAAGCAAGCTACCCGAGTACGAGGCCCATTAACCTTGAGCTCATGGAATTCTGACAAATCAAACGTAGCTTGAGTAGCAACATCATCAAGGTCAGGCTCGGCATCAAGAATTTCAACTACGATGAGCCAGGCGAGCTGGGGCCGACCGAGGCAAAGGTCGATCCGCGACAGAAAAGAATCGAGGACTACTTCAATCCTACCCCCAAACTTGATAAATTGAACAGCATGCCGGGCCAAATCAACATTCAAAGCGGCACAGGGAACCGGAACAATGAGCGTGTGTCATTTGTACATACGAGTGTTTTATGCCAAACGTCCGCTTTCTTCCAGACTGCTACGAAGCAGATATGGCGGGGCCAAACTCGAAAGCCTATCGATCTTACCACAGAAAACTATGGTATCTTCCAACAGTACCTACAGTGGCTATACAGTGGCAGGATCGCAATACATTGGTGCCCAGAGCCTGACAAAAATATTCCAAACAGTTCGTACAAGGCGACCCACGACTTGTTGGAACAGTATCTCTTTGGAGGCAGGATGCTGGATCCAACCTTCCAGAACGCTGTCATCAGAGCTTTTATGGACTGCATAAGTAACGCGCATACTTTTCCGACTTGGAACAAGATTAGGGATGTGTACAAAGGCACTATGGAGAACTCTCCGATCCGGAAGCTCCTCTTGGATATTTTGGCATCCCTAGCAGACAAGACTTGGAGCTTTGATAATATCGTAGAGGAGGCTGGTGAAGAGTTTACCAATGATCTAGTAGCTACGTTGGCGGTGAAACGACAAAAGCCTGGATCGAGCTGCAAATGCAAACACATGAATCAATGGGCTTGCCCACAAACCCAGACGAGATACTTCTGCGAGATTCCCGATGATAAGAAAAGAGGGGGAGCTCCTGCATAAACTATGTAAACGTTATCGAACAAAGACAAGGAAGGACTACTACACGTCAGCCTCTTACGTACCATTGTTTATGTTTTGATTCCGCATAACTTGTTGCAGCAAAAGGATAAGAATGCTCAAGTGTACTCGATGTAAGCTAATCTCAATACGCTGGCGTTGCGCCAAGAATATCCCAGTCTTGATGGGGTCGAAATTGCCCGCCCTGGGAGCAATCACAACACCCGTGGACGGTTCCTTCACTGCGGACAAACGCGCAGCGCTAACCAAAAACCGGACTAGCGACGATGCGCTCTCACCTCAAACTGTGGTCCGCGGTGCAATCAAACATCCTTTCGCACTTCTCACGCCGTCAATCGACTTCCAAAGACTTGATCGATCCACAATGGCGCCCAAAACCGATCGACCAGCGAAGCGAAGAAAGCTTCTCCCTCGGGGTGTCGCTGATTCTCGCGATTTACTTGAGTAGGTTCTACATGCACATGATTCTTGGAACGATCCTAACACGGCATAGTGTAAGCAGCGAAATACTCATGGTCAAGGTCGGGAGTGGCGACGATCCAGTCCAACCGAGTGCAGCATGCGAAAATTGCGGCAAGAAGGAAGGCGAGCAGCAACGTGCGGGAGATCTTGCTGATAATATGAACCAAGAAGATGGACAAGGTGCAGGAGAACTCGAGAAGCAAAACGTAGTTCTTGTCCAGGGTGACGACAAGGGTGCTGGCACAGACTCCGACAAGGACGGCGCAATTGACAAAGAGAGCGACGAGAACAGCAACGAAAGTGATGACAGCGATGACGACAGCGATATCGACTCAGGAATCTCCGACCAACGCATCTTCCATGTCCACAAAAGCGTTCTCTGCAAGACATCCGCCTTCTTCCAAAATGCAACGAAGCCAGAATGGACTGGTCCAACACCGCGACCTACAGATCTTTCTGACGAGCTTCCAGAAATCTTCCATTTGTATGTGCAATGGTTGTACAGTGGGAAGATCGCCGTCGAGATCACGCCCTCCAGTGACTCGGATACGGACGTTCGCAAACACGAGAACGTGGATTATCATTCACTGATTCAGTCGTACATACTTGGAGAGAAGCTCATGGATACCACATTTCAGAACGCAGTACTGCAATGTTTGATCGAGTGCGTGGAGCAAGCAGACTGTTTTCCCGGTGACCGGACTATCAGGACGGCCTATAAGCGCACGATAAAGCACTCGCCTCTTCGTAAATTGCTGGTCGACTTCTGGGTGTGGCACGGCGATTCTGAGGAGGCGGCTGATGACATGAATGCGAGCCTGGGGACCGACTTCACGAACGACTTACTTAAGGCCATGCTTGAAGCGCGTCCTAGTCCGGACACGAATAAAGCGAAGGTCCAGCCTCCTTGGCTGACACATCTGGAGATCTACAGCATAAAGGATAACAAGAAGACCGCCAAAGACACCAGCAACAGCGGAGATGTCGCCAAGGAGTAGCGTGGAGTGTGTCTGCAAATGTTGCTGAGATTTGTGAGAGGAAGTGTTGTACGAGGCCCTTCACGATACACTGAGATGGTAGATTACTACACAGGAAAGGAGGAATCGTGTAGAGTCCTGCAACTCGAAGCTTTTACTGGATACCTGCGTGCAAGTCGTAGCTAGGCCAAGAGCTTGGTAATGACAACCAAAGACGAGTATTAACAATGAAGGCTAGCATGTGCCCGTAAATTCAGTACCATGTTTCCCTAAATCGTGTATCTGAATCGTGGGCTGTCATCGCCCATCTCCGCAATATCCTCATCGCTCATCCCTTCAACCAGATGCTCTTCCTCACCCTTCTCACGTCTCGAGTTGATGCGCCCAAGATGGAACCACATGACAGCATAGCATATACAAGCAAAAGCCACCATAGCCATAGTGATACCGTGGCCCTTGACGAAGCGAGGACGATCAGCCGTAGGATAGATCTAGCGATCTGTTAGCAGCGTTTCCACGTGGAGTCTAGCGATTACGATAAACTTACAAATGCACTCATGATACCCGCACAATTACCGATGCTCAACTGCAACCCTGTCGCAGTGGTCCTCTTTCCATATCGTGGCAAGTTCGTAGGCAGCCAAGCTAATGGCAGACCAACACAGACATACAAGCCCATTGCAACAAGGAAGCAGCCAGCGTAATGAACGCCAGAGCTGGCATCGCTGATCAACATGGCGTATCCGACGATACTCACCACGCCGAGCAATATGCTGTAAAACCCGCGCTTTTGCTGTTTATCGGAGAAGCGCGCTACAACCAAGTAGGTAATTGCACCTAGTGCGTAACACGGAATCGTAAGGACCTGCACCATCGCGCTGCTGGCGGTAGTGTTGATTGACCTGATAATTGTCGGCAGGAAGGTAGAGTAGCCGTAAAGCATGGTATCGCTTCCGAATTGCGCAAAGCAGAATACCCAGACTTTCCAGTCCTTGACGCACTTCCTTACATCCTCCCAGTGAAATTCCGCTGCTTTCTTGGTGTACCCTGTCTGGCGCTTGAGGCGAGCGGCGGCGAAAGCCTTCTCTTCAGCGGTGAAGAAGTAGGCAGTTTCCGGGGTGTCCGGCAGGATGAACCAGGTCGCGATACCCAGGACGAAGGTGGGAATACCTTCGATGATCATGATCCAGCGCCATCCGCGCAGGCCAGCCGTACCATCCATATGTCCAATAGCGTACGCGAGTAGTCCGCCACAGGCTCCCGCCAGGGCAGCAGAGACGAAGAGGTATCCGATGCGTAAAGCAAGTTCGCGCTTTGTGTAGAAGAATGTCAAGTAAATGGCCATTCCGGGGAATAACCCTCCTTCCACGGCGCCAAGAAGAAGACGGCATGCGATTAGACCGCCGTAGCTCTGCACGATACCGGTCAAGGTCGCGATGATACCCCATGCGACAGTGATAAAGGCTATCCATCGCGAGGGCGTAAGTTTCTTCAGCACCAGATTTGATGGTACTTCAGACAGGATGTACGTGACGAACAGTATAGAGACGGCTGTCTGAAATTGAGAATCTCCCATATTTAGATCTTCCTGTAGACCATATAGACGGGCATTACCGATGTTGACTCTGCAATCGCGTAAGCAAATTTCTCGTTCAAGCTGCTGCAGACTCCCAGTTGCATCCAGCCCGGATAGACGGCGCATTAATTAAAAAGCTCCAAACTCACCTGTCCAGAAAACTGAGCAAGTACAACAGCATTACCACCGGAATGACGAAAAGATCCAGCTTGCGCACAATCTTCGCTTCCAGAACGGGGTCGATGCCTTCTAGCTGCCTGCCAATCTCATCGCTCTCCTTCGCGGCATCAGGCACAGCCGGATCGTACTGTTTCTCGATGTCGCTCATGGTGTAGTCAGGCGTCCTCGCCTAATAGTGGCTCGGAGAATTAAGCAACAATGATGATCGATGACTCCACGTGAGGAAAATCGGCTGTCGCGTTAAAAACGCAAGATAACGGCAAATGCGTCAGGAAGGGATGGTGAGAAAAAAGGCAGCGAGCGTCGCGTTCTTAATGCATCCGGCCGAAATACTGATCCGTCATCACGTAGAATCTCCACGACTTTGCCACGGAAGGGGAATGCTCATGCTTTAAATTCGTCGACGGCCTACGGCTTCGACATCGGACGAGTCTGCAAGGGGGCCCACTCTGAACATGTCGCCCGCGGGCAGATCCATGGCGGGGGGCTGGAGCCAATGGAGCACGGAGCTAACGGTTTGCGGTATGACGTTGACGGCTACCCTGCCGGTAACACAGATACGACTGCTGGGCAACTGATAACGAACCACACGCGTCGCTGTGGCCTATTGTCCGCCAATGTTCCAAGGTTGGGGGAGATATCAGACAAAGGATGGGGGTGCTCGCGTGCCCTTTTGAGAGAAGTGGTGGGGACAGGCATCCGGTGTGGTTTGACATGTTCGTCGCGTTAGTCCGCTGTCATGCATCGCTTAGGCAATGCGATTAGTCCTGTCTGACCAAACAATTGCTCCAACAGGACTCGGAGACGCGATTGCATCACATCACACTTTGTTGTGCAGATCAGCGCTGATCCTGAACGCGTTCCACAACACGAGCTAATCACTAATTGATACCATTTGAGTGGGGATTGCCATTCTCAAGCAGACAGATGCCCTCATACCAACTCAGACGATGTCAGCGACGGATAACTAAAGGGCGTCGTATCCCAATCGATAGGCAGTACGATGCCAGAGTATATGTCGATCTGCGCTGAGGGATCAACAGGCCACCCCAAGTCGTCGCGCGGAAAGTCGATCTCAGCCACTGCAGCTTCCATATCCACGCTCACGGTATGCTGGACGCAGGTACCGGCAAGATTTGACCGTGCAATCGCACGAACCTCCTTCGCCATTTTCATTCCAAGTGGCCATATAGTTCCCATCGTGTTCAGAAAGCCGATGCTGAGACGCACACGATCTCGCGCTATCGACAGCGCGTGTCCATCCAATAGATAGGTACATACAGACACTTGTGCTGCCGCGAGTTGCGCAGTTAGGCACATGATAAAAACATTGTGCCTTTCGAGAGCGCATGGGATTGCGAGGAGTTTGGTATGCATTTCGGTCGCCTTGAGCACACGTGCGGTATGTGTGTTTCGCCCAGTTTTTGGTGTCAGCGTAAAGGGAGAAGGAGGCAGAAAAGACTGCGTGGTCATCTCTTCAGGAAGGTGAGGTAGTGACGAGAAGGGCCTATGCAGTGTTGAGATGACTCTGTCTTTGTTAGCGTAACAGTAGCAGTGCATGAAGGAACGAATTACATTGCAGCACACATATGTGCCATGTACCTGTTGTACGTATCGTTAGCGATCATGTTTTCGTCCGGCTGACGGTGTGGCATACATCACCTCATCTACTTGACCATCTGGTCGAAGCGGGTCCTTCTTACAAGCCGGCAGCATCGCCGACCAAATCGCCAATTTCATGTCGCAGTTCTCGGCCATCGTTTCGCTAAATATAGCAGTGTCGATAAAAGACTTCATGGCTGGAACTGTTAGGCATCATACGAAGTAGATAACGGCTTTCATTGGGTACGTCCACCTGTGGTCTGTACTTACTGCCAGCGATGACCATTCCGATGTCGTAAAGATATACGATTGAGGAATAAACAATCTCAATTTCTGCGAACTCACGGGTCTGGTACTCCGCCCACGTCATCACAGGCGGGATGTTCTGCTCATGTCAGCTCTCACCTCTATCTGCGCAGCATCTCGACATACCCCTGACTCAAAGTATTCATCATCGCATGGCAAATCAACGTTGTTCGATGTGAGAAGTAGTGTGTAGAAGGGCGTGTTGGTGACAAGGGCGAAGTTTTGATCCACAATATAGAGTACGTAAAACGTTCGCCTCCAACACTCTTCCAGTACACCGCTACCCTCCCCATACGCTCGAGCAAAGTCTCTTTCGTTCATACGCAATTCTAATGCAATTGTGATAGCTTTATCCAGGTGCTTACGAGCCTCGGCTCTGGAAATGCTGTGGAACTCAGCGAGAGCAAATAGCAGCAGCGCTTGAACATTGAATGGTGTATGCGCCAGGTCGGGCGACGTGACAGCTTCTAATGCTGTCATGTGGTAGGGTTTCGATAGAGTCCAAGGGGCGTAGATTGATCCGATCCATTCCAAGACGGATATTAGTGTGGTCATTCCATGGTTCCCGTGCAGGCGCCTGGCTTGCAGATAGTGGAGAGGCAGTACAACTGGCCATGAAGACCAGAAATATTCGAAGTACAAATCGATGAGTCGTTCATTGTCGACTTGGAAAATCATTCGACTTTGCTGGGTAACGTTCCGTTCACGAAAAGGTATGGAAGAACCTGATGAACCGCTCTCAAAGGATCCCAGGCTAGACTGGTCGGATGGGGATGGCGCTGGTAACTGAACTTTTCCGCTGGTCAAGTTTTTGGGTTCTTGTTGCAGTCGTAGACGTCGCTCCGCAAGTGCAGCTTTGCTGAGACCTCCTCTTCTAGATTTTTGATAGATGCATTCTTTCCCGTCGCGCCTGCATCGGTTGCAGGCGGGTTGTGTGGAGTCACACTTTACGTGTCTATTGCGGCACTGGATACAGGCCAGCACTACTCGTTCAATTCGTTTCGGATCCGACGATAGCTCCATGGTTGAAGGAAAACAAGAGGAAGAGCGTAGGTTGCGATGGGATCACGGCCGTAATTGGGGACACCGCCAAAGGAGATCTTGCGCGCCAACCATGGAAGGTCAAAGTCAAGATTATCCAAAAATAATCATACATTCCGGTGAGTGGAAGACGAGCACGACGCGTAGGGCTGATCTGACTGGTTACACAGCGTGTCAAGTTGGGCGCCTGCCGAGTCGGCAAGAGTCGGATGTGCATCAGCATTGGGGGCCGCTCCTTGTTCATTAAGATGTTACGTTGAAAACCACAAACTCTCAACACGGTTTAGGCATGGACAGAGCGCGCTCGCGTGCGACACATTCAAGAGTTCAGCTGACACACATAGTGTCACTATTAATCCCGTACATTCGCAAGCCTTTCTACCCTACTACCATAAACTAGAAATAATCGCACTATAAACCCACAATCAGCCTTCGTGATACGACAGGCCAACGTAGCAACATCCAAGTCTCTGGTCTCAATGCACAAAACATGTAATCATATGCGTTCCAGACCTGACGGCCAATAAACCGTACCAGCTGGGGTTGTCGCTTTTCGGTCGTATATCTATAATCGAAGGCGATGAAGCAGAATGAAGAAGCCGCGAGCTTAACGCAGCTTGCCGTGATCTTGAGCCTCTTTGACCTGTTCAAAGACCTGCAATACAATGTTAGTTATCGGGTTCCGTACATTAGAAGAATGGTGTTGCATACCTTGAGCATCTTCCTACGTGCACCAAGAGCATTGACTCCACGCTTCTCCAAGCCTTCGTCATCGAGCTCAATAAGCTCCTGCCACTTGAGGTCCTTCAGGTTATCTGTGTACTTGTGCAGACGAAGACTCCGAAGCCAGTTGGGAATGTCCGAAAGCAGACCAGGGTCGGTGGGATCCTCCGGGGGCTTGGAGCTGCCGCGACGGCCTCGGGGAGATCGACCGCGATCAATATTGTCACCGAGGAAGCCATGGCCTTCATTACTGCCGCCGGCGAGACCAAACTGAGCAAGGTTGAGAGCGCCCATACCGTTGTTCATCATGCCACCGCCGTAGTCAGCAGCCAAGAACCCATTAGCTTGAGGCGATGTGAAGTTGCCCATGGCACCCATGCCCTGACCCTGCATTGCGAAGCCGGGGGAGCTGGGGCGAGATCGGCGGCCTTGCATAGCAGCCAATTGCTGGGCCTGAAGAGCAGCCGCTTGCTGTGGTGTCAATACTTGGCCAAGCTCGTTTGTCATCAGGATGTTTCCGTTGCCCATCTGAGGCATGCCGGGGGACATGGGTCCGTTGTCAGAAGATCGGGCGCGGCGGAATTTGCGTACATCGTCCAGCTGGATGCGGTTGTTGACTGTAGACAACGCGGCCAGTTTCATAGCAGTAGCGTTCGCGACCATATCGGCCTGGTTGTTCGACTGCTGGAAATTGGCGACCATGGGAGTGCTCAGCTGGGAAGCCCAGCTTCCACCTGGGTTATAAGAAGGCGAAAGGAGCGGCATGTTGGAGGAGTTGGCCTCGAGAGCGTTCAAGGTGGTGGTCTGGACATTGTTGCTATCGTTCTGGAGAGGAAGACGTGGAGATCGAAGACCGGCGGATGGAGGTGGCTGAGTGAATTGGCCCATCGGTGGCTGCTGGTGCTGCTGCTGGCCCGAAGACTTGGGACGGTTCGCGCCCTCGTTCCAGGGTGATGCTGGCGGAGCATTGTTCTCTCTCTTGCTGTCCTCAGGGGCGGAGATGGTGGGAGCCGCTAGAGAGGTACGATCTCCAACGGTGCTATTGCGGTTGGACGCCGGCGCAACACCGACAACGTCGGTGAACTCAGCCTTCTGCTTGGCGATGGCAGCCGCGGCGTCCGGGAACATGCGGTTGATCTGGGATGTCTCCAAGCCCGAGTTGCGTTTTCCAGCACCCGGGGATGGCGGCGGACGGCCGAGGCCCATGGAATGACGGTTTTCGCCAGTGCCGAGCTTGCTCATGGCGTCGCTCAGTTTCTGGGTCATGGGATCTAGCGCTCGTCAGCATGGAAAGTGGCCTGTGGATGTTGTCAAGCTCACCTTTCTCTCCGAAGTTGGCAGGGGACAGAACTCCAGACATGGGCACGTTCTTGGACATCTGCTGCAGGACTTGGATGAAGAAGCGAATCTGCACCTGCGTCGTCTGCTGGAGGAGAGCGTAGAGGGCTGCAGTTCTCTCGGCCTCACTAAGGACGCGGAACCACTGCTCGATAGCGCTCAGCTCGTCCTTAAAGTCCTGATCAAGAGTGGCTGTCGCCATCTCTTCGAGTGTGTTCTCATATTGGTCGATATCGGCGAGCCACTGCTGAGCAGCGCGCTCCATCTCATCCGGGTTGCCCGACTGCGTGTTGTTGCGCCCGAAGTAGATTTCAGACGCGGGACGAATGCCACGGTTGGCAAGCGGGGAGGGGAAGCCACCTAGATCAGCTGAGGCACGGAGATGGTGGTTGGCGCCGAGGGAGGTTCGGGCTTGCGGGGGACGGAGCGAGCTGGAACCCTCGGGGGTGCTGTTCCTGTTGGCGGCGATGTGGCTGGCAGACATGGCGGCGGTGAAAGTGGTCGACGGCGGGTTGAAGTGTAGAGGGTGAAATTCTGGCAACTTGTCAGTACGGCCGGCCCAAGTGCTCGCAGGCCGGATGCTGGCACACGTACAGTGTAGACTGGGCGGGAGCACGAAGGAAGGTATTGATGCTTGCACACGAGTCTTCTCCTGCAGTCCCAGCTGCCTCAAGTCAGTATAACGTCGGACGCTCGTGGGAGCGCGAACTTGCCTGTGCCTCAAAGGAGAGCTCGATGAGTTTCGCGGGAGGCTGACACTTGTGCAGGGATGCGGTCTGCTGCGATGCACAGGCAGGCCGGGCAATAAGAAGAGACAGCGTAATATATCAAGGTACAAAGAAGGGAAGCTCAGCGACAGGAGGTCGAGTGTGAAGACGGCCAGAGGAGTGTTCGCTGCCAGGAGTCCGTCGAAAAGCCCGCGGCGTTGGGTTAGCGCGCCCAATCACGGAACCCTGCGCAAGGCTGAAGCAACGGCTCGCCAGATCTAGCCTGGTCCTCAGCTGTTACAGATAGTCGCGGCATACGTGACTACAAGCCTTCTGTTTGGATGGCGTCCATGGCTATCTCCGATTGTGTCAAGGGCGGTCACGGCTGCAGCTGCCTGTGAATCCCTCGCCTCTCCCCATGGTACACCTCCACACGCCCGCCCACCAGTTGACCGACTGTGGCACTGTGGCCGTTTCGAGTCGAGCAAACGCGTCGACAGCGTGCTAGCCACACGATAGCATAGACGGTCAGAAGCGCACCGTTTCTGTAACAGCTTCTGCGGTGCCGTGCTTCTTATTGGCGAGCCGCGCCGTCAAACGCTCCGAGAAACAAAAGGAATTCTTCCCGAGACGTGTTCATGCACTGCCCGCTGCTAACACTAGTCGTTCGGGTCCACGGATACAAAAGTTGTGCCTCTCCAGGTCGTGTTCTATCATTGCAGGAGCGTCTGAGACGACCCACTGTTGCCTGATCCGACATCTGATGCCCTTAGGTGCATGCGCTAACCTCAAATGGTTAGGTACGTGTCGTCAAACGTGCATTGATAGCGCTCCAACGCTCCGCGAACAGGTGAATGTAGGAACGATCCATCCTGAAGTGTGAGTGATAAACATGATCTGGTGGCGATTGGTAAGGTGAAGAGGAGGCGCGACTAACTATAGGCAACATGGTCGACAACTATCTGTTTGACTTGCAGTTCACACGGCTCTAGCAAATACTCGCTAACAACTGGTTTTTTAGAATAATGAGTGATACACAAAGTCCAGTTTCTCTATCCCCTTGTAGGCTACAGGCATTTCGCTATCAACAATGATAAGCAGCTTTCGTTTCCGCGAGATACCAGTATCTGAAAAAGCTAAGAAGGCCACAGTGCCTGAACAATCTACAAATTGGATTACTTGAGGCAACGTCGACTTCGAGGCATCTGTCTGATTTTCTCTTGATGGGGTGACTGACATGTCTGAAAGTAGCGATAAGGTGGATGAAGATAGTCTTTGAGGAGTATTGTAAGGTTAGAGTATTAAAGTGTTGGAATGCTGGGCTGGGCTGCGGCTGGTTACTCTCGCTCTTGCCACTAGTAGTGAGGTCTAGCCACGCACAGTGAAGTTCCTTCGCATACCTTTGAGTCAAGAATGTCCAGACGTTCTGGTATCGAATGCCATCCTCCTTGAGATACTGAGTGTAAGAGTCGGCGGCAGCGTGGCCGACAATAGTGCCACACGCCAATCACCACGGAGCAGAAGATAGCCTCACTGTAGAAGGAATTTGTACGAAGATGAAAGTGTTTCTCGGTGGAAATGGGTATCTTGTTGTTTTACATCTGCCGTGCTCAAAGTTTCATGATGATGCCGCTGCTTGCTGTGATTGCTGTGCCGCCGACTGGATTTGAATAATCTGATTTGGGCATTAGCTATCCGCGTAACGAGACACGTTCGAAAAACATACCTCGCCCTTGATCTTCTCACTCTTGTCTTGTATACCCTGTATCTGTTTCTCGATATCCTTGCTGCATCCAGTCAGCAGAGACTCGCCACGCCAACGGGCCCACTCACATCTGTTTGTCGATGAACTCGAGGCGACCGTTGACCGACATGACTGCCTCCGTCTTGTCCTGCTTCAGCAGTACTGGGCCAATTTGTTTATAGATGTTTGCATCGTCGTCGAGGATGTCAAACTCCTGAGATGACGCCTTTCAGTATGTGATCCGAGACCAATCGCAATCTCCGCATACCTTCTTGACGGTACTGTTCTCCTGTTGTTGCGATTCGAGCTTCTGGCGAGCCTCTACTGCAGTTCCGAGCTCTGTTCCGAGATTAGCTAGGGATCGGCCATCTTTGGGCGCGGCTTACCAGCCTGGAGGCCTTGATAGCTTTCAGACAGCGCCTGCAGCTTCTTTTGCACGTCTGCCATGGCTTTGGTGATGCTGAGTGACGCGTGCTGCAAAGTTTGGTGCAGTCTCGTTCGGAAGTCGCGAGTGGGATGCTGAACTCCCTCAATCCGGTTAGAAGCAACGCGGGGCTAGGTGCCTTGGCCGTACCTGGAGCGACGGGCACCTCTCGTGTACGACCGCAAAGCCCATTCACGCGAAACAATCTCGAGCGCACCCTCGCCTAAACATCGTCGATCCAAGCTGCGAATCCCTCCCTTGCCTCACATACTCGCCCTGGCCCCGCGAACCCACAGGCAGCCTGCACGCGATTGCCCCACTCAGATCGCCCTCCGCCGCCCATACATCGATCAATCAACACACCAGCCGACGCGCGCTCCGAGAATCACGCTCGCTGAAGCCTCCACCGACCTCCGGCCTTCACAATGAGCAACGCCGACTTCCTCGGCCGGGCCATCGAGACGGTCAAAAAGGCAATTGAGACGGACACGGCAGGCGAATATGAGAAGGCGTATCAGCTGTACTACAGTGCTCGTCAGTGCCACGAGATATAGGTCATGTTAATTTGGATGCTAACTTCATGCGCAGTCGAACTGTTCATGCTCGCTCTCAAATGTACGTCGGTCGGATTCTGTAGATTGGCAAACATGCTGACGCTCAGTAGGGGAGAAGAACCAGAAGTCCAAGGATATGATCCGCGGCAAGGTAGCCGAATACATGGAGCGCGCCGAGAAGCTCAAACAACATCTGAACCAAAATGACGCCTCAAATCGCAAGAAGCCAGCAGCCATGGGCTCAAACGGCAAAGCAGCAGGTGGAAGTGGAAAGGGCGGAGGGTACATATCAAGTCTGCGCCGGCCGAGAGTTCGCAACTGACCTCTAACAGTGACGAGGACGAAGGCGAACAAGACGCCGACTCGAAAAAGCTCCGCGGTGCGCTCGCTGGCGCCATTCTATCCGAGAAGCCCAACATTCGATGGGAAGACGTAGCAGGTCTGGAGATGGCAAAAGAAGCACTCAAGGAGGCCGTTATATTACCCATCAAGTTTCCTCACTTGTTTACCGGGAAGCGACAACCATGGAAGGGTATTCTTCTCTACGGGCCACCTGGTACCGGTAAGAGTTACCTGGCAAAGGCGGTCGCTACCGAGGCGAACAGCACATTCTTCAGTGTCTCCAGTTCCGATTTGGTCAGCAAGTGGATGGGTGAATCAGAACGGTAGGTGAAACAGTCCATTTCGGCGCGACGCGGCAACTGACATGATGTTAGACTCGTAAAACAGCTCTTCGGCATGGCTCGCGAGAACAAACCCTCGATTATCTTCATCGACGAGATCGACGCGCTCTGCGGACCTCGAGGCGAGGGCGAGTCGGAAGCATCACGACGTATCAAGACAGAACTGCTAGTGCAGATGGACGGTGTCGGTAAAGATTCGAAGGGCGTACTCATTCTCGGTGCGACGAACATCCCATGGCAACTTGACTCTGCCATCCGACGACGATTCCAGCGAAGAGTTCACATAAGTCTGCCAGATCAACCCTCCAGGATGAGGATGTTCGAGCTCGCGGTTGGCAACACACCTTGCGAGCTGAGCCAGGCCGACTACAAGAAGCTAGCCGAGCTTAGTGAGGGATACTCTGGGTCTGATATCTCGATTGCGGTACAAGACGCGCTCATGCAGCCCGTGCGACTTATTCAGACAGCAACACACTACAAGCCCGTCGAAGTAGACGGTCAGACAAAGTGGACACCGTGCTCACCCGGTGACCCACAAGCAGAGGAGAAGTCATGGACAGACCTAGACGGCGATCAGCTGCTCGAGCCACCTCTAAAGGTCAAGGACTTTGTCAAGGCGATCAAGGCTTCAAGACCGACTGTGAGCAGAGAGGATTTGGACCGCAGCGCCGAGTGGACAAAGGAGTTTGGTAGTGAGGGCGCGTAGACGAACCGTTTGTTGTCGTTTGAGGCGGTGCTGTATATCTTCGAGGCGCTTTTGGTGTTTATATCCCCTTCTAGCATAGCGAATCCAGGCCGTACATGGACCGGCCGGCGTTGATGCTTCGAATACATAAGCAATTTGAGGCTTTCTCGTTCCATGATGCTACAAAGGCGATACAGCATATACATTCATATCTCGCTTTGAGATTCTCAGGATTGAGGCAAAGATGTCATTGCGACTCGTGGCGCTTGCAGAGTGAACGTTCTTGAATAATGGTGGCTCATTTCTCTACACTAAACTGGTCCAGCGTAGTCCATTCCATGGCACGATCGAAGTGGGTGAGGGGACGAAGGGGAAACTTGGGGGGAATATGTGTAAAACCGGACCGGACCTGACCTAACCGCCTAACCTAACCTGTCCTAACCAAAACAAGCACTCCGCCGTGATAAAGATGCTTCTCTATACTTCGCCAGCCTTGTTACCAATGACGAGGCCCAGGGACCCTCACGTCATGCTCTTTCATCGTATCTTCGTGCTGATGTCATGTCACAATTCCGAATCGAACGCCGCTCATGCATCGTGTCCCATGTGGATTTCCTTCCACAAGTCCATAAAGTTGACCATTTACGAACGGCCTAGTCAGCCTCTAGCTGAAGTAGGCTTGCGCAGTACGCTGCTGCTCTGGTGTCAAAGTCGCGGCAGCCTGGCCAAGATCGGTGCTGGTCGCCTGGATCAGAGCCTTCACGGATGCGACAACGCGGTTCGCGGTCTGTCCTTGCAGAGTTTCGGCCTCCAGGGCTTGCACAACGTAGTTGAAGACCTTTGCGGGTTGAGAGAACACAGCTTGGTTTTGTCTGAAAGATGTTAGTGTGGATCTCATGCATTCGCGATGTGGCGCTAAATTAACTTACTGTTCAATCAGCTGAGCTAGGAACGCATAGGCGTATGGTGTAGCCTCCTCGTCGTTGGTGATGGGAAGCGTATCCATCCAGGCAGCGGCGACACTGTCCCAGTTTGCGACCTTGCTCGCATTGTAGTGTAGGATCTTGGCAATTGCAGCCGAAGCATTCTCTGTCGCGAAAATGTCGTCGTCCGCGCGAGCGTTTGGTCTCTGTGTAACCTGGAAGAGCGTCTCCAGGGACGCCGCAACAAATTCGGACCAGTTCTCTCCACCCTTGTGAGCTGCAACACCAATTCCGTATACTGCTGCCTGGCGATTGGCAGGGACGTCATCTTGCATACCATCGATGAGAGGTTGGATAATCTGGTCCTTGTATTGCCACGACTCTGGACCACAGAACTCGAGCACATCGTCGTAGATGCAAATCGCCCACTGGCGTTGAGTGGGGTCTGGGTTAGCAGCGGACAAGCTATAGAATTGGGTTAGTTCAGCCCAGTAAGGCAAGAACGCTGTGCCCATGGTCTTGAAAATGCTGTGGAACGCCTTGTTCATGTCGGAGAGGAGCGTCTGGTCGTCTTCTATGGCAAACAACAGATCTTCTGAAGCTTCCTCGCCATCATCATTCTCGGCCTGCTCCTCTAGACGTTCCTTTACGCGTACGTGGTAGTCTTGAAGCACGCTTCTAGCGGACTCAATGAAGGTCGTCATGTGTGCGTTGGTGAGGCAGTTGCGGCCAATGCACTCTAGACACTCGTAGAAGCATTGGTACATCTCGGCGAGGGTATCAATGGCGGGCTCAGTGCTGAGCACTTCGAGGACACGCTCGACGGTGCGTCCCCACAGCTCGCTCAGTTGTGTAGATTCCGGACCGTGGGCCTTCTTGTACGCATTCAGCAGCGCTGGAACACACTTGGCTGATGCCACTCGCACGGGGTCGTGGAAGAAGAAGGCTAGGCCTGGGAGCGCGATCTTCTCCATGATGTCGTTGACGTAGGGCTCGAAAGCGTCCTCTAGAACTTGCGCGTAGATGACAATGAGCTCAATAGCCATGTGTTTGTCGTCAAGGATGCTGGTCTTGATTCCAATAACCTTGCCCTTGAGCGGGACCAACTCCCAGCCTTCTTCATCTTGGATCTGGGCAACTTGTTCCTCGTCGTCAAGAAGTTGGATATCAGCCTTGGCTCCAGCAAGCTCTGTCAGTGGTGGGATGACACCAGCAAGGAAAGGAACGAACTCCCGTCCTAGAACACGGCACATGCGACCCCAGCAGTGGAGGAGATAGGATGCTTGCGGGTCATCGGCCTCAGAAACGCTGTTCTGGATCCGTCCGAGCAGCTGTACAAGGTTGAGTGCGTCTTGGCCCATACGGTCCTTGCCGACAGCGAGAGCGATAAGCGTCGCGCACTCCATGGCCTTGGCACGGAGAAGTCGGTATTCTTTGGATTGCTCTTCTTGTAGGACATTGAAGAGAAGAGGCATAAGCGTGTCGTAATACTTGGAGAAGGCAGCCTCTGCGGAATCCGCAACGGTGGCAATAGTAGACAGGGCCTGTTCCTGTACGAAACGCTTGGGGCTCTGCAGGAGCATGAGCAAGTGGTTAAGCAGCTGGTCCAGGTATGGCTCAAGGATGTTCTTCTCAGCCTCCTCGCAGAAGTTGACTAGAGCAGCAGCAGCGTGCGCCTGCACGCGAGGCTCCGAAGACTCCAGGACGGGGATGATGTTGGGTAGAACGACCTGGTGGTACGTCTCTTGCATGGTACCGGCAAAGTCAGTCGACATCTGTCCGACAGCATTGCAAGCGGCCCATCGCACTCGTGGATGGGGGTCTCGGAGCGCAGGCAATACGAGATCCAGGACTTTGTCAAGCTCGCCAACCATCAGCTCGCGACAACCCTCGGAGATGGCTGATATCGCCATAAGAGCAGCGTGCCTGTCGCGCCACGCCGAAGAAGTCATCATGCGCGGAAGCCAGTTGAACGTTGGGGGCAGAATGGCTTGTCCACCGAGCTTGTTTGCCAGGCGATCCATACACTGCTCACCAGCCACATGGTTCGAGTCGCTTTCTTCATCCAAGTCTTCTGACACGTTCCACTCCTCAGCATCGTCATCGTCAGCTCCAACGTCGGTCATCAAAGACAGACATTGAGTAACCATGTCATTTGTGAAGTTGGCATCCTTCTTGCACATCAGAGGTGCGTTATCCGCGAAGGTCGCCATGAGTTCCAACGCGTTCTGCCGAGCCGTCTCTCCCAGATCCTTGTCCTGGATAACGGAAATGCTGAACTGAACGAGGTCGTTGAACGGAGGCTTGAACATCTTGGGCGCAACTTCGGCAAGGTCGATGAGCGAGATGAGGGCCTTTGTGAGGAGCTCTGCATCGCCAGACTCCTTGATCGGGGGCAGAATACTGAGGATCTCCCCGACGAGAGAATAGTACTTGGACTGGGCCTTCTTGGTGATTGAGCGGAAGAAGGACGCGAAGGCTTCGACGGATGCGATTTTGACCTGCGAGATGTAAGTTGAGGGCTTCCAGGTGCATGCGGAAGACGAACCGATGTCTCGCTGTCGGCAAAGCCGCCCTTGAAAGCAGTCAAGACTACGTCCTCATGCTGCTTCTCGATGATCTGCGGGGTTGTCGAGAATATCCTGAAGGCGTTCTCACGCTGCGCGGGGTCTGCGGACTGGCTTGCCTGGAACAACGCGCCCAGAAGCTCCGGCCATGCAACGCCTAGATGTATTTAGACATGTTTTTGTAGCGTGTCCCGTTTCCTCGTACCTTCGTCTGTGTGCTGGCGTGCGAGTTCGGCAACAGCATCTCCAACCTTGGTGCGCACTGAGTTGTCCGTCTCGTTCGCGAGGCAATGGAGCAACTTCGCGCGTATGGCTTCGCGCTCGGGGGCGTTGAGGGTCAAGAAGAGGTCGGCGGTCTGGCCTGAGGGCGCCTTTCGCGGTTTCGACGACTGTCGCCTGAAGATGACGGCGGCGAACGTCCGTGTCTAACACAGCCTGTAAGCTAGAACCCAGGGTTTCTACCGAGCGGGACCCTTACTGAGGTATCCTGCGCCAGCTCGATCTGCTCTGAGAGGCCCATCAAGAGCACCTCGGGCCTCTGGGCAACCCACTCGTCATTCAACTGCTGCTCGGCAGCCGTGCGCTGAATGTTATCCGGCGACTGGAGGCCCTGCAGCAGGGTCGCCAGCGCCGTGTGAACCTCGGCGGGGAGGACAGACATATCGTATACGTAGATTGGTAGTGGAGGGCAGCGGCCCAGGAAGCGTGGTGTTGTTCACAGGCAACAAGGGAATACGGTCGCTTGGTCCCTGGTAGTGCTGCTTGCGGAGCGCGTGTGACGTGTTGGAGCGCCTCTGCTGCAGTGGAACTATGCAGGACGGGGCAGCGTATATCTTGGTGCAGACACGATCTTTCCGCGGCAGAGACTGGTGCTTTGTGTGGTTTCGCCTCAAGTCATTGATCGATGTTTTGGTGGGGGAGAGTGTTGGCCCAAAAAAGTGTGTCACTCCACTCATTGGCCAGCTAGCGTATCCTTGAAGGCTACGGAGCCCTGGGGTACACCGACTCACGAAGCATTCACTGCATGGACCCTGTTGAAACCACCCAGCTGGCTCATATATACTTGAAAACACGATCGACACTGCAAATTCGGCGTAATATCGTGTATACTCTTAGTGAAAGGAAAGATGAATCAATACACGGCTGGGTGCATCGCCAGCCATCCTGTTCATGAGAGATACCATGCGCGTGACCTGCCACGATAGGAGTAGGAAAACCTTGATCTAGCTTCAAGTACGGAGCCCCGAAACCTACAGCAATGCTAGATCCTTGAATCTGTTTACTTTGTTGTAGTAGGCTGTATAGGCGCTGTCTAGGTACAGCCGTCTTCAGAGTAAGCTCCTCCGAGGTTAGAAACACAGGCCATGCAGTAGGACAGACCAGATGGAGCCAGCGCGCGAGCTAAAATTCTGGTCTTTTGCAGGCAGTCGCCCGTAGGCCGAGCAGGCGCATGTGCAATGGCAGCAGGCCAGGGGAAGAGCGGTCTAGCTAGCCTCGTCGCTTGCGCCTTCTGCGTCTACCCTGGCAACCACGACTTTGCTTCTATTGACCCCTCACCAACAACCCGACTTCCACGTCTCGGTCAAAAGCAACATGTCGCATACGGGGACTATGCGCGGTACGCCCAAGCCCAAGAACCAGCACCCGCCCCAGCAATTCCCCCACAGCCCCTCGGGGATCCCGCGACCAGCAGCTCTCGAGACGCATGCTTCTCATGTTGCCCAGAGCGATGCGGGCGGCTCTTCGCTCAGCGCCAGTCGTGCCAAAATGTCGAAGCGCGACGACGTAAGCTGCCCTGCTCGCCATGGACTGCCACATACTCATGATGCCTAGGCCATCCGCCGCAAGATCGAAACCGACCTGAACAAAAAGAAGAACCCCAGCGGCCGCGTGCGACCCTCCAAGAAAGCCCCGCCTGGCACTGTCCTCGCCTTGAAGCCCTCCCCCGCGCTCCAGATCAAGCCCTCCACCTCAGTCGCCGAGGCTGCGCAGTTGATGGCAGCTAAGCGCGAGGATTGTGTCCTAGTTACCGACGACGATGACCGTATTGCGGGTATCTTCACGGCCAAGGATCTGGCCTTCCGCGTCGTTGGCGCCGGCATCAAGGCTCGCGATGTCACAATCGAAGAGATCATGACCAAGAACCCCCTCTGCGCAAAGACCGACACAAGTGCGACCGATGCTTTGGATCTCATGGTCAGGAAGGGCTTCCGCCACCTTCCCGTCATGGTATGTTGGGCTATAAATATGCGTCGCGGGTGAACTGACGTGGGATAGGACGAAAACCACGACATTTCCGGTATCTTGGACATCACCAAATGTTTCTACGACGCCATGGAGAAGTTGGAGCGCGCCTACGCTTCCTCGCGCAAGCTGTATGATGCTCTGGAGGGTGTGCAGGCCGAGATGGGCTCCAGCCAGCCGCAACAGATCATTCAGTACGTCGAGGCTATTCGTCAGAAGATGTCTGGTCCTACTCTCGAGTCTGTCTTGACTGGCCTGCCCCCAACAACCGTATCCGTGCGCACTTCTGTCAAGGAAGCTGCGTCACTCATGAAGGAGAACCACACAACCGCTGTTCTGGTGCAGGACAATGGCTCCATCACCGGTATCTTCACCAGCAAGGACGTCGTCTTGCGTGTGATTGCCGCGGGGCTCGACCCGATGACTTGCAGTGTCGTACGAGTGATGACTCCGCATCCCGACTTTGCGCCTATGGACATGAGCATCCAGTCCGCTCTGCGCAAGATGCATGGTAAGGGGTCTAGATCTATAGCTCTTCGAATAATTGCTGACTTTTGCAGATGGTCACTACCTCAACTTGCCTGTCATGAGCGACGCAGGGGAGATTGTTGGAATGGTCGATGTTCTCAAGCTGACTTACGCCACTCTTGATCAGGTACGCCCACTTCTGCTTGTCAAAGTATCATTGCTAACTCCTTGAAGATCAACAACATCAGCACGACCGACAGCGAAGGTCCCGCGTGGAACAAGTTCTGGCTGTCTCTGGACAACGAGACCGAGTCGATGATGTCGGGCGAGGGTGGGAGTCGCGTCCACGACCATCGCTCCTACGTCTCCCACCATGATCGCCCTGGCCTAATGGACCGTGGCGATAGCGTACTACCCAACGAGTCTGCCTCTCATCACGGGGACTCACCAGACGCATCTGCTGTCGCCAGTATTCCTCCCTCTCATATGGAGGACATGCCGTTCCCTTTCAAGTTCAAAGCTCCAAGTGGTCGCGTTCACCGTCTGCAGGTCGTTGTATCTGCTGGTATTGAAGAGCTCATCCACAATGTAGCGAACAAGCTTGGAGGAGAAGTCGAGGCCATAGGAGGCGTACCGAGCTTTGATGACGGCAAGGTTTCCCGGGGTGGCTTCGCTTTGAGCTATCTCGACAACGAGGGAGACACAATCTCCATCACCACCAACGACGATCTTGTTGAGGCTGTTAGTCTATCCCGCATGGCACATCGCGAGAAGGTAGATCTCTTTGTGCACCATCCTGAAAAGGCACCAATGTCTGCCGAGGTCAACCCACAACCTGCGCTGCCCAAGCCTGTCACACCGCCTGAGTCGTCTCTTCGCGAACGTAGACAGTACTTTGACGAAGAGGAAGAGAAGCCTAGATCACGAGGCCGTAATCAGCCAGTACCTATATCGCAACAGCCAGAGATCATCGCTGGTGTACCGAACGACCTTCTCCTTCCTGGAGCTATCGGTGTACTAGCTGTTGTCATCGTCGGTGTGTTTGTGCTTGGCCGCGCCAGTCGGTAAGAATTGGGTGGACGTTAGGTAATTTGTGTTGGAGTATGAGCGAGAATGCATTGTTTCCTTTGTTATAACCTGATATCCCATAGATCCCTGGGTGTTTCCTAGCAGTTTGGCAGTCAGATTGAAATACATTTTACTTCCACCTCTTACAACAAAAAATCTGGATAGGCCTGCAGCCTACATTAAGATGAGAACATGCAAAGTAGACGACCTGATCATAACGTAAGCTCTAGGGTGTGCCAAGTTCAAATTTAAGTAGTCACACGTCCCACAGAAATACGCCATCGTTATATTTCCTGTCGTGCATCATTGAAGTCGTCGAAGAAAGAAAGAACGGCCAACATCATTCTCATGATGTCCTCGAAGCTTTTCTGACGGCGGGGGAAGAACTTCGGGTAATCAATATGGCTGGTAGCGTAACATACTGGTCCTTGCATGATTGCCAAAGCGCCCTTCCAAGAGTGAACGCGTATCCCTACTTTCCGAGGACAACAATAGTAATAACAGTGGAATCTTCACTGCCTTGAGACTTGTTTCACTTTCGTACAGTGAAGCTGCGCGGAGGCTGTGGGTGCTGCGGCTAGCGCGCGGTACGCCAAGAGATAAGATTAGATCCGCTTAAGCGAATTTCGTCGACACAGTGCGCGACGTCAGGAAGGAACGACTCTCACGACAACACCCCCACCGCTGACTTCTAGATACATCTTCAGTACGCTCCCCGTGTTCCCTCAACCCAAAATCCCGCTCACACAACTCGATAGAATCAGCAGCCATGGTTAAGAAGCGAGCGTCCAACGGCCGAAACAAGAAGGGTCGCGGCCACGTCAAGCCCATCCGTTGCTCCAACTGCTCGCGATGCACACCCAAGGACAAGGCAATCAAGAGATTCACCATCCGCAACATGGTTGAGTCCGCTGCCATCCGTACGTCTCCCGGCCACGCTCGCACCGCGTCACACTACAAAACAGAAGGGGCGGCATTGGGGAATTGAAGACTAACGCCACGCAGGTGATATCTCCGATGCCTCCGTATTCCCCGAGTACACCGTCCCCAAGATGTACCTGAAGCTCCAGTACTGCGTCTCCTGCGCTATCCACGGCAAGATCGTCCGGTACGTTGAGCCCGCACGAGGATTCGGCTGAGCCCATGTCTAACACACTCGCAGTGTCCGCTCGCGCGAAGGCCGCCGCAACAGGGCCCCTCCCCCAAGGGTCAGGTACAACAAGGACGGAAAGAAGATCAACCCCAACCAGGCCGCTGCTAAGACTACCACTGCTTAAGTGGAGTGTGGTTCGAAAACGGAATGATCATGGCGCTTGGTGTGGGGTCTTAGGGTTCTTTCGGAATGTCATACTGGAAAATGCATGATTCCAGAAGGAAGGGCAGACTAAATGACGAATCATGGTTAATGCTCGCTCGGATTGCCTGCCTAAGCAGCACCGAGAGCTAGCTATGAACTTGTAAACGAATATCCAAGTCGACTTGCACCAACCCTACGTTTGCTGCGGTGATGTTACGTTGGGAACTGACTACGCATAAGGTCCTGATGATCGAGCTCACTCTGCGTTCACAGTGGGTATGCAACCTAGATGGCATTCCAAACATGATGATGAACTGCAATATCCCATGCTCCATTTCGCCAATTCTAGCCAATTCGTTGTCCCAAACATCGTAGAATGCCGTCATTTTAGTCGTTCCGCTTCTTGCCCTCGCCCAAATCACCCCCATCTTCGAGACTCTTTCCATTCGACGGCTCGGGTTCGGTTGTTTCCCAGTCTTCCGCGTTCTCGTCCCATCTTTCAAGCTCCTCGTCCACTGTAGTTCTGACAACACCAGATTCCTGACCTTCGGGGTTCTCGCCCAACTCAATATCCCGCTCCTCGTCACCCGCGACGGCTGTATATCCGCGCGCAGCCCGTTTGCGCTCGAGCATGCGCTTGTGGTACCAATTGCATAGGCCGAGAGCGAGGAGCGAACCGAGAACGTTGGCTATGATGTCGTAGTAATCGAAGTCGCGATGTATCTTGATATGTGTCAGCTTCTTGTACAATTGTTCCTCCCATGTATTGACTCACAGGCAACAGCCCTTGTACGACCTCACTTGCGACTCCCAGACCAATCGTGCACACGGTAAAGGTGAGCTGCAAGACCTTCCTCCTACTCGTTTCTAGTATCCAGTAAAAGCATAGTGTGAGTAGGAAGAAGGCGATGAAGTGTAGTGCTTTATCCGATTGCTTGTATGAGGGGATCTTGTAATCGGGTGGGGAGAAGCCGGCGCCGGCGCTGATGAAGATGAGGGCTACGAAGGCACCTGTATAGACATTAGCTTGGTATGATACGGAAGCAGAGCGCAAGTTCGAGGAACACGTCCATTCCCAGGTTGATTGCTTGAGCGCTGTGCCTCGAGCTCTCTGACGTAGGAAACAGCAAGTGCGACCTACCAGCAAATGGCTTCCGGATGCGCATGGTGACTTTGTATAGCAGCGACTATAAGCACTCGAGGAGCATTTCCAGCCCTAAAAATCGGAGAGTTGCAGTCAGCGGGCGGCAAGAGCTACCAAGCGTCGTTATGCGGCCACAAGCTGGCATTCTGGCGGAACTGGCTTGCAGAAAGCGGCTAACGGCTTTCGGTATTCCCGCTGTCGATCACGTGTGGAACCTGTGAAAATCGACAACCTAGGAAGCTGCGGGTAGGGGCGGGTAGTTTTGATTGACCCCAGGTCTGTGATCTGTGTACCTGGCGCTATTTCTACATTTGAGGTTAGGTTTGGGATGGAGAGTCTCGGCTGCCAGGGCAGATGCGTGAGAAGCCTTCCTCGATGGTGCTGCATTACTGATACGGTAGGTGTATATCTGGAAACCTGATCGCTCTGAATGATTACCCGATGATATACGGTGTGCGACTATCAGGTAGCATAGGTAGGGCTGTAGGCGATCTGAGCTGCATACATGATGTACCCCAGAGGTACTCGGGTGTCGTACCGACGGCAAGCATACCTATGTAGCATCATGTCCAGCGAATAACTTCGGGCCACTCTTTAGGGACTTGCAAGGACAAGAACAGCAAAAGTCATCGAAGTAGTTCTCTGTGCTGGCCCAGAAGGCGTGCGATACTTCAAAGTTGGCAAGTAATGGTAATCTAGGTACCCCCTAGGGACACCGTCGGAGCCAAGTCAGTGCGCGCAAGACGATCGAGGACAAATCGGAGACATTGGCGTAGATGTAATTGATCTTGATGGTAGAAACACTGCGATGCGTACATACAGCAGTCACAGCACTTTGATATTGGGAAGTAGGTAGGTGACGCGGGCCCTGGACTGCGCAGAACGCTAAGGCGGCTGGACGAGGAATAGCCCCCATCCACCTACAACCCTAACACCACGTTCGTTCATCAAAGGCCGTATCTGTGGCCATCAAGACGCGAGCCCCAATACCCTCTTCCATCTCGCAGTCATCGGCAAACCTTTCGCTCGACCGGTAGCTCCTTCCATGCTTGATTTTATCGCGTTGCGACACCTGGACCAGTTGGGACGTCGCCCTCTGGTTGCGCCTTCCCCGTAGGTCGCGAACCGCCAAGACCCCCCACAGCCGACGACGACGATGTCCTTCAGCGCTTCCCCATATCCTCCATCGTCGCGAGAACGCCCAAGCCATGCCCGCTACCTGCACCAACCGCCCAACGCGACTCGATTACGCACCCCCAATGCGACGCTGAATGATGAGGCGGCCATGTCAAACGCCTCCAACGCGATCAACATGGGGGACGGAGACATGGTGGGAGAGGAAGACCCCCGCGCGGCGCGATGGCGCGAACAGTTTCTACGCACAGAAGCGCGTCTCTCTGCAGTGATCGGTGGCACGTACGAGGGTGATGCTGTTGATGCCCTGGACAACGAGCCGCGCCCGTCATCCGGGGATGCGGCGGCGCATGACGCGCGACCGGCCGTCACCCCGAAGAAGTTGACCCGCACAATCGACGAAGACGACTATGGCGACGATGAAGACGACGAAGACGAAGACGATACCCGCACCTCGCCGCTACACTCAAAAGGCGCTGCCAATGGCGTTGCTGCTGCCGCTCCCAGCACGCCAAGCCTCCTCCGCGTTCCTTCCATATCGAACAAGTCAGGTCACGACCGGACCGGGACACCTTCGTCGGACCATACAAAGACATCAGACGATGTGCGCAAGAAGCTACAACAGGATAAGATTGCGACCGAGGATGCGGCCAGGCGGAGCTTCCAGACAATGTTCTACTCGTTGGAAAGTGATCGTGACGCCATGCTAGAGCAGCAGAAGCTTGACGAACTCGACCGTCAAGTAGAGATAGAAACGTCCGGAACGCCTGCGAATGCACCCCCCAACAGCGTCGTCGTCGCCCCCCAGCAAGGCACTCTCAGCACCACTAACCTTGGCGCCTCCAGTCTCACACTCAAGCACCTCATCTCCCGTATCGACGCACAAAGAGACAAAGTCCACGCGACTGATGCGCAGCTCCGAAGCCTTATTAGCGAAGTCCGTAAGAACAGGAGTAAATGGGCAAACGAAGAACGTGTTGGACAGGAGGAACTATACGAGAGTACAGAGAAGGTTCTCATGGAACTCAAGGCCAACGAGCATGCTCACCCCTTCCTTCAACGCGTCAACAAACGAGAGGCACCGGACTACTACAACGTGATCAAGCAGCCCATGGATATTGGCACGATGATGAAGAAGCTCAAGCAACTCCAATACAAGTCCAAGAAGGAATTCGTCGACGATCTTATGCTCATATGGTCAAACTGCTTAAAGTACAACGCGGACCCAAGTCACTTTCTCCGGAAAAAGGCACTACACATGAAGAAGGAAACCGAGAAGCTCGTACCCCTTATCCCGGACATCACTGTTCGCGATCGTGCAGAAGTCGAGGCAGAGGAACGGAGAATGCGTCATGGCGATGCAGATGCCGACGGCGCCGACGATAGTGAAGACGAAGAACCTATCATGGCTTCACGAGGACGAAAGGCACCAAGCAAGGGAGGCAAAGGCTCAAGTACAGCAAGAAAGGCCCCTCCAGCAGGTCTGGAGGACACACCGGGACCTGAAACAAAACCATCAGCTCCATCTCTCAATAACGCAGTGTCCAATCTTAAGAACGAGTTTCTTCGAGCAGACTCCGAAATGGAAGGCAGCGTCAACGGCTTTTCGACACCTCCCCCACCCGGTACATTGACACCGTTGGGAGCGAACAGCATTTCGCGAAACGGCGTGAATGGTAGCCAAGCCGACGTTTCGGAGGCTGACGGCACTGGTATCTCGGTCAGTGATGTTCTGGAAGAGGATGCTGATTTGGATGATCTGGAATACAAAACATGGAAACAAGTGACGAAAAGAGATCGAGCAATCATTGCGTCAGAAAGGCATAGACTGTTCCGTGACGACCACCTACAGCCAGATGAACCTGCTATTCTACGCACAAAAGCTGGCATGAGAAGATGGCTACGACACCGAAAGCAAGCTATCGAGGAAGAAACTGCAAGCGGGGCCGTCTCCGCTCCGGACGGAAAAGACGGCGTTCAGGCCACTGCTGGTGAGTCACTCGCCGAGGGTATCGAAGGGGAAGAGGAGCGCCAGATTCCGGATTACTACGACCCTGTGTGCGCCATTCCCGACCTTTCTGAACGCCTGCAATGGGTTGAAGACGCCGAGGGCTATGTCATTCCTCAGGCTGAGGAGTACATGCGTATTCTGCCAAAGGGGCAGTTCGTATCGCCAGACAGTGCTTTGGTTCACAAGTTCGATGACAACAACCACATACTGCAAGAAACCAGGAAGATATGCGCAAAGATCGGCATCGTCAAACAGATGCAGATCCAATCGCAGGTAAGTTTGTATCCGAAATTCGAAGGAATATACCGACCGCTAATTCGTATAGCTATACCAAAACCAGTTTCAACGATATGAACCGCAACCTTTCCACGAGGCAGACATCGAGCCAACAGTCACATCCGAGGATGGGCCGATCATGGCCCCCTATGTCTGTCGCGCCGCCTTACAACGCAGCGTTGGCAAAGTCTTTTATCATGCTGGTTTCGAAGAGTTCCAGCCATCAGCTCTTGATGCCGTTACTGACATTGCGGCGAAATTCTTCCAGAATCTTGTTGCAAGTCTCGGGGTATATCGCGAAACACCGAAGATGAAGTCAGATGTCCCCATCACTCTTCCCAACGGACAGGCTACAAGTTGGACACCACGCTTTACTCAAGAAGAAGCTGTCCTTCACTCTTTGCACGCCAATGGTGTCGATCTTGAGTCTCTCGAGACTTATGTCAAGGACGATGTTGAGAGGCTTGGTACCAAGCTCGGTGGCATGCATGATAGGATGCGATCATACTACGCTGAACTCCTGCGACCAGCTATGGATAACGCCGGTGCTGACGGGGCCGGTGCCTTCAACGACGGTAGCGAGCAATTCGTGGGTGGAGACTTCGCAGAAGACATTGGCGAAGACTTCTTCGGTTTCAAAGAGCTCGGTCTTGACATCGAGTTCGGACTTACTTCCAGCGTCCCGTTGCATCTACTACAGAACAGGGTGCACAATGCATATGCCAGGCAGGACAACAGGTATGTTTCGCGATATGCTTTGATGAGGTTCTTACTAATATTCACAGCAATATTACTACTACTGGTGTCATTATGCCTGAGCCACCGAAGTTCGAGCCTGTCACCGTTCAGACCGCTGAGAACCAGATTGGTCTTCTCCAAAGTTGGCTCTTGGGTAAACTCCATGACAACAACAGCCAGCCGCTTGTCGAGGATGATGATCTTCCTCCGAAGCAGCGATTCCCTAAGCCACGCTTGCCACCTACAGGCAAGATCTCCAGTCCTCGGAAACGCCCTCTCAGAGAGCAGCAACAAATGGCTCGTAAAAAGCGTAAGCTGGACGAGGAGAAGGATGACAATGGCAACGATCAGGGTGGCTTCATGAAGGGCATTGGTAAACCCATCGGTAAGCTGAAGCTTGAACCGGTGCAAAGAGAGAATCATAGCGTTCAAGAGCCAGAGAAAGAGGATGGTAGCGCGCATGGCATGCCGAGCCCACCCGAATCTTTCTAGGAGCACTGCTTTGGAGGGTTGAACCGGCGGATCCTCTGCCGCTATGATCTCCAGTAATTTCGACTTTCCGGCACTCATTCTGGGTTTTGAGAAGCAGTCGTTCGCATTCATTGTTTCATCTATCGACATATCTCTATCCTGTCCGCTTTTTCGACGACTGCTTTCGGCCAACTCTGCGCCATTGGTATTCATTTCCGCAGATCGGACAAGTCCTTATGGCGTTTGTAATTTTTCCTTTACCTTGCTCATCATATCCCGGTGGGCGCAAATTTGTCTTATTACACGGGGAAGGCGGTAGGGCTCGTCCTTGTATACCCATCCTGCATTATGCGCAGTGGCCTTTTATGCATTTTTCCTGCTCGCGCGTTTGCGACGCCAGTTTGGTCTCATGATGGACTAGCTTTAGGCTTCGTTTTTTGCTCTTTGTATATACCAGGCCGACGAGATTGGGGATGGCACCACGGCATTCATGAGGCTTAAGATATTTCAATGCTACTCTTGTGGCATGATCACGTTATCTGTTTGGTGTGTGACTTGGATGACTTGTCGCTGACGAGGTGATGCAGTAGACGTAGTGTATAAATGCAATAACTAATACGATATGCAACGACGCAGCTCAAATCGCATTCAATCGCTATCGTACCCGCTGTAGTGTGTGATCGCCCACATGCTGATATCGTACTACAGAATGGGACTGCGCAGACAATATAGGCGGCTGTCACATCATAAATGAGAAAAATCAAATGCATACGGGGAGCGAGCCAGCGGGTCTCGAAGCATGCGCTTGAACATGACTTCCTTTTACCACTGCTGTACCTATCGCGGAACTCGGCCGCAGTGTGACCCCCAAGCTTACAGCAGTAAGTACATAGTTCCTCCGAGATTTCATAGCAGGTACTCAGATTATGATAAAAGTTCCGGTAGCGACGCTTACCTTCTTAAAACAAGTAGCAAGACAGGTCACAACATCAGTAATCTCGTTAGAGCACTCCCAAGGAGCACGCAATTGCTAAAAATGGTGTAGGTGAACGTGAAAGGTCGTATGCGCCAATGATGCGCAGCCAAGCCTCCAATTTTCACGATGAATGCTGAGAAGGGAAACTGGTGTTGGTGATACGCCTCGATTCCATCAGTGGTCGAGCTCAAATTTGAGGTCCGCGCGCTAATAACAAGCCCATCCCACTGTCCACACCTCCCTCCACTTTGAGCGACATCAGCATCATAATTCGAGCCAGACTTCAATAACAGTCAGTTGCTTATCTTCGGTAAGTAGTTGCCGCGGGCCGCTTTATCGCCTGGCGACTTTGAGAATTCTAAGCTAAGGTGGCACCAGTTGACCAGACGTGGATCATCTCGGACTTGGATCTCTTCTGTAACTTAACTTCCTCACAACAACCATCAACCTCGCGCGCATCTTCCCGCGCCACTTCATTCCATACTTCTAGTCAACCCAATCTTTTATTGCGCATTTTTGCGTCCGCATCTTCAACCCGCGTCAATTTCTGCAACCTGTTCTTGCGCTTGTCACGGCCGCCGCTCAACCTTGGCTGCCATTGTGTCTTTTTCTCGGTTCACCATGGCTCCCAACGGCCACGCGGCATCTGGAAGGAAGAGTACCCACAAGTCTAGCGACAGCTCTCCCGTTTTCTGGGAAGACAAGCATGGTCACCGGGAGTTCATGGATTGGAAAGAAGCAAATCAGAACGGTCCTTCCCCATCATACGAGGAATGGGTCGAGTCTCAAAAAATGACTGGTGGTCTCTCGCTATACTACACAGCGCTGAGCATGTTTGAGGAGTCTGATTCAACTGTAGGTCATTGTCATAATGAGCTAATTATACCGTATGCTAAAAGTTCCAGGACGAAGAGGCCCCACCTGTCAAGGCCAAACCTCAAGCCACCAAGGCTCGTGGCCAGGTTGGTCGGCCAAAGAAGAATGCGACTGCCAACGGTAATGGAGCGTCACGGGCGGCTGAGTCTGCGACACCGTCGGCCGTGGCCAACTCCGAAGACCAGAGTCCCTCCGGCAAGAAGAAGCGCAAAGCGCGGAAGAAGCCACTCGTGAGTACTCTTCGCATACCTTCGTCTAGTTACTGACAAGCATAGTCTGATGAGGTCATCGCCTCGGCGAGCGACGAAGGTGAAGCCAGTAAGGATTTGGGGGCAGAGACCGCGACGCCAACAGTACCAGCCATCGCCGTTAATGGCCAGCGCAAGTCTTCTGCTCGAAAGGCCAGGAAGAAGCCTATTGTGAGTTTCATCGTTTATTCGCTACCCAGCATGCACTAACCTGCCCATAGTCAGAAGAAACCATCTCGCCCGAAGATGAGCTAGAGGACCCGATGGAGACTACAATCGATGAGGTTGCCGCATCTGCAATCGTGTCTCCTCTTCCTGTTCGATCTGGTATGTGAATTTTGGACCCATTTTGAATGTTAATTACCCCACCTGTGTAGTTTTTTCATGTTCACCAAATACTGGCCGTGCCGAACCTCTTTGTGCTTTGACATTTCACGCGAAACATTGCTTGCTAGTCTGTTGTGTTCTTGCTAAAACATGTCACAGCTCCGAAATCGTCGACCGCAGCAACAGCGTCAGAGACACCGAAGAAGAGCCACATCCTCAAATTGAGCACCAGAAAGACACCGAAGACGAAGACTGCCGTAAGTATTCGTCTTTAGGTTCACGGTTAATTTGCTAACCTGTTCAAGTCTGAAGATTCTGCTATTGAAGGCGGAGCCGCCGAGGCAGGTGCTCACACCGAAGTCACGCCCACCAATGTCGCAGAGGCAATCGAGTTGAATGCCACATTCAACAGAACCGTCACACCCAGCGCTAGTAGTAAGATGGCTCAAGATGTTGACTCTGCTGCGGCTTCTCCAGATCCGACCACCGCGTCAGCAGGCTCCACTCGACGCGGACTACGGACACGAAAGCCAGCACAGCAGAGGCCATACTACCACGACTCGCAGCTGTTTGAGGATGTAGAGCCCACAAACGGGGACGCCCAGGAATCGAATAACACATCACCGACTGCAGAGGGCAGGAGAGCGTCGGTGGCGTCGATCAGTAGGAATATAGATGACGCCCTTCTGGCTTCGCTAGATGAAGAAGCCATGGCTTTGCTTCAAGAAGAAACGGAGCCGGAGCCTGCAAAGCCCAAGCACTTCAAGGGCAAAGGTCGGGCGTGGAAGAAAGAAGGTTCTGATGAGGACGAGGAGTTCTCTTTGGCTGCCAAGAAGAAGGCTGCTAAAGCAGCGAAGTTGAAGGCCAAAGGGCAAATCCCCAAGAAGCGGGGTAGACCCAGGAAGAGTGGTCGGTCTGAAGAGCTCATTGACGAGGAGGAAGAGGACAAAGAAGCGGTCAAGCGGAAGCGTCCACCACCGCGCAAGAGCGCGCTGTCTGAGGAAGTCATCATCGAAAGCTCCGAAGGCGAGGAAGTGAAAGAGATGGAGGTTGAGGAGTCTACAACACCCAAGTACACTCCAAACAAGTCCTACACCCCACAGGGCTTGCCGAAGTTCATGTCCAAGGACGACATTGGCACCAACGGCGACGCAGAGCTCGGCACTGATGACGAGCCGGAAGTCGCCAGTCCTTCCAAGAAAACCGCTTGAGGTAGATTTGAGGAGTTCAGTAAGCTACAACATCCTGATCAGCGGGTTCTCAGAAGCAAGCTAATGCGTTGATAGCAGACAGGCTTTACGATTGAGAGTCGACTTGGTTCCCACATTCCATTTGTCTCTTCCCTGTGTAGCATATTAAGATGGGGTGTATCACGGTGTTTGGGTAGAGCTATGGGACTATCAGAATTGCATATGTGATAGGGAGAGAGGGATGATAGCTGAGCCTGTGTAATACCCGCCTAAAGCGGGTAATAGATCGTGGTATTCACAGGTTACATACATATTATGTAGTCTGATAATCGTATCACAAGATCCGGAAGCGTACTCTGCACTATCCACTTGCCAACCAACAGACATTACAATAGCTTAGCAGCACACAGAACCTGATCAGGAAGTCCTTTACGTTTACAGAACATGTTGAGAACACCCCGGCTGTACTATTCCCCTCAGAACCTAAGACGATGCAACCTGGTGAAGTAGTACACGAGCCCAAACGCCAACCCTCCTAGATGCCCGGCATGACTTATTCGCGAGTTCGAGTCGTTGAGATAAAATCCATCGTAGACGGCATAAGCGGCAGTCATAGCCCAAAGTGGCATCGGTACGATGCCATAGATCAGCACTCTCGCGTGCGGGTTCATGCACGCTGCCACAGCGCCGATGCCCATGACGGCTCCGGAGAATCCAAGAGTCCTTGAATAGTCTCTGGCGTTAGGGCCTTCAGAACGCAACTTGTAATACCGATTGAACAAAGCGCCCACTCCTCCCGCAATCCCAGAGCCCAGAGCGATAGTCAGGTATCGCATTGGCGTTATCACAGGCGCTGCCGCTAAGAAAGAGCCCAAGAAATAAACGCTGACCATGTTCGACAATATGTGGAAGAGATCCACGTGCGTGAACGCCGCAGTGAGCAGCGACGTGTAGTTTCCGTTTCGAAATTTGTCGAGGTTCAATGTCATCGTGTCCATGAACTTTTGGTATGGCATCTGGAAGCCCTGTATAGCTTGGCTCTTAAGAAAAGCCGCGTACCCGAAGATGGCAATATTGGTACCCATGAGTCCATACAGGACAAGCTTGTTGGACTTTACTTGAGCGCTGTAGGCGTCGTATGCGCGGGAGGAGAAGAGGCGTGATCGTGGTAGATTGAGGTGTCGGGGCGTATGGGAAGGAGAGAAGAAGTGGGAGGTCATTTTTCTGGTAGTCTGGGGTGTCCTGAGCGTACGAAGGGCCCTTGAGAGGCCGAGCAAAGACGACATGGTGAGTTATGGGCTTTGAGTACGCTTTTCGGCGGCTGTTTATGCAACTGTCGAAAGACAAAACCGACACGTATGACTGATGTGGAGAGATTCAGTTATCGAATCAATAGTGTGGCCGATATGTTTCTGGCTGGAATATGCTACATTCGTCGTCAATACTCATGTTGTCATGCAGCATTACACATGAAACGTACAGCTATAGAGCGGACCTGGCGCGTGGTATCAAGTCCGAAAGCGGCAAACAGAGAAGGTGCAATGAGAATACGCCGCTATCATTGCACAGAAATCCTCAAGTTGGATAGTCAAGGATTGGATGTCGCAGACGGGGACTGAGATAGTCGCCCTGGCACCGACGTCAGAAGGGCCAATGACAAGCACGCACGGACCCTTGCCCTCCACCAGCTTCAAGTTCCTTCTGCATAAAGCGGCCCGCCCAGCTACCACAACACCACACAGACCGACCTCACTGCACAAAATTACACCATCTTCTCTGCGCTTACCCTCTCGAGGCATCTACTAACTCCTACTGTCCTCAGTAACCCCCGCGCGAACCCCCACTCGCAGACGACTCCACAAGGCGAAACCACGACATTGCGACTCTTTCGAGCCTCAATCAGCCTCTTCACAACGCACACCACCACGAGAAGCCGACACCCGAGTTGCTGCTAAACAGTCAGCACTCCCATCCCGCGCTTACCTGACCCCACTTTCTTCGGCATACACTACACGAGCCTCCACACCCAAACCCCTCACTTGCATCTGCTCTGCTCTGCCGCAAGCGTTGCACACACACCAATCGCGCCTCTATCCACACTACTAGACCTTGACGTTCCGACCAACAACCCCACCTTCGGTGGACCCACATACACAATGACTTCAGAAATCACCAACCAACTAGCGGCAACGCAGCTAAGGTGAGTCCATGTCAAACGAAGCAAGAGCTACGCGCTGACTTGTTCCCAGCGATGCTACACCATCAGGAGAGGCAAACTGGAAAGCCGGTTTGAATGCGCCAGCGAAGGATGCGCGACCGCAGACAGAGGTAGGCTATGGGCTTGGGAATCACATGTATTGGACATGAGCTAATGCTAGAGTAGGATGTTACAGCGACCAAGGGCCTTGAGTTTGAAGACTTCTTCATCAAGCGCGAGCTCATGATGGGCATTTTCGAGGCTGGATTCGAGAAGCCGTCACCAATTCAAGAAGAGACGATCCCAGTAGCCCTCACCGGCCGAGACATCCTCGCGCGAGCGAAGAACGGTACCGGAAAGACTGCCGCCTTTGTTATCCCTACCCTCGAGCGCATAAACCCGAAGAGCCCCAAGACGCAAGCTCTGATCCTCGTTCCCACCCGAGAACTCGCACTACAAACATCCCAGGTGTGCAAGCAATTGGGACAGCACCTCGGTGTAAACGTCATGGTCTCGACTGGTGGTACAGGATTGAAGGACGATATTATACGGTTGAGCGACCCCGTTCACATCATCGTTGGAACACCTGGTAGGATCCTGGATCTGGCTGGAAAGGGCGTAGCAGATCTGTCCGCCTGTCAAACATTTGTCATGGACGAGGCTGACAAGCTCTTGTCACCTGAGTTTACCCCCGTTGTAGAGCAGCTTCTTGGCTTCCATCCCAAGGACAGGCAAGTCATGCTGTTCAGCGCTACCTTTCCTATCGTAGTCAAGAGCTTCAAGGTACGTTTGACCAGCGTCTCTACGACGACAAGCTTGCTAATGCGGTACAGGACAAACACATGAACTCTCCGTACGAAATCAACCTGATGGACGAGCTGACCCTTCGCGGTATCACACAATACTACGCCTTCGTTGAGGAGAAGCAGAAGGTCCACTGTTTGAACACCCTCTTCAACAAGCTGCAGATTAATCAGTCCATCATCTTCTGCAACTCCACAAACCGTGTAGAGCTTCTTGCGAAGAAGATCACCGAACTCGGATACTCCTGCTTCTACTCGCATGCGCGCATGCTCCAGCACAACCGTAACCGCGTCTTCCACGACTTCCGCAATGGTGTATGCCGAAACCTTGTCTGTTCAGATTTGCTCACCCGCGGTATCGATATTCAGGCTGTCAACGTCGTCATCAACTTTGATTTCCCGAAGAACGCCGAGACATATCTGCATAGGATCGGTCGATCTGGTCGTTTCGGACATCTGGGTCTAGCTATTAACCTGATCAACTGGGAAGATCGCTTCAATCTTTACAGGATCGAACAGGAGCTTGGTACCGAAATCCAGCCCATCCCGCAAGTCATCGAGAAGAACCTATACGTTTACGAATCCCCCGAATCAATCCCTCGCCCTATGTCCAGCGCCCAACGTGTTCCTGGTCAAGGTCAAGGTCAGCAACAAGAACAAGATGGTGCTGCGCGCGGTAACCCCAACGCGCGAGGCGGCTTCCGTGGCGGTCGTGGTGGCGGCGGCCAGTTCCAGGGACAGCGCCGAGGTCCTCCACAAAACCAACAGAACCGTCAGCCAAACGGTCAGAACCCTCAGCGAAATCCTAGGCCACAGCCTACAGGTCCACCTCCTGCCTCGTAGAAAAGTCTGGTGGTCCCGATCTCTGCAGTGTCTTGAACCTGACGTCTAGATTACGTCTTCATGTCACGACAATTCTCTGTCAAGAGGCTGCGATATCATTTGGTTGCCTTGCATCCATATGTGTTCATTACATTTCTTTCTTTTTTCATGACTATGCGATCAGTCGCGCCGACGACGCGGTACGGAATATCTGGACTTCTGCTATCAGGTTTAACGAATCGAATCATCGGCGCAATACGGTTCTAACGATCTCGACCTTTCTACATGTACTATATACCAAGGTCTACCAGGGTCGCGTCTAGTTTTTGCTTTGCGTCGGTTGGCTGGTTTCGCCGACTTGCGTTGCTGGAGCCTTTTGCCTCTGCAGCAGAGTGCACTGTCTCCAGTTCTGCGCGCTCTCAGTCTTCAGTTCTCACTTCCATCCTCTTTTCAACAGCATTTGGCGGTTAGGTATAGTCTTTTCAAAAGCCCAGTCCTCCTTGTATAGAGGATTGCGATTGGGGACGATCTTCTTCGGTACGACTATACCCTGTTCACGACGCTACTGGATATGTGTAGCTCCATCGAGCTATTCTACGTCTCCATTGACGGCACTTTATCACTTCCATGTCTGGTTCTTGACAGCAATTACTGTCTATGGCCATACAACTACATTCTCACCCTACTCGATGCGATGCTACACCTTGTCGCATGTCATTACGCTATGGGCTCTAGCGGCCCTCCTCCCTCCCCTAGGGTACCGCACCTACTCGGCGCTACGATTTAGCTCCCTTCAAGCCTAGTCATCTTGTGCTTTGTACAGCAAGCCCAAGACCAGATCAGACTGGATCTATACTTCCGATGCAGTCACACGAATACCTTAGGATATGCAACATCTCGTCCATGTTTGCGACGATATGCTGTCGACTCTGCGGGTCTCGTGTGGTGGAAGTATTCCCAACAAGAAGAGATAACAAGACACGTTATCGCAACAAGAAAAGAAGAAAAAGCCTTTGAGGACATGATTGAAGGACTTCTGGATGACGGTCACAATTTGCGATGAGCACGGCATTCTTTGCTCCCTCGTCGCCGCGACTACCATACTGATCACGCGATACTGTTCTGGCATCGTGTTGAAGCTGCGTTAAGATAGCCCCAGATCCTCTCAATGCGAATACACTCTCCTCAAGCCATATTTCCCTGGTGTGTTGTAGCTTGTCTCCTTCAAGATAGCAAGCTTGTTTGTCGTAAAGTGAATCCGAGCTATGTGACACATATTGCTTTCCCATCACCGTTCCCAAAGCCGTCAATGCGTTGGCAAGAACATTGAGGCACGAATTTGCGCCCTACGATCAACATCTGAAGAATGGAGCGACATTCACTGGGTCGATAATTAATTCTCCTAGCTAAAAGACCATCGCTTGTCTATAGACGGCCTGATTCAGTCACTTGAAGATTTGCTGACGGAAACTGGCTAATTGATACATCGATTCTGGTGCTCAAGTTGTTCTGCTCTCGTTCCTGACTCCGTGGTGTCCGTATGCTTTGCGTGATCCGATCCCATACCACTATACGATGTACAGTTGACTACCCTTCTGGTTCATGTTTTGTCCAACGCGACTTCCAAAGTATGTGTTATCTTCCCATCACAGCTGTCTCTTTGCATCTCGACCTATCATCAAGAGAAACATCAGCATCGCCAAGGTGACACTGTATGTACTTGAGCGTACAAAAGCATAGATCAGATCTCCTGGCAGTCTACTTTGCTTTGTAATGTTGTGAAGCTTCAGTTTTTACACCAATGTAGACGGCGAACATCCATTGACTTGTTTATACGCACTTGCCAACCCCACACGTGTCCATATCATGTATTTTACGATACACGAATAGTTTGCTGAACATCAAACGCTGTCTTCTGCTTGTCGTCAGAACGCATATATGGCTGGTTCTTACACCAATCTATAACTGTTCTCGATAGACTCCACAATGGTCAGCCACTTTGAACGCTACCACCTACTTTACCTCATCAAAGACAATGCACGCCTACTCTACGGCCCTGGATATACTTACTACATTACTACCTCCCGCGACAGTACTAACACTGCTCAGGCAAAGCTGTTTGGATATAACGTTAACGGAATTGGTGGACAAGTGCTACGTGTCGGGAATGCTGCGAATAGAGATATGGAACAAGCACTGGTGAATCTGCACGTGCAGTTGATGACACAAGTCTCTGTGCTGACTGGTAAGTCGACGAAATTTTGAACCGTCGGAACAGGAAGCTAACGCCATTTCTCTTAGAGCGCTATCCCGAGGGAAGGACGTTCAAGGTTGAGCTCTATGAGCCTCAACTCAAGAAGCCTCCAAGTGCTGGGGAACGATAATTGGGCATGGACATGATTCGGAAGTGCGACATGATCAGGAGATCATCAAATGAACGGCTTGTAGATATTGTCTCCAACTTTAGTCAGAGACCAAGAGAACAGTCCGGGATAGCTCGTTACTCATGACGCCATCTATCCTCTAGAAACCCACAGCCACACCGGGCCTTCTCTTCTCGATCCCCAAAACCATATCCACATACTTCTCGTTCAGAACTTCCTTCTTCCGCGCAGCAAGCAGCGACGCGCTCTTCAGTACGTTCTTGATTTGACGACCGTTGAGCTCCACACTTGCCATTTCGTCCAGATCCAGATCCTTCCATCCCTCCAAGCCACCCAAGCTCTTCAAGAAGTTCTGCCAAATGCTCTTCCGCGAGGTAGACGTGAGATCAGGGTATGCCATGCTGATGTGAATACGAGACTGGAAGGCAGCATCGATGTTATCAACACGATTGGTGGTCAAGAACAGCATGCCTTCGTAGTACTCCAACACACGCAGGAAGATGGACACGAGCTTGTTTCGCTCTAGGTCGTGCGTGCTGCGCGCCTCAAGGAAGACGTCGCATTCATCGAGCAGAAGGACGGCGTTCCATTTGGATATCATCTCGAGGATGTTGGTGAGCTTGCTCTCGACTTGGTCGGGGTCGATACCCAAGTCGCCGGCGGACATCATAAACAAGGGAGCGCGCATGTGCTCGGCTACAGACTCTGCTGTAAGGGTCTAGAAGGTGTCAGTACCTTGGAACCATTGTGTTTCGTTCAAAAAGCGGGGAGATTTGTAGGGCGACTTACCTTGCCAACTCCGGGAGGGCCGCTGAGCAGAGTAATATGGCCACGGCCTTTTCCGCTGATAATGTCGTCGAATTTGCACTGGCTCATGGCTTGCGATTCGGCAAATGCAAGAATGAGCTCCTTCTGGTCTTGAGGGAGAACGAGCGAAGCAAAGGCATTGTCATTGAACTTGATGTTTTCGATGAGATCAAGGTAAAAAAACAGCCACTGCTTCTTCTTGAGCGAATAGCCCCGGACCCTAGGCAAGCATAGAAGATGGTGGTCCTCGGTGAGGCGTAGACGTTCTTCCTTGTCTTGCTTGCCAAACACGTACTTCATCTCGGTCGGGTCTTGGATTTCGAGCTTCTCAGCGACGGCTTCAGGACCAGAGGCGCATTCTTTTGCGCTGAGAGGATCGACTCGGTTGATAGAGCGGGGAGAGAAGCGTTGGAAGCTGTCCGAGTCAATAATGATACGGCCGGTGCACATATACGGTGCCTCATTGCCCTCCCTGTCCCATCCAATCGCGAAGCCATCGTATGCCTTGTAGTGACTGCCAGCAAGTGCTTCAAACTTCTTACCACGGCTGATCAGCGCTTCTCTGACTTTGACTTCATGAGGATGAAATGACAATGGGAAGGCTGTCAAGCCCAGTATGGGAGCAGTGCCATGAAACTCTCGAATTCGAATAGTCTGGGCAGTACGACCGAAAGTGCTGCCGTTCCAGTCGATGGCCTCAAGGTTGATCTGGTAAATCCTACCGCACTGGGTATTGGCGTAGGAGCCTGACTTCAATTTGTAGACCCCATACGCTCCATTGTGAGAGTTGGAGTAGATGAGGGCGCCGGGCTGATACATGATCCAGATATGATCGAATGTGACGATGCCATGGCTGATGTAGTCCTCGAATGTCTTGATGACGTCCTTGAGCTCAGAGGAAAGAACTTCGTAGAGGAGCTCAACGTGTTCAGCAGTTGTGGCATCGAGATCTTTTCTGCTTTTGTACTCAAGTAGTTGAGCCCATCGATGAACGAAAGGAGTGAATGGCGCCTCAAACTCCAGGCGTTTCAATTCACAGTGGATGGCTGGGTAATCCTTCAGAACTTCAGCAAGAGCAGTCTTGAGCCAATGCGACTGGATGATGATTGAGTGGATCTTGTATTTCCTGCGGGAGTCGTCTGACTTGAGCAGACGAGTGATGAGAGCGTGTTGGGCCGTCTCTTCATTCTCAGCAGGGTCTGCGACATCCTCAGGTTCCTGCTCAGTCCAACTCCACTGTTTGTTCTTGTCCCGCGGGCCTTGATAGAAGTTCTTGAAGGATGCAAGAGAACCTTCTGGCGCGAATTCCGTAGTGCCATTCGTGTCCTTGACACCGTTGGTGGGAGTCTCGCCGGGCATGATGACGGTCTTCAATGAAGACAAGAAAAAGCACGTAGATGAAGTGAAAAGGGTTATGAGTTACGAGACTGAAGATATTGCTTCTGTACTCGACATAGCAATAGACATGGTGAGAGGTACCTTTACTTTATACACCAAACCGGCCTGCAGGCACCAGCTTTACCTGCAAGAATCATGCTATTCACCCTTTTCAGGCGTTCCAATTCAACATGAATACAGCAGCGGTTACAGCCTTGACAGTGCAACCACATGGACGATGGACAATGCTGAGTGGCCATGATAGCGATACTAGGTAACCATGGGGGAGGTGGCGCAAGGCGTACAATGGCTGGACCCCAGCAGCGGTGCCTAGATGTGGCAAAATGCTGATATCCGGTGAAGTCGCGAGGCTTGTCTCAGATGGAGTCATAGGTGACTCAGGCAAGTGCAGTGCTCAAGTCATACCTGCAGCGGATGGGATGCTTGGCGCGGAGAAGATGCGGAGGTGCAAGGACGCGCTAAGACAGCGAGCATTGCGCGGGTGCGCCAGGCCATGATTCGAGCCACCTCCCACCATGTCCAAGGAAGATGAGCTTTCATACATCGACTATGAGGCCTTCCTCGATCCAGACTTCTCGGCGACGTCATTCGCCAACACGCTCGTCCTCTCGACCAACAACCCCTCCGACACCCCGCTAGATCTGTCAACACCGCTGTCGCGCGTCCTCTTCGATGTCCAGGAAGTCGACACACACATCGATACCCTGACTACCAAGTCGGCACTTCCGCTGCTGGAACACACGCGGGACCATGCCGAATCGAGCGGTCGCATACTGCACGAAGTGGAAGGACAGGTTGCCAGCTTGACCGAGTCGTACAAGACGCTAGAGAAGGAGGTCATTGAGCGCTACGAGGTCGCTGAGCAGGTGCGATTGACAGCAGAGAGGCTCTGCGAGACTGTCAAGCTTGGTCGAGCCGTCGCGCGATGTCTCATGCTAGGCAGACAGCTCGAGGTGCGTATGTCGGAGCTGGGCGGTGTTGGTAGCGCAAAGAGGGAAGACCACAGAGCCATGGTGCGCTCGGCAGACACGATCCTGTCATTGCGCCAGCTCCTTGCAGCTTCCAAGCCAGGCGAGGAGGGTGAGGGTCTGGACCGGGTCAACGTAGTGAACACGCTCAAAAACGAGCTCGTCAACCCAGGCGAGCGCAGCATATCGTCGCGCGCTCAGCAGGTAGTCAAGGAGTTCTCCATGTCCTCGCTACTATCCTCATCAGGTCAAACATCGGCATCCACCTTTTCGCAAACCGAAGACACCAAGTCGAGAACCACGTCCGCGCTGCTCACCCTGTACCTCCTCTCGCCGGTATCGACCAAAACCACGACCGACACCTTCGAACCGACCCTTATGCTCAATGCGCTACAAGACTACCTCCAGACCCAGCTAAAGTCATCTCTCGCATCGCTCGCGCGCGCCTTGGGCCAGCTTCCTACGCTAGATCGCACCCTCCTCGAGATATCCGCGCGGTGCCAGAACATCGTCGCACTACAATCCCTCCTTGAAAGCATCAAGCCACCCGCGCACCCTCTACTCGACACCGCGCGTACTCCGAGCTTTTCCAACTTCCTACAACCCCTCCTTCAAGCCCTCGATACATCTTCGCTACCCAGCTACTTCTGGAGGACGCTCGCCTCCAACATGGCGCCGAGAGTGCAGGAGCTCATGAACAAGGGCGGTGTGTCTGCAAGGACGCTGAGGAGTAACAAGACTGCTGTTGGGGACTCGGTGAAGGAATGCGTCAGTCGTGGTAGTCAGTTACCCGGGGCGTTATCGAATAAGGGTGTCGCTGTGACTTGGGAGAGGGAGGCTGCTGTCATGGTTAGGAGTGTGACGGGGCCGATTAAATGAATAGACACATGAATACTATGAGAAACTCACTATGCGTAGTGCCTGGAGGCATTGACACATGGGACTCACAGGACATGTTCATATCATTAACATCACATATTGTTGTAATCAGTTTCACATCACATACGATCGAAAGTAGGCTCAACAATGATGATGAAGATAAAACCGGAACTCCATTAGCTAACGCTACCCATGGTCCCAAGTAAGAAAACGAGAACCGTGTCATTCCCCCATGTAATCATAACCATTTTGTACGCATATACCTCAGCATGTATGAAAAGTGATCAAATGCTGAAAGGGGTACTGGTACACGTGAAAGCGCCGACATAACCAAAGAAACTCAAGAAGCGAGTCATTTACAACTCGTCCTTGACGCTCGAGGCAGAAGCCGAAGCCTCAGATGCCGCCGATGAGACGGAATCGGTGACCTCAGAGGCAGCAGACTTGACAGACTTGGTAGCCTCAGAGGCGGCTGAGGCGGCTGAGTCGGAAGCGACAGAGGCGCCAGACTTGACGGTCTCGGTACCCTCTGAAGCGGCGGAGGCAGCAGAGTCGGTGGCGGAAGAGGCACTGGCCTTGGCGGATTCGGTAGCATCTGCGGCGGACTTAGCGGCAACTTCGGAGGCGGCCATGGCCTGTTCAGCGAGCTTTTCAGTCGTACCTTCGACGGCCTCGCCAATGCTGGCCTCGGCCTTGTGTGATCCGTTCTCCTGGATGAACTGGACGAGGTCCTCGACGGTGCGGGAACCAGAGTAGTCAACTGGGGAGTCCTTCTTGCCAGCGGGGAAGAGCTTGATGGTGGGGAAACCCTGGATCTCATCGGGAACGTCGTTGGCGGTGGCGTCAACCTTGGCGATGGTCACAAGCTTGGAGAGCTCATCGGAAGCGTAGAGCTGGCCGAGCTCCTCGTACTTGGGAGCAAGAGCCTTGCAGTGACCGCACCAGGGAGCGTAGAACTCAACGAGAACGTCCTTGTCGTTGTTGATGACGACATCCTTGTAGTTGTGGGCGACGATGGTGGTGACGGGGCCGTCGTTGGACTCGGGAATGGGCTCAGACTTGATGCTGGGCTCGACCTTGCCAGCGAGGAAGTCGTCGACGAACTTGCCAATCTCCTTCTCGGTGATCTTGGCCTCCTGGTCGTAGGGGAACTTCTCGTTCTTCTCGGTGCGCTGGATAGCGAAAGCGGGCCAGGTGCCGACCTTCAGGTTGAGGTTACCAGCGTGCTGGCCGAAGGACTTGGCGTCGATGGTGGCGAAGTTGATCTCGCCCTTGTGCTTGAGAGCGAGGGGCTTCAGCTCCTTGGCGAACTCCTCGCGCTCCTCGGGAGTCTCAGCGAAGATGTATGCGAGGGGAAGGCCAGCGGCCATGTATCCGGCGTAGGTCTCGGGGCCGACCTCACCAATGAGAGGAGTAGAGGCGACCTTGGCGAAGTCGCGGATAGCGTCCGCATCGAAGGTCTCGGTGAAGACGTCCTTGCCGTCGTCAAAGGACTTGTAGAGGACGAGGCCAGGCTGCTTGACACCCTCAGCCTTGGCAAGGGCGGCGTCGTTGGTGGCTCCGAAGAGGAAGTTGTCGCGGAGACCGTTGGCGACCGAGGTGAAGGTCTCGTTGGAGGCCTTGTCGTCGGCGGCGAAGTAGGCGACGAGGACGACCTTGTCGGCGGTCTTGAACTCCTCGAGAGTGTCCTTTGTGACGTCGGAGACGGCGGGGAGAGCCTGCTTGGTCATGTACGAGATCAAGCTATCGGCCTTGCGCTGTCCACCGTAAGGCGAGACATTCTCGGGGCCGCGGAAGACCTTGAGGGTGGGGTAGCCCTCAACGCCGTACTCCTGGCACAGATCCTGCTCCTCTGTGCAGTCGACCTTGACGAGGGCGATATCCTTCTCCTTAAGTGTGGTAGCCGCCGTCTCGTACTCGGGAGCAAGTGCTTTGCAGTGGCCGCACCATGGCGCGAAGACTGTAGCAATTGTTAGCTTTGTAATTATTTGATTGAGCGCTTGGGTAATTCAGAAGTGCTTACACTCTGCAAGGACGAGGTCGTTCTCCTCGATGAAGCTCTTGAAGTTGTCGGTCTTCAGTTGCTTGACATCAGATGCGGCGGCGACGGCCGCAAAGAACGCAGCGCAGACAGTCGTGTACTTCATTTTGCTGTGCTTGTATGTGGTTGAAGTTGGGTAGGCACGACGAATTGGGGTAGAAGTAAGAGAGGACAGCGGTAGAGGAGCGCTTTATATTCCAAGTGGATGGCTGTGACTTTCGAGCAACTGTGTTCACACCAGCTTAGCGCTAGAGCGGCATGGTCCCTGCGCCTCCACCCATTTTCACCGCATTGAGAGACCACGTTGAACTTACCACCCACTGCACTTACCCGCCGCATGCCTGTACCCACCTTTGTCCAGCATTTCCCTAGCACTTTCGCCGCCCCCTCTACATCTCACTCACATCGCTTGGTCTCCCGACCGGTTGCAGTTAGCTTGCAGTTCCTGCCGATCCCAGTGCATATTATTAATCTGTGTTCACTTTCTACTTGCCATTCCCAACTGCGGCGAGTGTCAGCTTCTGAGGACAGGTGTTCCTTCACTCGGGTCATTCCAACCTGATTCATTCGGTGTGGCTCGTATCATTTCAATCGGCCCTCAACTAGTGGTGTACCCAGGTAGTCCTGGTAATGCCGACCGACCCGTGGGCAATCGCTTCCCTACTTGGCAAAAGTTCTAAAATGGGTTCGCTGGGTACTCACCAAATGTTCAAGGTCTGGAAGGCTCGCTTTTTATCAATTCTGGCGCATGGGGTACTCGCAATGTGTGTCGAGAGGAAACGTGGTCGTGTGAGATCTTACCGCGGAACGCTTCCGTTCTTATCTTATCTAAAAAAGCACATCGCCATCACTGAACGCGAGATGTGTTCTTAGAACCGTAATCAACAACGAAATCAGAGTCAATTGATGATTACAAACCTACGCAGCAGTAGCGACCGTTTGACTTGCATCCTTCGCTTCATCTATCCCCGCCCCTTCCTTCAACTTGCGCATCCTCTGCTCCTCCTTCCTCTTCATCTCTTCTTGAATTCGCAATCGCTCGGGGATAACTGGTTGCCTCTTTCCAGAAATCTTGAACCCCGCAATCCGGTCCTTGCCCAACGCCTTCATGGTCTTGCGCTCCACCGCGCTGTAGTTCCCATCGGCACGATCAAACACAAAAGGCTCCTTGACGGACACCGGTGGGTTTGTAATGACGCGGACTTGGCGAAGTTGGTTGTTGGACGCTGAGTGCAGCATCAGCGGATGCAAAAGGTAGACGTCGCCAACTACACCGGTGGCTTCCACGAAAGCCTCATCGGGCATACTGGCAGCTAGGTCGTTGAACCACTTCAGTCCTTGCTCTTGCACAAACTCTGGGTTTTGCGCTCTTGGCGTCATCCTTGGGCTGACTCCGTCAGGATTCTCGCATAGATGTTTCGCAACAGTGGGAATGGCGGCAGGACAAATGTAGGTTCCACCACCGCCTGGAGCGATGTCTGACCATAGCGGGATGACCAGAAGCGCTTGCTCAGGTGAATCTAGGTAGTGAACAAAGAAGTCTCCGTCGACGTGCCAGCCAGGTAGCTCTTGAGGGCGTACCACTTTGTTGTGACCCTCTGGCGTTCCGAGATTTACTATGAAGCCATCTTTCCAAGTCGATGCGTTAGAATCAACGCGGTCGCTACCACCCACAAGGTTGCAAATTCCAGCCCAGGCTTTTGGTGCAAACTCTTCGACAGAGAATTCGTTGAAGAAGGGCATGTTTGTTCGCTCGGTGTGCCTGTATCCGTCATGTTAATGTCTGTTAATGGCTGCACGTAAGAGACTTATAATTGAAGAAGAAAAGCGTACCATGTCGACTTGTCTTTGGGATCCATACCCAAACGCGTCCAGAGCGTTTCCTGAAGTCCTTCTGCTTGCTCTCTTGTGAAGCAGTTGCTCAACTTCAACCATCCGTTCTCCAGAAAGAAGTCGATCTGCTCTTGCGAGAGCTTGTATTGCTCCTCTGCGTTGGCCATTGTGCCGTTTAATAGTTTATGTCGGTATTGTGTGTACTGCGATGTTGTCTTCGTTTGGTCGATGTAATATAATCGCAAGACTTGTGTCTGATACGGGAGACAAAGTCAAGCTTATATGTCGTAAGTGAACATTCAAGAACGTATTTATGCGCGTGGGAATAGATTTCCTATTACCGCCCTCACGCGATTCTTAACGCCACCGACGGTAGGCGTAATGCTGCTAACGGCAGTAATGCCAATTTATCCGGTGGACGATTAGCCATGTGCTCGTTCATGGTGCTACACGTGCCGTCCCCAGAAGTGCAAGCCCTGGAGATATCCTGCGGGGCAAGCTGTTTGGGGAAGCCGGCGGGGAATCCTCTCGTACTAACGAGAACATCGGAAATCCTAAGGCCCGCTGTTACCACGACCTAGACCGAGTAGGAGAAAAAGTTAGGCCGCTGCGAAGACTAGGTTATTTCCGGGTATTCCAACTGTCCGAGAGCCACCAGCAACGGCCCCGTGGTTGTCCTCCGCGGACGCGCAGTTTTTGGTTTATTGGCTACAAAGATCGCGGCAGGATTTTGGCAACGGGTAACGCGCTGCACTACGGCACGACGGATATTCTCCTTCGATGGCAGATGACTAATTCATGGGACTTGGAAGATGATTGCGATGGTTGGTATGCATATTATTACATTCTACATACAATATTTACCCTTACATCAGCATCGTCCGTCGCGGAATAGAGCGCCGTTATTCATGTCATTACCGCGTCGCGCGCATTCAGGTCGCAGTCCCCCTAGTTTCCAGGCCACCAGATGTAGTTGTTGGTCTCCTCTGGCGTATCGAAGACAAGCTCACTGCTCGAGTCGGTCGGCCGATCAGGGAATGCGTTGGCCTGAATGTTCCAGACCTTCATGTCGGAAGCCTTGACAGTAGAGTTGCTGCCAGCCCAGATGCTGAATCCAGTGCTGTCGGTACGAGCAGGGTAGATACGAGTCGTAAGCCAGAAGCGGTCGTTGACAAGGACTTCTACGAGAGATCCGTCAACGAAGATGTCCATATGAAGAGACTCGGTGGTACCGTTGGAGAACGTGTAGGGGTAGAAATATCCCAGCATGGTATAATTGGCGAACTCAACGATAGAAGATGAGTGGGAGCGGTCAACGTTGATGGTGTAGTTCTCAGGACTGTACCAGACGATGGTCTTTTCTTCGTGCCCAGGCGATTGGGCAATGACCACACCGGCAGGTCCAGTGAAGTCAGAAAGCTTGACCTGGAGATGCATATGACTACTGCCGTTGCCGGAGATCGCGCCGGAGACACAGGCATTGTCGCCAGTCTCGATGACATGGGGCTCAGCTCCAGCGTGGAAGCCTTCCACAACCTCAGGTAGAGGACGGGCTCCTAGAGTGTATCCAGTGAAGGTACCATCACTGTGTTCTTCAACACGAGTGTTGCCCTTTGTAGTCAGACCACCATTGGTGTTGACCAGGTCCTTGGTCTTGATGACGTACATCTCTCGAGGGATGGCCATGGCACCTTGGTAACCCATCTGGTTGATCGCAAAGTTGTTGCTCTCCTCGTTGGCCCAACCCCACTGGACGCGACGGTCGTTCTTTGAATCCCAGAAGCTGGTAACCGCGTAGAGAAGACCGGAGTCGATGGCGCCGCCCGACAGAGGGGTGAACTCAACAGAGCCGTTGTCCCTTCTGTTGACCTGGCCTTCATTCCACAGGCCCCATTGTGCACGTGGATGCCAGGTAAGGTTGCCGCCTTCAGTACCCTGTAGGAAGCACGAAGTCAGTACATGTGTCACATGTAGCCGCCACGGCCGGAACTTACCATTAGAACGTAGTAATGAACGTCGTCATCTTCATCGGTCAAAGAGAAAAAGTTCGATCTGTAAAATCAGTACACGAGCGATTGCAGCAAACGTATATGTGCTTACACTTCGAAGTTGAAGCCATAGGTTCCGGTCTCAAGCAAAGAGCCAAGAGTCTCGTTCCTCTCGGGCTCCCACAGAGCGCCAAGGAAAGTCCAGTCTGTCAAGTTGCTGGCGGGAGCGCTGTAGAAGGGAATACGGCCACCGCCACCCTCGCCCTTGATGCCAGAACCAAGAACCATATACCAGTGGGGCTCGTCTTGTCCTAGAAGAGCATCCATTTCCGGCCAAGGCTCGACGAAAGGATCACGCCATCCGGTAATATTCCATCCGCTGGGTGGCTCGGTCATAATAGGGTTGCCAGCATACTGCTCCCAGGTTTCGCCGCCATCGTTAGAGATGACGATGCTCTGGCTCTCAGTTCCCTTAATGTAAGGTAAGGCCCAGTTTGTGGGGAGATACTGGACGGAGGTGTAGAAGGCGATGAGAGTACCGTCCTGCTGTCCTTGGAGATTGTAGGGCTGTGCCGAGCCTGAGAAAATTCCAAGGCCATAGTAACTGCTGTTGTCGGAATCAGGAAAAGGACCGGTGCCAACAGACTGAGCCTGATCATCTTCCCAGCCTCCAACATCTATCCAAGTAATCATGTCTTTGGAGGTTGCATGACCCCAAGAGATGTTACCCCAGTTGACATGGTTGGGATGCCACTGGTAATGGAGGTGATATCTCTCCGTAGCAGGATCGTACATCATTCCACATGCTACAGAGACAGAGGTACAAAGTCAGTATTTGTCTCACATGCACTTCGTACAGCCAAAACTTACGATCGTTGAGCCATCCTGCCGGTGCGGAGAAGTGGTACGTAGGGCGCCATCTTGTGAAGAGAGTGTTGTTGCCCAAGCCCTCGATGATATCGGCAGTCAGTACAGCTGGCACCTCCTGTGCGCCGACGGCGGAGAGGCTGCCAAGCGCAATGCTCAGGAGAGGAAGAGATCGAAACATGATGAGCTTGCAGATCGATACTCAAATCTAACAGCAGCCATGGGAGGTTTATGTACTTTTCCGCAGTAAACAAGCAGGGTCCACCAAGATCATTTGTGATCAAGATATTTGAGTCCAAGAGCTTGCGCCCCGAGCCTATGGTCTGGGCTGGCGCAATCCCGAAGCTGGGTGCAGTAGCTTGTTGACGATCCCCGCAAATTCGGCACCAGCTCTCCATGTTCCCCACAATCGGTACTGGAAAGAAGAAAGTGTCGTTCTCGAACATGCATGGAGAGGCTGGTATGCGCCACTCGGTCATCTCTTGCACGTTTGCTAACGTGATGTGACATAGCAGCGAGTCTCGAAGTCCGGGAGACTCTCCGATGAAGCTCGTGATACCTGCGCCTGGTCCAAGTCGAGGAAGACTTTTCTTGTATACACGACGTGGCTTGGCTGGAAATTACCGACAACGGTCCTTAGTAAGTAAAGGGTTGTTGTGCTACCGAGTATTCTTCCGAGATCCAAGTCTTACTGCGGGGATACCCAAGGGCTTGACTATGGAGAATCCGGACGACATCGGACTCTTTGGAGTAGCTTCGGAGCGTGCAGCCCTTGCGCAGGAACGCTCGTGCGGAGGAACGAGCAGTCCCATGGAAAGGCGGCATGGAATGGGGTACCATAGATGTAGAACGCATACGCGCTATTGCGTGCCACGATACGTAGGCATGGTACATGCACTCTCCAGCATGTGGTATTTTCTGGAGGTAGTAGTGCAGAGTAGTATCATCTGAGATATACTGATGAGCGATGCGTCTCAAGGAGAACATACGCGAGTGTATGGGTGAATGAGGTGGAAGTCGCGATCTCGGGAGACCGAGGCGGGCCCGCGAGACGTCATTGCTGGCGGGCGAATCAGGTCGCTTCCCTTGGAGCCTCCACGTTGCCTTTCTCCCAGCACCGCCGCATCACGCGAACGCGACTCTTCCCCGGTTGTGTTCGCTCTCATCACCCTCAGATGGGGACACGCATTCCTTTCTAGTCGCCTTGCACCTTCACCAACGCACCATGAGTCGACTCAAGCTCTACGTCGCGGGCTCGGCCGCCATGGCCAACATTGTGCTGATGCGCGCATACTACGAGCGCCCCAACTTCTACTCGGCCGCCGTCTACATCTCCCAGAGCACCGGCTCGCTCATGTTCCTCGTCAACCTGATGCTCATCGTCGCCGCGAGCTTCGGCTATGGACTCCAACGCCTCTTCTACGGCCCCCTCCGCCCCATCGAGACCGAGCAGCTGTACGACAAGGCCTGGTTCGCTGTGAGCGAGACACTGCTGGCCATGACCATCTTTAGGGATGACCTCGGCATGTGGTTCTTCGCAATGTTCCTCTGCTTACTTGCAGGCAAGGTCTGGCAGTGGATCGGAGAGGGGAGGGTCGAATTCCTCGAGCAACAGCCTCCGGCAAACCCCAAGCTCTTTCATTCGCGCCTCATGAGCTCCTTGCTATTGTCTGTTGCCTTCGACATATTCATGATGCAGTACTGCATCGATTCGATCCTGTCAGAGGCACGGCCGGGTGTCATGGTCATGTTTGGCTTCGAATACGTCCTCCTAGCCACCGCATCGATATCGACCCTGCTACGATACGCACTGTCGCTCGTCGAACTATACATTACACACCGCCAAGAGAAAGCACGAGAGGAGGCTCGTCGTATCGCAAGGGAACAAGCACGCCAGCAGGCTACAGCAGAAGGAACCGAAGCGCCTGTTGAGGCAGACGACGATGAAGACGAAGGCGACGTGCCCGGATGGGAAGAGAAGGGTCGCTGGGTATTCTACTTGGATCTCGCGACCGACTTTGTCAAGTCCTTCGTCTACCTGGGCTTCTTCGTCATTCTGATGACTTTCTACGGCATACCAATTCACATCATGAGAGACTTGTTCATGACCATCCGATCCCTCCTCAAGCGTATCCACGACTTCATCCAGTACCGAAACGCGACCCGCGACATGAACACACGCTATCCAGATGCGACGGCAGAAGAACTCGAGCGGGAGAACACATGTATCGTCTGTCGCGAAGAGATGCGGCCGTGGACACAACCAGGCGCAGATGGTGCACAGCCAGGTCGAAGAATGGACGAGCGACAACGGCCCAAGAAGCTCCCCTGCGGGCACATCCTACATTTCGGATGTCTCCGTAGTTGGCTTGAGCGACAGCAGGTCTGTCCCACGTGCCGAAGGCCAGTACTCTCATCGTCGACGACACAAACCACGCAACGCAACAACCAAGCCAACCCGGGCGAGCAAAACCTCCAGAACCGAGAGGCACTGCGAGCAATGTTTGGAGGAAATGCGCAGCAAGGTGCTGTCGGAGGGCAACAAGGACAAGGCCAGGGCCAGGGTCAGCAGGCTGCACCACAGGGTGGACAAGCAAATCCTCCAGCAGGCAACATGCGCGTGTTCAACTTCGGGCCATTTCGGATCGCTCTCGGGAACATTCGCGTACCACCAGGACAACAGGACAATGTCGCTGTGCAGAACGCGATTCAGCGATTGCGCGAGCAAGCCAACGGAAACAACGCGGCGCAGAATCAAGAACATCAAAACCAAGCACAGGGCCACACGGGCTTCACGCCATGGGCTACTCCCAACCTTCCCACCGGCCCCATCCCCGGAGCCGTCGCGCTGCATCCGTCAGATATTCAGTCCGACATATTGCGCATACAACAGAACATCATTGAGTCGATGCGGCATCTCAACGCACAACACGAGCAACTTGAGGTTGTCCATAGACTTCTTGCTGAGCTCAACAGGCTTCAGCAGGCTTCAGGCGTGGCTTCCGCGACAGGGCAAGAGCTACCGCCTATTGCCCCATTGAACCCACCTAACATGAACTCGTTCGTACCGCAAGCCTACTTCGCCAGAGGGTCCGTTCTGCGACAGGGCGATCCCGGTGTGCCTGAAGGCTTGACGCTACCGGAAGGGTGGACATTGAGGCCGATGGCCCTAGCGCCACGGAATAGCCAAGAAAGCGCGACACGTCCATCCTCGCAACCTGGACATCCGGCGCCAGAGAGTGGCTCGATACCGCCTCAACTTCAGACAACACAGCCAGTAGCGGAACCTGACGCAGGGCCTTCGACGTCCGCTCCCGCGGCCTCACAAAACCAGCCAGCTTCATCGACTACAAACCCGACTACTTCCGATGAGCCCTCCAATCGTTCGCCAAAGCCTGCAGAGCCTAGCTCTCTCGAGTCAAGCTGGAGCTTTGGTAACGTAGGAGAGAGGACTGAGGCCGAGGGTTCAAGCTCTGCGGTTGCTGGAAGCAGCTCTGAGGGCCAGACTGCAACAAGGCGGACTGTTACTGTTGAAGATGTCGAAGACGGCGAGCAGTAGCTGGACGATGGGCGATGACACTGTTACGGTTCTGTATTGCATAGCGAGGCGTTCGGGTTTGTTGATTATTCTTGAGCGACAGGGAGTCGCATGTGTCAATGAAGCACGACAGGGAATCCCTGCGAATGCCAATTCATCACACCGGTCGGTGCTCCACCGCGTTTCTCGAGTGTATATTTGATTGTATCACCATCATTGAACAAAACAATGAAGCATGCCTTGTTAACCATTCATCCTGTATGCACCCCGCACGCACATGCCCTTCAACTCGCAGGAATCCAGCCCCCGAGACGACACTGGACGATGGTTTGATGCACATTCGAATGCACATGTACATGCACGCACTCGGCCCTCCACTACCAGACCCACAAAGCTTATCGATGCCGGCCTAGCCTGCCCCATCCCGTCTTTGCTTGCCGCTAGCGCGAAACACGTGTCCAGTCAAACCTCGACTGCCTCCCAAGACACCATATCGAGGCGGCTACGTGCAGGTCGTGAACAGCACCAGGTTGAAACGGCGGCCTGGGCGGTGCGAGGACGGTGGGTAGCACCCAGTAACAGCTGCAGGAACGCAAGCCCTGCGACACACTTGCAAGCCCTCGAGGGCGTGTGCAGACCAGGGTCGGGCTGCCAACGGAATAAGTGTAAGGGCCCCCGTCTTGGGCGAGCGTGTTAACGGCGACTTGACTCGATTTAACACGACTTGAGGTTAACGTTGTGATTTGGCTTTTTGGATGACTCTTCATTCACTCTCGCTAATGGATGCTTAGACCGCACTTTGTTTATTGCAATTTTGTATACCTATCGTCCTTTTCTCTTCCCTTCTCTTCAGTTCCATTTTGCTTTGCATCTTTTCCTTGTTCGTTGTCTTGCGTTTTAGCGATGGCGGTCAAGTTAGACCATGCGCATGTTGCGCGTAGGCCTGAAGAGGCCGAGGTATCTACATGCGTCTCAGGCATCATAGAAGCTTTTCAAAATGGACTGGATATTTTCAAAAGCTTGCGCGAAAGAAGAAGAAAGCGCAGATCAAAGAGAGATACCGACACGCCTGATTCAACAAGTACTGCCGAGCACCAACTCTCAAAAAGCTTGCGCAGAGGGCCAGAGGAGGTGGCCGGAAAGTATACTGAATGCTACTACAGCGGCATCGGGCCGCGATTCGCAAAGGGCGATGGTAAGTACAAAGTCCACTTAACACATAAGCCGTACTAACGTAATGCAGCTATCGCGCACCAGTCACTCGCAGAGACATTGATCAAATTAAACACAGGCCTCGTTGCCATCATCGCAGCGTTCCTGAACCATGACGCGCAAAAAAGCGGAAAGGGTCACCTAGACATAGACTACAAGTCGTTGACCCACCTGTCCGACGCATCGCGGCGTGAAGCAATACAAAGCCTTACCCAGTTATATCAGCGACTAAGCCAGTCTCAACTCCAGCTGCATAACATTGGCGCTCCACCGTGCCCGCGATGTGGCACAAGCAAACACCACGACTGCTCCTCTCGCAGCACTAGCCCTGAGAAGGACAAGAAGAAGTCGAGCTCCACTCGTCAACGTTCCTCGGGCCATGTAGTCACACGCATGTCCATGAAGAACCGAAGCTCGAATGAACCCCGGCTCGTCGTCATGCGACCTAAGACCACCCGCAAGGGCAGCTCGTCCAGTAAGGAATCTTCTTCAGTGAAATCGCCGTCAAGTTCATCTCGCAGCTCTTCACCGCTGGCATCCCCTCAGCCAAAGAAGATCCAGATGGCTCCACAGCTACCCTTGTACGTACCTGTCGACCCATTCGAGCTTGAGACATCTGGTGTCATCAGAGGCACTCTAGGTGGCGCAGCACCAAGGGCCAGTAGTGGTGGTGTCAAAAAGCGCGTTGATTCCTTCGACGACCCGCGCGAACCATGGCCTCAAGAGAACGCCTACACAACTACCAAATCGCCCTCCCCAAAGCACCATAACGAGCCCACCCCCAAGCTCCCCACCTTTACCCCTACATCCCGCCGCTCCCCATCTCCTGCTCACTCCAAACCCGCAGTCTCTTCCAAGCCTCCCCCAGTCCCGGAGAAACCCTCCTACCTATCCCCTCCACCACTCCTCGACCAGGCCCCAGCAACCCTCCACTTCCGCCGCCGCCTGGACAAAGCCACACCATCGAGCTATACGTTTGCTTCCGGCAGCACGAGACTGGGAGAGATACCCGAGAGACGCTGGAACATGCCCTTTGATTACCAGGAAGCCGAACGCCTCAACACTGAGGCTGCTTTGAATGGATACCCCAATGCGCCCACGGCAGATGCCAAGGACGCGAAGAAAAAGAAGCGTTTTGGCTTCATGCGACGAGGTGATTAGAGAATCATCTCGTCGGTGTTTGTTTTATGTTTGTACAACTGTTGTTCCTCCCTTTTCATGTTTTGTTTACTGCGGGTCTGCTATTTCCTCTTGCTTACTGGTGTTGGCGTTCCTGCTGGTTGACTTTTCTCTCTACTCTGTTGTGTTCATGGCGTTGGTCGGCATCTCTTTTCCTCTTTCTCTCTCCACTCTTGGCATCCGGCCCTGGGGGCCCGGTAATCACGGCTACGATTACGATTCTTTACGCTTTAACGACTTTGACGAGGATATACCCCTTTCTTTATTGGTTATACCCTTTTCTTTATTTGGTTGTTAACGGCGGCATCTATATACCCATATCTTGTTTTTGTTAGCGATGTCTGCATATAGCAGATGCTCTTTGGATTACTTGGTAGTATGATTAATTTGGATATGGTTTTCGGCTTCTACAATTGAATTTTGTTTGGATTGACTATGATGTGCGACCTCTGATGGTGATGTTGAAGTAAAGTTCGATCTTCAAGAGGGCGTATGTGGTTTCATTCACTATATCGCCACCCTCCTCTACCCCTGCCTCTGCCCTTGCCCCTACTAGACGCTACGTGTACTGGCGGAGGTTTTTTCCGCACGAGTCCGTCCTCTCCGAAGATCCAGCTATGTGAGTCGTTCACGATGTCTACCATGGTCTTACCCTCAGTATTCCTTGCGGTTCTCTCCGCACCTTCCTCTAACAGCAGATTGCATACTGCAGGACTAAATCCCACTGGGCGGTTAATTTCTGAAACGGACATGAGCAATGGGGTTTCCCCCTCCTGATTCAGTGCGTTCAGTTCAACACCGTGTTCAAGGAGTACATCGATGATTGATGTAATCCTGACTTCATCTCCTGGTTCGATGGATTTACTTGCGCAGTGTAAGGTGTTCATGCCAGACGTTGTTTTGGCGCACGCATCGGCGCCAGAGTCGATCAGATAGCGGACAAGCTTCTCGTTGCCGAATTGAGCGGCGCCATGCAGCGCTGTCGAGCCATCTGCAGCAGTGGTGTGCAGATATTCACCATGGTTATGAAGCAGTTGTACTAGCTGTAAGCGCTCTTCATTACTGTTGGAATAGTGAGAGAAGAATTCGACTGCGAAGCGAAGCGGTGTCCACCCAATCTCGGTACGATCAGTCTTTCCCGAAGTGACATCATGAACATTCGCGCCGTTATCAAGTAGCAACTTTACTATTGATATGTTGCCATACTCGCATGCTGTGTGAAGTGGTGTCTCTCCTTGAAGCGCCCGAGCAGAAACATCCGCGCCGTTCGCGATGAGAACTTTTGCGAATGAGGCATTTGCTACCAAATGCAATGGAGTGTAGCCGTCCTCGTCTGTACCGGATACGCTTGCTCCCGCCTTGATGAGATCCTCAACAAGACTCGGGTCATCGTCCGCGTCTCGAATGATGCCGCAAAGCGGCGAAGTCTCATCAGGCGCAACGTGATCGACGCGCAGGCCGTTGGCCAGAAGAAATCGTACAACATCTCGCGGCACGTGCGACATGTGCAGGCAAGCCCAAAAAGCTGTAGAGTGTCGACCTTGATCGTCACGCGTATTGACATCAGCACCAGCTTTGACAAGACTATCCATGATGCTAGAAACGCTTTTGTCCAGAGGGCAGCATAAGACTGGTGGTCGGCATCGGTCGTCACAGTCGTAGTCGTAAAGGGCGCAAATGAGGGCTTTTCCTAGGGCTGTCCCATTTCCATTGAGGCGTACGGGATCTGAAAACCTTGCCTGGTAGTAGTGGAGAAGTAGCTCAAAAGCCTCCACATGCCAACACAAGGCCGCTCTTTCTATGGCTAGCCGTACAGCCTCTAGCCTGGACATATCAGAGAAGTCGCGAGTTCCCTGCTTCTCTAGAATCAAGGCAAGGCAGTCCACGTGATTCTTGGATGCGGCGAAAAATAGCGCGGATGGCGATATACTGATATCGTGGTCGAGGAGCGCGGCTAATGCATTTGATTGTCCCAGCCAAGCTGCAAGGTCAAGTGCAGACAGCGAAACTTGGTAGGCTGGCTCGATGTCGTCTTTGAGTGTAGGATCTGCACCAGCTTCCAAGAGAAGCTGTACAACCGATCCGTGATCGGCGCGTATAGCGAGGTGTAAAGGGGTACAATCGTTCCCGTTACGAGCGTCGATGTTCGTGGTGGCGGTTGTGTTGTTCTCTAGTATAGATGTGACCAGAGCAACATCGCCTTTATAAGCCGCGGTGTGGATTTCGCAATCGCTGTCGTGAAGTGGGTATTGTTCCATCCACTTCCGTCCCTCCTCAGACATAAGGGCGTATACTTCGGCATCTTCGTTCGGCATGCTGACTGATGACGAAGAGGTACGTGATGGAAGGAAGCAAGGTGAGATGTCGTATCCGAAGATAAATCCATGAGAGGAAGTCATATATCAAGAATCCACAAATAAACAGTTTGTCGCCCTTTGTCGCAAAAGGGCGCGAACATCTCGAATTCTGCATCTTTCAGGGCGTTCCATTGCGCATATGGTTAGTGAAGGATTTCGGTAGATTACGTAGCGGAACCCATGGCCTGAGCGCGGTCGTTGCATGTCCTTCCATCAGGAGAATTCGCACATCTGCAGATGGATTTGTGCCGTGGTTCTTTCCATGCTGAAGGTTCCTTCGTCATCTGAGTGCGTGCGTTGTGGCTCGTGCGGGGCTCTGACTCGGGGTGTCTCACAGTCTCGCGGCAACAACCTCACTGCAACTCATCACTTTATCCAACCGAGCACTCACGTCACTGGCTCTGAACATACCACCAACCTCTTGGGACTTCCCACAAGCAGGTACTGTGCAACAATATGTTGGTGTCGCGTCAACTGATACCAGCGCCTTACGCCCTTGGTTCCGGCTGGTGGGTTCTGTACGAGATTGCGAACTTTCTCGCGACGAACATCAAGGCCGGATACATGATGAAGCACTTCATTTCAGAGCGCATGCGATCTTTGTCGCCCATATTCGCGATCCGATGGCTGCAAGGTACCCTCATGTACCCGTTCATGCACGTGAAAAGCCGCAGGAAACTGCGTTTCAGATCTCCTAAGCCCCTTCAGGTCTGTATTGTGTTGACCCGACACGAACATCCCCTGCGGCAGAGTTGAAAACTAGATCTCGCTTGCAGCCTGCATTCAGGGCGAATATGCGCGTTTCATCCATGGCAACGGCCAATGTATCCTCCACTCACACACATGCCTCGGATATCCCCTCAATGCTTCGAAAGGTCAACCGGCTGCTACGAAGTGATGGCCCATCCAACACCAACAACAAAAGGTAATCAGCACTGCTGACGACGAATCAAGAACAGTTCTGCTTTGTCGTAATCGGTTCTATCGAGTTAGTGAGCGCAAAGCTATGCGTTCGTCCAACGTCATACCAACGACAGGCCCATAAGCTTATTTACATATACCCCAGAAACTCGGAAGAAAACCCATCTGCCAACTTGGGATTGCAGGTACCAACATGCGACCTGTCACAATGCATCAGCCTATGTGGTCTTCCCAAACACGTCTGATATCCCCATTATCCATTATGGCGCGTTCCCCAGAGCTATCTCAATGGTTCAGATCTCCTCGACCAAGGTACATGCCTCGAGGTTAGCACAGACACGCTAGGTGCTTCTGCATCTCTGATACACTGGCCAGCCAGATCCCATGAACACATACCGCGCCGCAAGATGACTTGTGGCGATAGTATTTGATGCTTGCCCCACCCACAGGATATGCGCTCGGTCGGCTCGTGGCCGTTCTTTCTACTTTCAGATTGCCGAATACGTGACTCTGGTAGTCATTTTGGCAGCTGAAGGTTCTCTAGTTTTGTTATGAGTCTATCGCAATATACCTCGCCAGAGTTTCTGGCCGAGGATCGAGGCCCAACTATCAAAGCGACAGCCTGCCTGCTGATCTTTTTCTGCACATCTTTTGTTGCCTTACGTTACTACTCACGCTATCTCACGAGTACCGCGTTGAACATCGAAGATGTTCTCGTTCCTTTTGCATGGCTAGCTGAGGTGGGCCTTTGCATTGTTGGTATCGGTAAGCATGCAACGCCTTGAAGACTGCTTGCGCCAGCTAACATATCAATCAGTCATGGTCGAAAAAGCCAGCACTGGACGACATATGGCCTACATTGCGTCCACAGATCCGGCAAAGATATCCGAGCACTTCAAAGGCATTATGATACAAGAGGTCCTGCATCCAGCAGCTGTCGCATTCCCAAAGCTCACCGTTGTACTGCTCTACTTGCATATCCTTACCAACAAGTACGAGCGCCTGGCTGCTAAGACGCTACTCGTTCTCATTCTTTCTACGTGGATCTCTTTCACCGTAGCTGTCGGGTTCCAGTGCATGCCTTTCAGGTTCAATTGGGACAAGAACATTCCGAACGGAAGATGCTTCAACGTTCAAGTCTTCGCGAACAGCTCTAGCGTACCTAACATCGCAACCGATTTGGCCGTCTTGATACTACCTCTAAGAACAGTGTGGTGTCTGAAGATCAGTGTTGGAAGAAGAATTGGGCTGTTACTCATTTTCCTGACCGGAAGCGTGTAAGTTGCCAGTTATACTTCCCAGGCCTTATTCGTAGCTGACCGATATATAGTGGTATCGTCGCATCCATAATCCGCACCGTCGTATTCGCCCAGACCCTCGCAGAAGCCGGTCCTCTTACAGATGTAACATGGAACCATGTTGCGCTCATAAACTGGACAATGATAGAGCCCGGCATGTATCTTCTCAGCGCTTGTGCCCTCTCATTCAAACCTCTTCTTCGGATGTTTGCCAAGGCCCTCCATCTTCAGGGCTTTGTTACACATACAAAGTCTACTGTCGGTGTGACTAGAAGTCATGTCAAAAGAACATTCACATCGACCCACACGCAGCCTGAAGTCTTCGAGCTCGGGAACGTCTCCGAGTTTGGCAAGTTTCACCGATTGAGCGACGATAATGCGAGCAGTAGTACGAGTGGGATTGACGAGGGAGGAATAGAAATACCCGCAACGAAGACCATTGAACTGAGTTCACAGAGAAGACTCGACGATGAGCGTTGGGACAGCAGGGATCTAGCGAGCGACCACTTTGGGAGGGCGGTTTGATGTGTTAGCCAGATCCTCTTTCTACGACTAGATGTTTAGATGAATGAATGTACTTTACATATCCTACTCATCAAGATGAAGCGATATCTCCGATGTGTGAGCCTTCACGTCAACCTATGAAAAAAAATCAAACAGGCCTGCAGCCTACATCAACATAGAAACGTGCAAAGTAGGTAGCCTAACGTCGATGTAGGCGCTAGATCTGTTCATTCTTTTTCTTGTATAGAGTGCCTTCCTTCCGGACATGCGTAGTGGCTGCAGTACGGAATAGGACCGCTACCGATGCTGAGACCCACCCACCCTTTCGTACCTGGCACGGAACAAACACCATCGGCGAGACGGCATCTTCTCACATGGAATGCGTGTATGCGAGTGCCTCTCGGACTCTGTGCACACCGGCCCCGAAGGCAGCTACCGGGAGAGATCGATCGGGCGCGTCTTAGCGTGCCGCGCACCTAACGCGAATTAACAACATCGTCATGCATATGTCTAGAATGCCTCCACCTCCACCCAGTGTGCCACCAGCCCACCGAACGCGCTCCATCACGACGTCATGCTGCTTATGAGGCGCCCCTCGACCAGCCACATGGGCTCGCGTCGGCGTGGAATATCCGCTGTTACTTGACCCTCTGATCTCACCGTTACGTCCACGTACATATCACGAGCAGCCTATACCAAGATGTCTGCTGGTCCTCGACTACTTGTACGCTCCGCACGAACAGCTCTACCCAGAATTCAACTTGCAACTCGCATTTCAACACCCATTAAAACAACTACTATTCGATACTTCTCCACTACACACATCTCCAGAATGCCGGACCAACTCAAGGCTAGCGAGGTCAACTCCAAGACCGACCCCTCTGTCGCGAAGCAGTACGACGATGAGACCCCCAAGGACCAGCAGATCAAGCAGTTCTTTGAGATGGTAGACGGCAAGAAGATTTGCATGCTCAACACATACCGCAATGGTGTTGGTATGTTTACCCCTACATTCCTCCACTTTCAAGCTCCATCCCCTCAGTTCCATCCCACGTAGCTCTAGACTAACCATTGTCAGGCCCCGTCGGTCGCTCCATGGCCCTCGCCCGCCGCGACGGTCCCGACTTCCTCTTCCTCGCCAACAACCACTCGCAAAAGTTCAACGACTTGAACCAAAACAAAGAAGTCCAGATCTCGTTCCAGGACCTGAAGACACAAGAGTGGGCCTCCATCACAGGAACTGCCACAACAACAGACAACAGCGACCCCCGCATCAAGGAGGTATGGAGCCGTGGCGCTGCAGCATGGTTCGGTGATCTCGGTGATGGCAAGCACACTGGTGGCCCCGAAGACCCCCGCATGACTCTGATTGAGATCAAGAGCAAGTACGTCTCGTACTACGTCACAGATGTCGGCCTCTTGGGTTACGCAAAGGAGATCATCAGCGCGAACGTCACAGGTGGCGTTGCCAACACCGGCAAGCTGAGGGAACTCAAGGAGGCGGATTTGGAGAAGGCCAGGTCGATGTAAGTGCACATAAGCACTGTTAATGTAATGGGAATATGTTGAGATCTTGGTAGATCTCCATCGAAGCTATGAAGGCTTGCAGATTTACAATAATAACCATATTCAATGACACATGCGCGATGCAATGTACTTCGAAAATGTATGTGTAAAAGGCGTGATGTGCAAAGCTGAACAAACATTGAAAAGCCTGGAAGTAATCACCGTCCATACATGCATGTGCGCTTGACGGAATGTGTCAACGAGCTTCCGAAGGTGGCACGCGTGTGAAGGAATTCGCCGCACACTAATCCACCTAAAACAAAGAGGAACAACAAAAGTCTTCTTTTTAAAAGCTATACAACATAACAACAACAAAAGAGAATAAAATTTTAGAGTAGTAGAATTATAGAAAAAAAGCTCCTCTATAATTCTACTATTTTAGAATTTAATAATATCTACTTTGTAGTATGTTATAGAGCTTACAAGAGGGAGAAGTTTTAGGTGTGCGGCGAATTATTTCACCTGCGTGGGTGGATAGCTGCGATTGGAGGCTACCCCACTTTCGTCATAGCCACGACGTTTGATGATGATGTGATCAATCCATGTATATGGCGTCGAAGTCCGCAAAGATGGCGATCGCTGCTATATAGCTTTTGAGGGATCGCCATATGCGTAAGAGCACACATTCTGTCAACAGCTACATTATACTTTTACACCTCTGATAACTACCATCACTACTACCATGGGCAAAGATCATCCTGACGCAGACCTTCATCCTGAAGCGACAGGACTTGCAGCAGCGACAGTCAAAGTAAGCAAACGCACACCTACAGTATCTTCTTCGTTGCTAATATTCGAAGGCTCACTCAGCCGAGTGCCCCCTGAAACTGTACTCGGGATGGTTCTGTCCCTTTGTGCAGCGCGTATGGATAGCGCTGGAGGAGAAGGGTATACAGTACCAGTATATTGAGGTCAACCCGTACCACAAGCCACAGTCTCTGTTGGATCTCAACCCCCGTGGTCTAGTCCCAACGCTGCAATACCAGAACAAGCCACTTTATGAGAGTACTGTTCTCTGCGAGTTCCTGGAAGAGGCATTCCCTCAGCACACACCGCACCTGATGCCGACGGATCCCTATCAGAGAGCTAGAACGAGGATCTGGACCGACTATGTAGGCAGTCGCATCATCCCTGCCTACCACCGTTTTCTGCAACATCAGGGCGGTGGCTTGGAGGAGAAGCAGAAGGAATTCTTGAACCATCTCAAGGAATTCACACGTGAGATGGATGCTGAAGGGCCGTACTTCTCAGGCAAGGACTTTGGACTTATTGACGTTGTCCTGGCCCCATGGGGAATTAGGCTGTGGGTATTCGACCACTTCAAGGGTGGGTCGGGCATTCCGGATAAAGGAAAAGGCGGGGAGGATGAAGAGGTCTGGAAGCGCTTCAGGAAGTGGCTGTCTGCTGTGGAGGGCAGGAAGAGCGTCAAAGAAACGCTCAGCGAGAGGGAGCATTACTTGCCGATCTATCAGCGGTATGCAGAGGACAGAGCACAGTCGGAAGCGGCCAAAGCCATCAGAGCGGGTCGGGGCATTCCTTAGATGCACTGCATTGTATGGTATGCTATGGTAGCGCGTCATGCCTAGTGACGTCAAGCTGGTGATAGTCGTTCGGATGTTTGGCAGGGCTGCTGTTGCCCGGTCGACACTGTTGATAGTGTTGATAAACGGGACCCGCTTGCCGCGCCACAACGGGCTAAGCGTGCGCCCACGCCTGGCAACTGATCCTGAACGCTCTTGGACGAGGATCCCTCACAACCTATATGCGCCGGCGCGACAACACATTGCCAGCAGACCGACTCAACTACCCGCCACCATGTACGGATACACGGCAGGCACTCCCTGCCCGGCGCCCTATTCCTCCACGGGCAGCTATTACAGCGGCTACGGCAGCCACTACGCGCCTTCCTACTTCGACGACAACAACACGACGGCAAACCTCGAATACACAACCGAACTGAAGCCCCGCCAGGCCAAGCCGCGACGACCGATGCGTGCCACACACAAGCCTGCCTTCAACCCCTCGCTCGACATCTTCGAGGATGTCGCGCAGGAGGAAGAGCAGCAACAAGCCGAGTTTGCGGTCAAGAGGAGGAGCCGCGCCAGCGTTGTTCCCGCAGCTGCGAGGACAAAGAAGAGCACCATACTTGCGCACCCCGCGCAGAGGATACCCAAGGCAGTCGCGCCTGCCCAGGAACCACAACCGGAGAAGCCGCATCGGAGACGTGTCTCGCACGCACCTAGCGACAGGCATGCGACGGATGTCAATGCGACTGTACGGCTACAAGAGGACGTTCTGGAGAGGAAGGAGCTCAAGAAGCAGGCCCCTAAGAAAGACCTGCGACGGAGAACCATCTACATACCGTCTGATGACACGTCAGTCTTCACTATCCACCCGGGACAGCCTACACACGCGTCGCGCAACGTCCGGGAGCCGTCACCAGACATCGGACTGGATCTGGTCACACTTTCCGAGGAGGAGGGAAACAACCTCATGCCAGCGTTGAAGAGGGAGAAGAAGCTACCGCGCAAGTCTCTGGCTGCACCACCGAAGCGAGGTCCTCTGAGTACCGCATCGCGCTCGTCACAGGGTTCGTCCTTCTCGAGTGACGTCGTGGGCTCAGGAGGAGGAAAAGAGAACCTTCCACCGGGAATGGAGGCTGTCGAGAAGAAGAAGAACGGAGTACACATCGAGATCAACTTCACCAAGGCCGATGCAAAGAAGCCCGACGCAAAAGCACCCAAAGTACATTTCAACGCCCCGAAAGAGCCCGAACGGATACTACATACCAAGAAGAGGCCCGAGGGTTCCCAGAAACGACCACGGTCGCACGTGGCTCAAGACGATGCACCAGCAAAGGCGCTCAAGGCAAGAGCAGATGGCACCGCCTCTGCCGCAACAAGCAGGGCATCTTTGAGGACGACGATCAAGACCGAACGAGCGAAATTGGCGAAGGCGAAGCGCGCACCATTATCTTCCTCGCCCTTCCACACCGACAAGTCTCCACCCACAGCTCTGCGTCGTCAGAAGACTGGAAGTGTCGCGAGCAGTATTACCATGCTGCACGAAGTGGGCCAGCGACCGCAATCAAGAGAGAAGTACCCAGTACTGCAAGAGGATCTGGCTCAGCCGGAATTGTACGAGGACAACTGGCTCACCTACCAGGAAGTCGCCATCACCCAGCTTCTCAACTCCGTGTTTGACTCGGCGGCCAGGGACCCGAGCGCGGAACAGAGTCCGGAGGAGATGCGCAAGAAGATGCTTGCCATTTACCACGATCCCGCAATGCCATCACTCCACAAGCGACTACAGGCTTCGCTTCAGTTCGGCGCACTCAGCATACCGAAGGACCTCCTCGCTCAGACACTTAGACTCAAGGACGACGTCGGACTGCGCAAGAAGTTCCTCAACCTGTGGACGAAGTCATACGATCTAAACGCACTACGTGCCGCGGCTGAGACTATTGTCGGTCGCCAAATTACAACGCCCTGCCGACTGTCCACAGGCTCCACGTGCTCAGATGATGGCTCTCGCCAGTATCGCGCGGAGCGCCGGGCGATCGAAAGCTTCCTGTCCGCTTTTCTCATCAAGAACGAGGACGCTGTCCGGGTCAAATCCGGAGGTGGTAGCATTGCAAGCCTCACACGCGGCGATGATGACTTTGGCTCCCAAGGCTGGTCGTGGCGGCGAACTGCACTGCGAAGTCTGATGCTGGTTCTCATCCTCGACCAAGCGAAGACAACGGACGCTCTGCCAGGCTGCCTTTTCCAGACAACGTCATCATACAAGACGTCTGTGGAGGTCCTCCATCAGCTATCGAAGATGCTGCTACCTTCGCACGGCGACATTACTCGGCCCCTAAACCACCTCAACTACAAGGTCGAACATGTTCAGTATCCACTACAGGAGTACACCTATCAGATCGACAACATCGCCATCGACCTCCGTGATGGCATCGTGCTCACTCGTCTTGTAGAGCTACTACTCTACCCGTCTACCACTCTTGGAACACAGCAGGACGACACCGTCACTCTTAGCCTGCCCAGCGGTGAGCTTCTCAACAGCTCCCTCGACCCTTCGCAGAAGGACACCTGGATCCTTTCCCAACACCTCAAATACCCGGCCATTGGCCGTCCCCAAAAGGTCTACAACGTCCAGATCGCCCTGGCTGCATTGAGCAACGTACCAGGTATGCCTAGCGCAGCAGTCAGCGGCATCCGAGCCGAAGATATCGTCGACGGACATCGCGAGAAGACGCTTTCGCTTCTCTGGTCCCTTGTCGGCAAGTGTGGGCTTGGAAGTCTTGTCGACTGGCCGCAACTGGTCAAGGAGACGGAGCGCTTCCGCAACCAGTGGTACAGAGCCCGAGACAGCTACGAGGGACGAGTCCTCGATTCTGAGAACGAAGAGGAAGAGACATCTGAGCTGGACGGCATGGCATACCACAAGCGTCTTCTTCTTTCTTGGTCCCGCTCCATTGCTCGTCTCCATGGCTTGCGCGTCGCAAACTTGACAACGAGCTTCGCGGATCCAAAGGTCCTAGAGGTCATTGTCGACACTTACTTGCCCTCAAACCTGACCATCTCCACTGAAGGAACCGGACGTCTTGGTTTGGCAGCAAAGCTCAAGGCTGTCGGCTGCTCAACCTCATTCATTGCGCTCTTCACGCCGCAGCACAACACCACTCGTTCCATCCCAAGCCGAGACTTCACCCTCCTCACACTGTCCTTCCTGGCTAGTCGCTTATTGCCACTTGCTCGTACACACCGCGCCGCGTCAACCATCCAGTCAGCTGTCCGTTGTTTCCTACTTCGTCGCCAGATCAGCACGCGCATCCAAGCCATGAAGATAGCGCATGACTGCGCTGTAGTAGCACAGGCTCGACAGAAGATGGTGGATGCCGCCACAGTTATTCAACGACGTTGGAAGGCAATCCAAGATGCCCGTCGTCAACAACTGGAAAGCGATGTCCTGGCTTTCCAGGCCTTGGCCAGAGGCTGGGCCATCAGGCGATGGGTCCGACGTATCACCGCTGGCCGCGTTGGCGGAAAGGAGAAGGTCAGGAGGGTCAGGGGTGGATGGTAGTCTGCAAGATGCTGTATACTGATGTTCACAAGCTCTCAAAGGGGTGAGGAGAGGAGATGGCAAAGTTGGATACGAACCTGATTACGACGGAGTTGACGAGTTAGTGTATTGTTTTGCGCGAGGCGTTCTCGTTATACCTATGCACGGCGTTGCAAGCATGCTTTCCATCATTCATCGCGCTCGCTATATACCACTTACAGATTGTCTGTTTCGTTTGAATCTTGATACTTGTATTGTCTTAGCACTTCACTTTTGATGTTCATTTGCACGTGTCACAGTGAACATAGCTATATGCGCCGGGTTCTGAGTCGTTGCTAAATGAGACGTGATCTTCTCAGTTATCCACAATAGTCGTTTTGATAAACCACGGCATCTGACTCACTCGAGACACTGAGCATAGCAGGCAACAGTCATCGCTCAAACGTACTTCATTCGAGATCTATCATGCGATGATATAGCTGTGGTCAACTTCTGGTCCATATTGTAACCGACACTGAAGGTCCATAAGCACTCCACTACCTTTTTCCACCTTCATCAAATCGTATCTTCATACCTCGTACGCCTTCCCATGCATCTTGCTGATATATCTTACCACCTAGAATTTAGACCTTGTTCTCGATGTTGCGCTCATCCCTCAACTTGACCAGCTTCTCTATCGCCTCATCGAGAGGCACGATGACACCACGCTGCTGTGTCTCTTGGTCGTCGCGGTTTCTCCGGTTCACAGCCCTTGCTTGCTGTTCCTCGGCACCAACGACCATGATGAAGTTGTAGAGTGCGAGTTGTGCTGTGCGGATCTTCTTTTGCATGGTGTTGCCGCTGATGTCAATGTCGGCGTGGAGGTGGTGTTTGCGGAGCGCTGTCTGTACTTCCTTGACGTAGTCGTTCGCGCCAGGCATGACGGGAATGACCATGACCTGACGAGGTGAGAGCCAGAAAGGCCATCGTCCGGCAAAGTGCTCTGTGAGGATACTACTGTTGTCAGTGAACATGTTCGAGCAATTCGTAGGGACTGAAGCTTACGCGATGAATCGCTCGAAGGATCCGTAGATAGCACGGTGAATCATAACAGGGCGAGCGTAACCTGGTTGCGGCTCCTTGATCTTCTTGGGGATTGTGACGTCGGCGCCTTCCAGCTTCTCCTTCTTCTGCTCAATGTGTCCGCCTTCCTGAGCCTGAGGCTGGTCCTTGGACTTTGTGGGAATGACTTCGGACGTCATGTATTCGAGCTCAAACTGGTTGGGCAGTTGGAAGTCGAGCTGAATGGTAGCACACTGGAACTCTCGCTTCAAAGCATCAGAGATGGTGATGTCGATCTTGGGACCGTAGAAGGCACCATCTCCAGGGTTCAGCTCCCAAGCGCCACCACCGGCAGCTGTGAACTCGTTCAAGGCGTCCGTCAGCTTGGCCTCTGCCTTGTTCCAGGTATCGATGTCACCAAGGAAACCCTCCGGGCGTGTACTTAGCTTCAGCTTGAATGTGAAGCCGAACTTTCCGTATACCGCCTTGAGGAAGTCGAAAAGTGCAAAGATTTCCTCTGTGATTTGGTCTTGGGTACAGAATACGTGAGTGTCGTCCTGCTGGAAACGACGGACTCGCGTGAGACCAGTGAGGGCACCGCTAGCCTCGTTTCGATGTAAGATACCAAAGTCGGCCATGCGAATGGGCAGTTCCCTGTAACTTCGCTCGCGGTGCTTGAAGATCAGGCAATGTCCAGGGCAGTTCATAGGCTTCAGCGCCCATTTCTCTTTCTCAACATCAAAGGTGAACATGTCTTCCGCATAATGCTGCCAGTGACCAGAGATCTTCCACAGCGCTGAGTTGTACATGTTTGGTGATGCTACCTCCTGGTACCCACGGTTCCAGTACTCCTCGCGAAGGAAGGCCTGTAGTGTGTTGTAGATAATTTGACCGTGCGGAAGGAAGAAGCATGAACCCGGGCTGTATTCGTGGAAGAAGAACAGTTCTTGTTCTTTTCCAATCTTGCGATGATCTCGCTTTGCGGCCTCTTCAAGGAACTTTAGATGGGCCTGCATTGCGTCTTTGTCGGGGAATGAGACACCGTAGATACGTTGTAAGCTGTCGTTCTTGGCATCACCCAAGAAGTATGATGCGGAGTTCTTCATGACCTTGAACTGCTTTATCCGTCCGGTGTGTGGTACGTGTGGTCCTCGGCAAAGATCGATCAGTGGTCCGTTGCGGTACACGGTGGTGAAGGTGCCGTCGGCGATCTTGTCCTTGATGATGTGCTGCTTGTACTTGTTCGACTTGAACATTTCGAGTCTGGAAAGTTTTAGCATTCTTCTTACGCGTGGGATGAAAATCTTACAAGTCGTCTTTGGAGAGGGTCAAGCGCTGGAACGGCTGCTTCTCCTTGACAATGGTGTTGACAATAGTCTCGAGTGGCTTGTGGTCGGCGGGATCGACTGCGGCGTTGTCTGGAAGAGCCATTTCATAGTAGAAGCCGTCCTCAATTGGAGGGCCGATGCAGAGATCGCAGCCAAATCTACGTTCCGATGCTTCTCCTAGGATATGTGCGCTCGAGTGCCAGAAGACCTTCTTGCCCTCGGGGTCGTCGAATGGTAGAAGCTCAAGCTTGCAGCTCTTCTCCAAAGGCCGCTCGAGATCCCATAGGGTCTCATCGGGTGTGCCCTTGTCCAGACGCGCAACGACGGTGCGCTCGAATAAGCTCTTCGCGATGTTTCGCGCAATGTCGGCGGGGCTGGTAACCCATGACTCTCCTTCGATGTTCTTGCCGTCTTCGAGGGTGATGGTAATCTTCTCTGCAAGGCGTGAGGTGTCAGTACTAGGAATCGTCGGCATTATGGGATGAGCGTACCGTGGGGCTTTTGGGCTATCTCTTCGTCGTACCTCGCCTTGAGCTTCTCGAAGATCTGGATGCGGTGGTCGATGAAGGCCGGCGCAGGGTCGAGCATCAATGGACGACCATCACCAGCATCGCCCTTGGCCTTCTTCTCTTTCTTGGGCTTGGGGGCCTTGTTTTCCTTCTGCTCGACCTTCTTCTCGGCATCTACGGCCAAGTTCTTGACGCCCTCGACAGCCGAGTTGACTGCATCCTTGACTGCGTCCGCCATGTTGTTGGTGTTGTCGAGTCTCAGGCGCGTTGGGCGGGGTTGTGTGAGCTGTGACTCAGGCGTATGCGAGGTGCTGCAACTCGGGGGTGTGATGGGAGTGCAGTAGATCTATAATAGATGCGGGCGCTATGGTGACTCCTGCTCGGTGTGCAGAGTCCGGTCCGAAAGCAAAGCAACGTCAGACTCAGTCACAATGCCAAAAAGATGCGCGCGCACGACAGCCCACTTAGCCGTTTAGGAGGCGCATTTGGTGGGGTTGCATGCGGCGGAAGGAGCCACCGGCGAAACGTGGTACCGATTGGCCGCGCTATCTGCAACTTCATTTTCAGTCGAACTTTTCGCGAAGCTCTAGACCAAGCTCACCTTTCGCGCACCGATCCACATTCAACATCACCAACAACATGGCATTTCGCGGAACTCCTCGTGGCGGTCGCGGCGGCGGCTTCGGCGGACGTGGTGGATTTACTCCTCGTGGAGGTATGTAGCATGTCTGGAGCTCTACACGACTTTTAGCTAATGCGCGACAGGACGCGGCGGTGGTTTCGGAGGAGGCTCTTTCGGACCCCCAGACACTGTCATCGGTACGTGGCGCGATCACACGGTCAAGCAAAGCGCTAATGACCATGCTAGAAATGGGCAAATTCGTTCACGACTGCGAAAACGAGATGTTCTGCGAATCGATAAACACCAAGATCCCCTACTTCAACGCGCCCATCTACCTGGAGAACAAGGTACATATACTGCGACGGGAAAAGGCAAGGATGACGGGCTGACCCAGCTACAGACACCCATCGGCAAAGTCGACGAAATCCTCGGCCCGTTGAACCAGGTCTACTTCACCATCAAGCCTCAAGAGGGCATACAAGCCAAGTCTTTCAAGGCTGGCGACAAATTCTACATTGGAGGCGACAAGCTGCTCCCTCTTGACAGGTGAGCTGGTTCAGATGGCATTTGGGATTTTTGCGCTAACTCTTCTAGATTCCTTCCCAAGCCCAAGCCCGTCGGTGGTGTTACGAAACCTAAGAGGGCCGCCGGTGCCGGTCGTGGAGCTCCTCGTGGCGCAGCTCGTGGCTTCGGAGGTCGTGGTCGTGGAGCACCCCGAGGACGTGGTGGACCTCCTGGACGTGGCGGCGGTTTCGGTGGCCGTGGAGGAAGTGGATTCGGCGGTCGCGGCGGCGGCGGTGGTGGTTTCTCAAGAGGTGGACGCGGCGGTGGTGGTTTTGGTGGACGTGGCCGAGGAGGATACTAAGTGCCTCGATCCGGGACGGTCACCACTTCATTCGGAATACGCTGGCAATGCGCAACCGTCTGCGCTGCCGTTTCGGCTCGATCCTACGACTACCTACCGATACCATGATCATTTGAGGCGTTTTGGAGTTGATGGGGCCAATGTATCATGTCTAGACATGGCGCCATGCTATGGACATCTTGTAAAGGATGCGCGCGTTATATTTTCTAGTCAAATTACTCTGAAGTCCAACCTGCCCGATGCATTTGGGCGACTGAAACATTTCCTAGAGCAGAGTTCGACGCCGGCGACCGTGCGGGAAACGATCGCAAGACGTCGCAAGCCAGACTTATCGATTACATGGCAAAGATCACAGGAATGCACTGGTCCGCTAGTATGAGCTGTTGTTTTGGAAATCGCTATACTACGGTCTGTTCGTTAGACTGGTAGCTGCTCACTACAGCAATGAAACAGCGCTTCCAAAAGTATTGCACATATGGAAGGCCTGCCAAACGCAAACTTGCTATATACAGCTGTATGGACGTATACCATGAGTGATTCGTATCCAGATGCCTGTTTGCATTGGGTGGCTCTGTACCATAGTTTACGCGCTGCTGCAGTGAGTCGCACGGCTTATTATCAGCATGAATAACATCTGCAGACCAGTCAATGCTAATTTCGAAGAAGCTAACAGTAGACAATAAATCAGACGTCACAACTGTCAAACACTGGAGCCATGTCAACATGCCAGGTTTGTAGCAAAGGGATGTTTGCGCCGGTCCAATAGTCTCGTTCCCAGCCCCATCCCAGCTTGGGAGGCTGGGCTGCCATGAAGGTTCCTCGGACCACAACAACAGGGGCTTTGGCAATTTCAGCATCGTGCATTCGCAATTTCCATCATTCTATTCCCCGCGTCTCCGCAAACATCTTTCTTGATTCTCGCGTCCACGATAACATCACCCTGAAGGAAGTGTTCACTGTTGAGGCACCTCCGAGACCTCCGCACCCGCCCCGCAACACCCTCGCACGTTGCTGAGGTTACCTGGAACGTCATCCATCACCGCACACACTGCACGACTGCGAGCGCAAAGACTCGAGATACTCTCGCGACAAAAGCAATTGAAAACGGGAGCGAAAAAGCACCCGATTTTCGCGGTATAGGAGAAGGGAAACGTTGCGACAGCGCCAAGTCCCAAGCCTAATCTGCGGATAGGCGGCATAGCAAATCAACGACACAAGGCTCCGTAGCTCGAAGCGCAAGAACTCTGGACTCGAAGAACCGTTGCACCGGCGAACTACCACCGTTGCGCATATCGAACGCCACAGCAAGAACACTCTAGCGCAAGCCTGCCCGCTATCGCATTCACCAGAACCCTCCCGACTTAGCCGCCGAGGCGCGACAGAAAGATACAATGGCTCGCGCAGGACATTCAGGCACAGTTGTGGGCTCAGCGGTAGTAGTACGGGAGAAGTACTACTGGCCCGACCTACAGCTGAACATCTGGACGATTGTCATGCTTGCAACAGCCGGAACAATATTGGGAGTGAATGCGCAGTTTATGGCGATACAAGATCGGATGGGACTGGGGACGCCATGGTATGTACACTCTACAACCTCCTATGCGGCCAGCATAGTGAGCGAGGTATACATATGAATGCTTTGCTAATTCCTTTAACAGGATAATGCCCTACGGCGTCACAGTTGGCACTCTGGCCATAATCTTCATCATTATCGAGATCGTCTTCATCGCGCAACGGAAACTCCTCCCAGGCACTATGATGCTCCTCTCCTTCATCCTCCTCGTCCTTTTCATCGCCGGAATCATCGGAACCGCGATACAACTTTTCGCCGGACCCAACATCAACAACCAGTGCAATACATACGTCTTCAACAACGACGTGGATGGGCCGAACATGGATACATTGGCATTCCTGCAGCAGAGGAATATCTGTAAGTATTCTTGGTGTTTGAAACCACTCGGACAAGTGAAGAGACATATGGCTAACAGTAGACAGGCCAATGCTGGCAAGCCGAGTTCGCTTTCTGGATCATCGGAAGCATATTCCTCGTGTGGATGATGGTCATGGCGAGCCAAGTCAACTCAAACACATATGCCAGGTAATCTAATGGCTCAGACCCACCAACTTCCTGCTCTTCTTAGGACTCTTGTCCATCTTCTTTGTGTCTTATTCTCTGCTTTCTGACAACGGCCATGTGTATATGAAAGAAGCGCGTATTGCGTGATTTCTAGCAAGAGCGGCGGCGTTAGGGCAATGTTCTTTTTCTTCATTACGAGATACCGATGGGACGCATAGTATGGAAAGATGGGTGAATGTAAGGAAACGTAGCAGGAATGACGGATCTTCCGGCTATCAGATCTGTATGATGAATAATAGCAAGATGCATTTTCCACAATAATCGATTGAAACAGAAGAAGTTACTCATGCCCTGATAACTGCCAACATGCTGTCAGGCTACCATGGGACGATTGCAGGCTGCTAGCCATCTGCAGGGCATACACCCATTTCTTCCCATGGGAATCGTAATCTTTCAGGCACGAAGAGCCTCATCCACCATGGAACTCGCGGTGTGATTACGACTGGTACCGCGACTCGACCTGCATTTCACATTTCACCCTGCATCTGATTCCCAATCTGACCCTCTCTCTCCGCGGAAGCTAGGAACGCCATCATAAGCACCAATCCTAATTCCCTCATAGCCAGGATGGGATACGAACACAGACAATGCACCACCGAAAGCAGGTTTGGTAGAACCCCCATTTCGCACTGACAAAAGATTCCCGGGTCTTGGTCTTACCCGGAGATGGAGCCGCGGGTCCTCTGGGTTCGAGGCTAATACGTGGACCTGGGCACTGGGCAAAAGAAGTACGAAGGGCGAGAAAAGTAACTTCAATCTTTAGCCCTGGAGGTGCGATAGCAGTGATTCATGCCTTTGCTTCTTTAAGATCAACATTAAGTGGTCACCTTGACAATGCATGCGTGACCCGTCCCGTCACCCAGCCGACGCATTTATCAGAAGTGAGGTGTATTAATCCCGTTCGTTACCCAAGCCGCCCGCGACCATGCACCACCAGCCACGGGCCTAACACCCACTAAATCGGCGATCATCCCGTCACGAATCCACACCGTACAGACAGATTTACCAGCCGCGCATTCTTACATCATCACGTTTCAATACCAGCCACGCTTCCAGATTGGGGCTTAATGGTTACCCTTGGCGACAAGGGCTGGCCTCGCCTTTTACCAGCGCCGTGGCCAATCAAGACGCTGCGACTCGGACACGAAGCTGGCACGAAACGCGTCGGCGACTTCTGGAGCGCGTCGATTTTGGAAGATTTCATTGGCTGTGAGAATATGCGGAGGTTAGGAGGAGGGGTGTGTGGCTGGCTGCTCCTTGTAGGGCTTTATGACTCTTACCTGGGGTGCAGTGGTTCGAGATCTTCCGAATTGATGTGTTGTTCTGTGTATGTAGGGTACATGCAGGTAATACGTGATGGTGTGATGGGAAGGGCGGCGTGGTCGTTGTAACACCTGGGTGTTACCGCTCGTGAAGGGTGCATAGGATCTTTAGTGTACTTCATTCTGCTGCAAACCGTTGATCATGTTCGCATTTGCCGCATAGCTTTCAGACAAGTGGTGGTAGTGGTTGGAAATGCAGACGTGTGGCGTAGCGATGATTCGCTATCGTACACAGCCTTCCCACAGTGCATTAGCGAGACCAGGAAACAAGTATGTACGGCACTTTATCATTCAATGCATCTTATTATTCGCCTACATGACCAAACCCCAAAATACAGTTGCATTTCGGAGGTGCCTGGCTAGGCCGTCGGTCCCATTCTACCGCTCGCGTTATGTGATACTGCTATACTATGCTGTGCTGAGCTGATAGCAAACAAATGAACAGAAAATTGCTTAGAATACAGTCGCTGGAAAAAAAGTGTTCAAACGGGGATATGCGTGAAGGGTGATACAAAGCGCTTGCGTTGTTGCTAGCTCGATTTTGCCGCCAAGGGGCGGTTGGGCGGTACTGGTGAAAGATAACGTAGGAAACGTATGCAGTTATGCATGGGGTGTGTCGATGATGCCTTCCATAACCAAAGAGGTCTTGCCTCTGTAAACGCCATGCTTATCAAGGAACCAACAGTAAGTGAAGAAAGGAGACGCTATTCGATAGCGGCATTGGGTGGATTGGTGGCGGGGCGATGCACTGCGCATGCTTAATGTCGCCCTGGTGTCGTTGCGTCGTGCCCACATGAGTGTTGGGCTGTGTGTGGAAGATAATGCGAGGATCACGAGATGAGCTCTCCACCAAGGTCCATTGGGCCGTCCATTCTTCCAACATGAGCGTTCATGTGGGAAGCGTCACCAGGAGGACCAATGTTATCGAAGTTGAGGTGACGTCGTGCTTCTCGGACGGCAGCAGGTGTTCGTGTTGCCACAGGGGTGCGGTTCCATGACGATGCATTGGCCTGCGCAGGACTCGGCGACATGTTGAGGAACTCGGCAAAATTGAGGTTTGTTGACGGTGTCGCAAGTCCGAAACCCATGTAGTGAGAGCCGCCACCGCCGGGCGTGGACATCATCGACGAGGGAAGAGGTGTCGCTTTGGGTGGAGGAGTCGATGGCGCGAGCATCTGCGGCTTCTGGTGACCTGGACGGACTGGTGTCGGTGATGTAGCCAGGTACATCAAGAGGTTTGCATCGTCATCTCCTTGCTTTCCTTCCCGAGCTGCGCCGGCAGCATTGAATCCACGTTGTCGAAGACGTGCTGAGCGAGCGACATCAGGGGGCGGCGTGCGTGGGGCCCTCTGCGGCGGCGGCGATGACTGGAAGTGCGATCGGTCGAGGGAGAAGTGCGATCTGTTGATAGAGAAGGATGTGATGGGTAGGTCTTCGTCATCGTCTTCGGAGAGTAGGGGCGAATGTGGATCGGGAACGGTCGAGGTTTCGGAGACGAAAGAAAGGCTAGGGACATGTTGACGACCAAAACGTGCGTGCCGGCGATGGTATACGGGCGAAGACTCGGGCAATTGGAAGCTGTTCTTCCAGGAGGTAGCAGCGCTGGTGGCTGTCCTCACCTTGACACGGGCGTGGTTGCTCGATGCTGGGTACATTGTCCGGTCTTGACGGGGCCGCTTGTTTTGAAGGTAACTGCCTGTGCTGACGGACCGGCTGACGGATCGTCGGACATCGTCGGAGAATATGGGGGCTTGGAGTGGGGAGGAGTCGAGGACGCTGGGTTGATAGAAGCGCTCGGAGACGCTCGAAACATCCGACATGGCTTCGTTGCTGGAGCCGGGGCGCTTACGTTTGCGCTCAGCGCCGTCGAGGACGGGTTCAATGGCATCCAGGCTGAGGCTCTCCCAGCCGTTCTTCATCTTGACGTTGGCCAGGGCGAGGCGGTTCTGCAGCGTTCGGGTCATCTGTAGTGCACCTGGTTAGCAAACAAAGGGCGAGGGGCTGCAGACGGAGAGATGGACCTTTGAGACTTGGGCCCTTCGCAGGACCTTGCTCGCGACTTCATCCTGTTCAGCCATGGCAGAGCAATTGGGTTGGACGACGGGGTAGGGAGATCCAGCAGTGATATGGCCCGCTGAACGTCTCGATAGGGCTGCTACAGACGAAACGTGGGCGGAGCTGAGGTGACGGTCCGGCAAGGAATGTGAGGAGCTGGCGATGCAAGCGGACTAGCCTCAAAGTCTGCGGCAGCACAGGCCTCGTACTTGCCAGGGCGTTGTAGGAGTGATGATGAAGTCAAGGTGCTAGGAGTCGCAAGCGGCACGAAAGCCTTAGTGACCCCATAGCGGGCTCCTATCCGGCGCTGGAGCCTTGTCCGAGTGCGCCTGCAACAAAGAAAACCTATGCTGCTGAGGGTTTGGCGAGCGGCAGGGGTCGCGCATCTGGTGGCTGCGGTAACGTGCTGAGTAAGACAGGAGAGGTACCGTACGGTATCGGTAACGCTGGACCGTGGGAATGTTTCAGACACGCCTTGCCTTATCGCTGCAGGCCATCCTCGGGGAACGGGCGAGGTCCGTTGCTTCTCGAGCTACACCACATGGATGCGCGGATGACGACGCGCAGAATCGGTGACGGGGCCGGCCACCACATATGCCTCGACGCCGCATGCGCATCACATGCGTGTGTCAATGGCGGACAGCCTGCCATGCCATTGTCGCTCACGGCGCTGATGGACATGACACTGGATGGCATACACATGTCAGATCACGACCTGCCGTCCCAAAGCGGCTAGAGGACGTTGCGCACCAACGTCATTCGTTGAGTCGCTAGGAAGTCGCGAACGCCTGCTCACCATGCGCTCGCGCTCGACTCCACAGTCGCAACTCTTACTAGCTGTCCTCCCGCAGTTGCGCAACAAGGCCAATTCCTGCCAACTGGCCTGCTTTGGCGCTAGAGCCTTCCCAATTGAACAACTACCTGTTCGGTCCTGCTAGCTTGGATCGACGGAGCTGCAGCACTTCACGTCGGCTGCCTCTCCACCTCGACAGCGCTGCCACTTTCTTCACCACCAGCTTTCTTTGCCCTCTCCCGTCATACTGCATATCCTGCTTTCACTCGCTTCCCGCATAGTACATAGCTATTGCCAGTACACTCTCCCGCTCGCTTGTTCCCACCCTATCAGTGATTATCACGCTCGCCGTATTACGCGTCCTCACAGCTCCACAACCGCGCCCTCCTTGTCGCTCGTTACCTACCTGCGCTGTACCTCACTGAGACGACACTGAACATATCCACTTTGGACCTTGGACGATACCTACGCCTATGATTTCATAATTCGACCCGTATACCAGCGCCGTAGTTGTCACCATGCCGTCTTTCCTCAGAAGCCTTGGTAGGAAGAGCAGCCGCATGTCCAAGAATGGCGACAAGCAAGCAAATGGTGCCGATGCCCAGAACGGCAAAGGCTTAGCCCATCGCGTATCCGCCTCTACCTTGAACTCCTCTCAAGTTGGCTCGTCGACGCCCTCTACTACGCCAGCCACCTCTACCACCGACGAAGTCAACACTCAAACCAAAGACCTCACCAATGGCCCTACACCTGCGCCTGCGCGACCTCAGCGACCGACTGTCGACCCTGTGAAGCGTTATAGCATGAATGTAAGAAATCGTAGCCATCTTCACAAGACGTTGCTCTAACAGTACCTTCAGGGTTTAGCATCGCCTACCTCGACCGGCTCCAACAGCTCGTTTAATAGATCTTCGCTACTCGCGCCGCGCATCCTATCGGTCTCGGATAACTCCTGGGTACACCAACAAGTACTGCTGATATTCGGGCAGATCGGTGAAGCACAGAGCAAACCGCTGGACGGCACACTTACGGTTAATCACCATCAGGGCCGCTTCCCATCTACTTGCTGGCCAGTACATGACTCCTACTTCAAGGCCTTGGTGCACCTGGAGCCTGGCTGGAACAGGATCCGACTTGACTTTGCCTCGCCCAAGGTCTCCTCACCGAACACCTCGGTACCCTCACATGCCTCTTTCATCAATATTAATTACCTCCCATTGTCGCACTCGCCGCCTCTCCAGCTTGCAATCATACTAGGTCATGATTCTCCCGGCACTTACGACGCCCCACCAGAGCGCATCGAGCGAGAAGGTAACGGCCTCGAGCTTGCGACCAAGAAATTCCGCATGGCTGCGTATCTTTGGCAAGCCTTTACTGGCGAGCAGATGAAGCGTTACGGATTCGGTCGACGCTGCTTCCGATTTGAAGATGCCTGGGAACCTGGAACGCTAAGTTACCAGGATTGGGAGCACAACCAATACCGGACGCAGGCCAAAATCCACGTTATACGCTCAAGAAGGTCTGTCGCTGAAATTCGCGACCTAGAACGCGCGCAGCAGTACGGACCAGGAACCAAGAAGAACGAACTTTTCGACATTGCGATAGAAGCATGTAGAGACTACTTCCCCATGGTACCAGGCCAGAAACACTACGTCTCTTGTCTGTTCCTCGACACACATTGGGACACGCAAGAGAACACAGTTCGAGGACATGCGGCTCTAGGCGGGGGTACTGGAGATCTACAGCTAGCCATCTTTGGCTCGCATGCGCTCCACAGCTATCCGTCGAGCATCGAAGAGGTTTTCCAGGCTTTCCAAGACTGTACACAAACTAACACTGCCTTCGTCGCCAATGATTGCAACGAATCTGGAAGCAACTGGGAAGCTGCCAACATAGGCATCGGTGCCCATCTGCATGAGACGGGTCATCTCTTTGGTTGTCCTCATCAGGAGTCGGGTGTAATGTTACGCGACTACGTTACATTGAACCGAACCTTCACTTGCCGAGAACCCTACTCAACCCGCACCAAGTCAACCGGTCAGCGTCTAGTCCTGCCAAACGACGAGTGCAGATGGCACAAGCTCGATGTCCTCCGTTTCCGATTTCACCCCTGTTTCCGCATACCTATCGATAGCCCGAACATCAATGGGGATGGCAGTGTCCAAGTGTGGACAGTCGATGTGAGCCAAGGCGGTGTCATCGCAACCTCGAAATCAGGCATCGCATGGGTGGAGCTGTACACCGAAGGAGAGGAGGTTTGTCACTACTGGAAAGAGTTTCCTGAACAGGACAACCAGTATCCACGACAGGTTGCACTGGAAGAAAACTCGCTTCGTTCTTTGTTACCCAAGGAGAAGCAAAAGTTGCGCTTGAAGCTCGAAGTCTACTCTGCCGGTGGAGGCAAGCACGTGGTGGAGGATTTCAGCCAGCTTTCCAACCAGAAGAACTCCCGAGTCAAGATACCGGACGGGCGATGGGGCTACCGCGGTGGCAAGCTTGGCTACTCACAGATGCAGGGCTCACAGCCTCATGAAGTCATCTTCGATTACGTCCACATTCAAACCAAGCTTTTGCTTAGCATCAAAGTGTACCATGGTTCCGCGGTGGATGGATTGGAATTTGTGTATGAAGACACACACACCCAACTTTTCGGCAAGCGAGGAGGTAGCATGACTGAGTTTGCCTTGGATACCCGGAAAGGAGAGCTGCTGCTGGGCTTTTCTCTGCGCGCTGGCCTTTGGATCGATGGTCTACAAATACTAACAAGCCTGGGGAGGAAGAGCGAGTGGTATGGAAACCCAAAAGGTGGTAGCGGGTATGTATCAGATCCATGGCTTGACGAATACTAGCTAACCCGAATGTGTAGACACACGCTCATCCCTCCTCGTGGCTACACCATCGGCGGCATATCAGGCTCCTACGCACAATGGCTCGACGGTTTCTCTTTGATCATCACGCGGTGATTGTATCACTGCACAACTTGACATACTTTCCTTGTTCCCGTTTGCGACAATGTCGTCGCCTACACCAAAATAGACGTCATGATCGTCGAGCAGTTGCCACAAGACACGATCATCTTGCGTTACCATCGCCCTGGTGGAGGTTCCAGACAAGCTATCTTGTACCTTTCCGGCATGTTTGCATACTCCATCTCTGGAGAGCTTGGCTCCTTGCAGCATTTAGGTCGGCATGAGGTGTATCGGGTCAGAAGCTGTTTCGGTCCTGTTTGATGGAACTTTCCTCTTCCTGTTGTTGGTTCAGGAAGGCTTGAATCGCAGATTTAGAACCATGATACCACAGTCATTGAACTTGACTTTCTCTGTAATAGTAACAATTCGAATAGACTTCTTAATTCACAGGGACTTGCAGTGACATGGTAATTGCCTTTCAATGCTGCTTCCTCTAGAGATGGTGCAGTTTCGGTCGAGTCTCTGTTAGATGATTTTGATAATAGGGTATCATTGTATTTTGTACGCCCGCTAATCGATCATAGCATCGTCATGCGTCTCACTAACAGGACAAAAGCAGCCGATTATCCTCTCTATAGGCCAAAGATCCATTACTTCCATCGTCCCAATCGCAGCGGCTCACATACAAAATGCTGAGCTTCTCACCTCTGCTCCAGCAATCTAGGGCTTGGGAATATGGACGCTCTTGCTAACCATCAAACATCCGTGAAGAATGAACATGGCAACAACAGGGTGGAACTCAAACGCCGTGCCCTCAAGCCAAAGACCCATGGGAATCTGCTCCAGCGTCCAGCCCTTGTACACCCAGTATGCCATGACCTGCACGATACCCAGCGACATGGGAATCGGCGTGCCCTCGAAGTACTTGCTCTTGCCCGTCGCATCCTTTGGCACCATAGCAACCGTAACATTGAACCTCGCGAGACGCGTAAGACCGCAGAGCACGAAGAAGCTCAGGAGCAGGTGGTCGACGGGAGTGCGCAGACCGAGGCAGAAGGCAGCGGCGGCGGGGCTAACACCGAAGGAGACGAGGTCGGCCAAGGAATCGAGTTCCTGACCCATGAGCGACGCCTTCTTGCGCCAGCGGGCGACTTTGCCGTCCATGAAGTCGAAGAAGAGGCCGAGGGGGATGAAGCCGAGGGCCCAGTACAGGTTCGTGTAGTTGAAGGGGTCTGACTGCGTGCAGTAGCGGAGGGAGGACATGATGGACATTACGCCGCAGAAGCCTGGGCATCTGGTTAGTACAGGTTCTCGTTCTTTCGCGTCGTAATTGGCGGAAATGTGTGTCGGAATGGATATCGAGAAACGTACCATTGAGCTCGGTAATGTAGTCAGCGGCGTGCAGAGCTCTCACGAGAGAGAAATGTCCAGCATCCTGCGAGAGGAGCCTTTTTTGCTTGTCCTGCACTGTTCTCCCTGTTAGCCCCTTCATGTCCATATATCGCGTTGGGTTCTTTCGCCAACATACCCTCACCCTTCGCCGGGGGCATCTCGTCCTTGGGCTGCGGCTCTCCGCCGTTCCGTCGTTGCGACATGGTTTTGATGTTGTTGCGGGTGTGTGTGTACTGTGCAATGTGCCGCTTCCGCTTGCTTCAAAGCAAGAATCAAGACAGAGATATCGGGGTATATTGTGTTGCGCAAAGGCAGAAACTAGAGGGGGGAGCCGGGAAGTTAAGGGTCTGGGTAGGGTTGTTGCGTGGAGAAAGCTTGTTGTTGGTGTGCGCAGGTAGGCAGTGACGTGCCCTGGGCAATTTGGGCCTAGATCAAGGCGGCTGGGGACCAACGTCATTTTCGTCCTACGCAAACTTCCGTGCTGCTGCACTGCCCGGCTCAGCCATGTGATTCGCACGTGCCTGCGGCAATTGTTTCTCTACATCGGCAGTTCTTTGTTCAGCATGTCCAAGTCTGTGGCTGTGTCTTGAACAGAGGGGCTAAGATCTGTCTACTCAGCACTGTGCGCCGAAATTGAGGGATGTCTTGCCTCAGCGCGTTGCACAATTAGCACAAAAGCCCTTCTACTATTGCAGTCGCTCTAAACAAGATATTATCTATTACGAGATATACATGGCAAGGAAATTATACAAGAAGTATATCGTACATATACACAGGCCATAAGCAAATGCTCGAAGCCTAAACGCCGCCTTCATGCTGACAATGCCCAAAACCCAATACCCGCCAGCTACATGATTTACTTCCGTCGGCTAACAATCTTGGTGACGGCATGCCTTATGATTGTACCAGCCTTCTCTGTCTCCTTCTTTGTCAGACCGCTCGTCACGCACACCTTCAGTGCGGGTGTAGGTTGCCAGCCCGCATCGCGGGGGTTCAGTCCAAGACCGAGTGGGAAAGACTTGAGTCGTGTGATGAGGACGCCGTTTGCGAGACACTGTGGTTATTAGCAACTTGCCTAAAGATAAAATTGGGAACGCAACGGAGAGAACGTACCTCGTCAACAACTTCCCTGAAGATCTGGTTCTGATCGTCGATGCTCAGTTTCTTGTTTTCAATAACCTCATCTTTGAGAACAAGGAGCATGATGGGGTTATCTCCTGAGCTACTGCACTTAACCCAATCACTCCTAGGGTCCAGCTGTCCCCGCATCGCCTTGACATTGTCCCTGAGTCCCGCGAGGATATCCGGTTGCTGTTGCAACAGACTGATTGTTTCACTCGCTGTTGTACTCAACAAAGCAGGAAGCGCAGCGGAGTAAGTGTATGACGCAGACGAGATGCGCTGATGCTCAACAACTTCCTCGTTACCGGCACAGAATCCTCCTGCCGCACAGAGAGGGCCAGAAAGCGAGCCGATGATCATGTCTACTTCTGCAGCGTCAACGTTCTGCGCTTCGGTGACGCCGCCGCCGGTGCGACCGAGGACGCCGTAGGACCAGGTTTCGTCGAGGATGAGACGGAATTTATACTTGAGTTTGAGTTCAACCTACACAAGCTGTTAGCCAATTCGTCACTTTGATAATTAGCATGGACACGCGATCGACGTACGATCTTTGGCAGGTTCACCACATCCCCAATGTTCTCAAACAGGCCCTCGGTGATGATGAAGCGTCTGGTGAGCGGCTTCTTGGCCTGCTCCTTGACAACCTTCTTGAGGACGTTCTCCAAATCCTCCATATCATTGTGTTCGAACCACCTGACAGTACTGCGACTGATTTGAATGCCCTTGCGCGCAGCGAAGTTGAGCGCCTTGTCCGCTACGATAATATCTCCTCTCTTGCTGAAACTGGGAATCACACTGCTTATAGTCGAGAAGGATTGCGCGTAGATGATGCAGGCGGGGACACCGAGGTGTGCAGCGACGTCGGCTTCGGTCTTCATGTGAACGTCCTGTGTGCCGTAGAAACCAGGGGGGCCACAGGGGCCGACACCGTAGGTGCGCAGGGTCTGAATGGCCTTGTCTTTGAGGACATCGTTGGAGAGGAAGTTGTAGAAGTTGTACGAGGCAAGGTTCGTGACGGTGCGGCCATTGGAGAGCTTCGACTTGGGGCCCGTAGGTCTGCGCAGTGCTCATTAGCATTGGGTTCGGAACACTGGGGAGGGCATTTGCTATACCCAACAATGATGGGTCGCTTCTCGTTGTCCAATTCCTCGAGGGCAGTAGTGGGCGCGACAAGCGGTTCTGGCGTCCAGTCTTCGACCAATTCGTCGATCTCCTATTTCCTCGTCAGCCCGCCATGTCGGTCAGTCTGTCTGCAAGGCGCAAAACATACTTCATCCGTAAGTTGAACCTTCTTCTTGGTGCTATACTTGGGTGCAAGTAGGTAGCGCACTGCGAAGAGGAACAAGAACAGCTCTACCGCGCTGCGAACGGGGTCATTCTGGTAACTCGACTTGATGTAGCGAACAGCGATGGCGGAGCCGGGTATGCGATTGAACTGCGTATTGGCGTCGGCGATGAAGCGCGCAGTTACATTCTGTATCTCATGCAGGTCCATAGTTGCTGTTAGTTTTGTAGGTGGCGGCTATGGTACCTCGATGATGTTTGGGGGTTCACCTGGGCAATGTTGCGGCGACGCCGGGAATGCCGTCCCAAAGCGGTTAGTTCCGTGTGTACAGCGCGTGTGTCTGTTGACCAAACTTCCAGGTAGCCCTCGAGACCTTTCTATAGCCTCCCAGTAGTAACATTTTGTACGCAATTGGGGCAAGTCGAGTTCAGAAGCAGTTGGACAGATGCTCCACCAACCAGTCACCAGTCTCGCATACTTTCTCGTCCACCGACACTACTCTAGACTTGATTAATCCTTCGTCCCTCTAGTACTTTAAACCCTTGCAGGGCGTCAGGCAACCAGTTGAGCCTTTTTCTCGCACCGGCCGAGGCCACGACGCATACTCATCCTACCTGTCCAAGGCTCCGGATCCTACCTAGGCGGGGCGTAATACTCGGTAAGAGAAATGGTTACATAACAGGCCGGAGACTTCGTCTCGGTTGATGGTCTCTTGTGTAATGCTTTTAATGTAATTCAGTGCCACTTCTACGGTGCAGAAGGAGTAGTGTATAAAGACTTGTCCGTTGCCTCGCAAAATAAAGTATCTCCTCTCATCATCACTTCTCAGTCCAAATATCTTCCACTACCTCCAAGGCTCTCACCTGTTAGCCTATTCTGCTTGTGTCATGCAGTTAGCTATTGTTCTCATTACCCCATTAACCTCTATAGCTTCAGCAGGCAACAAGGACCGACCCTTCACCTTGCATGACGGCGCAAACTATCGAGGCGCAACGCATGAGGACTCGCGATGGAACGACCGAGTATGCTGTACGTGATATCAATGTCTGAGCCTGGCCTATGGTAAGTGACTGGATTAGGGAATCTTAATGACAAAGGTGATAAAGCCAGCTCTGTTTCGAAGCCTGGTGACCATTGCACTATCTTCTACCGGTAAGTTAGCATCATCTTCTCTTGCTAGGCATGGAGAACTTATATCAAATACAGGGAACGCGATTGCAAAGGTGCTAGCTGGCTTAGTCGAGGTGACGCTCTCACAGTCCCGGATTTCCTCAATGACCATATCTGGTCGTACCGCAACCCTTACAGCTGCGAATACCCCTAGTGGCTCAATAGGAAGGCAAAACTCCTTAGGATATCTAGGTAGTCCATATCAGATGAGGGAGCTTAGTGGTACTATGAGTCGGAGGCTGAGGTCACAGCTTGGGCAGCGTCTTATACAAAAAATAGTAGATGTGCGATTGAACCACCGCCCACAGGCAACTTAGTCAGTCATCTTTCTTCACTGAGCTGAATAAAAAACAGTGTCATCCAAACGCAAGAGCAACGCCAACGTGACTTCACGCAGGTAAGGCATGTCCCGTCAATGATTCCGAACTTGTCGATGAGCCTGAACTCAGCCTACCATGCCCTCTATGACTGATCGCTAACAAACACGGTGTCTACCCGAGAAGAGCAACTTCTTACGTAGATGTAACGATGAAATGTAAGGTTCATTCAAAGGACGAAGTTGGACCTGTGCAAAGTGGAAGAGGCCCTGTACTTCGCTTGGCCAGAGTAGCGACGGTAAAAAACAGTGACCAAGGCGGTTACCTTGAGCAACGTGGATTTGGCCTACGATACGGGAACGACGACATTGAGGGATGCACGAGAGCATAAAGTCACAGGAAAGAAGGTCGTAGTTGTTAAGACATCAATATATCTATGTAATGAATTCACTTTCTAACATATTCGCCTTCCATGATGAACCAAAACAGCCCCTTCGTGTGTATGTGCAGTCAAGTCCGCGCCATAGGCGGACACCAATGTGTTCAGAAAGAGAGAAAGCAGGTCGATGTAGCCCGCCGTAGAACGCCTAAAACGAAGGAAATGCTGTAGTGGATATTACAATCATTATGGGACCAAGCCATGTCGCCACGCTCATGATTTGCCAATATTGTACAATGCAGGCTGCGAAAGCAGTAAACAACGATTCGCGCTATGTGCTTTTAGTATGCCATGTACCGACGGAATCGGCGAGCGGCATCGTCGGTCGCAGCGGCACCACCGGCATCACCTCCACCTGTGGCAGCACCATCGTTCCATAATGGACACTTCATGCCGTTGACACATGATCCGGTAGGGGTGTTTGTGGTGTCGTTGTTGCTGTATCCAGTAGGCTGCAAGATTGACAGAGGCAGGCCGACGTCCAGCTTGATGTACTTGCCGGCGACGATTGGGCCAACGATCAAGCACAAGAAGACGACTAGGAGGACAAAGTACAGGATAGCGTAGCGGATGACACGACGCTTGCGAAGCTTGGTCTGCTTGAGCGAGTAGATCGGAGGACGAATTTGACGACTGTTACGTGTTAGCGGATGTCAATTGAACGAGTAATGAGGGAACATACCTAGGTCGCAGCCAGAACAGCATGACAGAGTGACCCTTGTCGGCGTATGGGATCAACAAGATCGGAAGCATGAAGAAGAGGAGCACGTGGCCGAGAATGAAGTCGGCGGCGAACATGCCCAACTCTGTGATCTTGCAGAGGAATTCACGACCAGGCTGAGAGATTGTGTGCCATCCCATAGTGTACCACTTTCCGGTCCACCAGGCAATGTTGGCGGTGTCGGCCTTGAACTCACGAGTGAGAGCAAGCGTGATGATCAGCTTGAAGAAGAATCGCTGGATAGCGACGACGGCGATCATACCAGACAAAGCTCTGGGGAAGCTGAAGCCCTCAAGGAACATGAGAACAACAAAGAAGATGAGGAGGACGAGAACAGCAATGGCGTGCGCAATAGCAGCCAGAACGGCACCGAATTTCTTGCAGCACATGCTGAGCAGAGGACCCGCGCAACAAGCCAAAGCGAAGAAGCCCAGAAGAGCACCAGCGTTGATGGCGATGGGACCGAATGCAATGAGTCCGATACGGACCAGAGCACCGGACGCCTCGGGATCCTTCAGGTCTGTCTTTTCATCTTCCTTGTGGCGGTTGTCATTGACACCAGTCTGAGCGTTGATGAACAAGTAGGGGATGATGGTAATGGCGACCAAGACAAGGGGTCCGAATACCTCGCTCATGAAGATGTTCGTGAAGTGAGCACGAGGGACATCACCGGAAAGTTTGGCGGACGGGTCACCGAGAGCCTTGCGCTTGAAACCAGTGATACGCGTACGCGAGAGACGGCAGTATCCGATCCAGGAGGCACTGTGCGAGCGGGTGTTTCCGCGAGACAGCCAGCGAAGGTACTCCCTGTAGTCGATGAAGAAGTCGTCCCATGAGAATTGATGGGGGTTGAAGAGGAACGGTGCCAAGCACAGGGACAACAGGGATGCCCAGAAGTAGATGAGCCATGGACCCCAAACTGTGATGGTGGCAAACAGCAGCATCATCAACGAACGGGCTCCAATGTAGATGGAAGGACCGGCGAATCGTGAGAACAAGATACCGAAGGGGATACGAGCTGTCGCGAAACCACGTCCGGTACCAATGTAACGAGCACCACCATAGGACAAGTTGGTGTGGAGAGCGTTGGCATAGATCTGAGTGACGAAAACCTCGAAGAAGGGCGATCCGGAGGAGAAGTGCTTTGCGAGACGAGTCGCGGCACGCCAGAAACCACGCTCAGTCAACTCTTGGACCACAAGGGGAACGAAAGAGATGAAGAACACGATGAAGATGGAAACGATACAACGCGAGACCCAGTCGAATACGGGTACCAAGTTGGCGCAACCGTTGGGCCACTGAGGATCGGTGATGGGAAGGTCCTTGTTGAAGTGGCAGAGAATCGTCTCGTGGTTGAGCGCGCCGAGGTGGATGAGTACGAACATGAAGCACTGGACCGACAACATAATGAACATGTTGTTGATGTGGAAACCGGGATGGGCGTAGTAGAAGGACAGGAATCGGTCGAGAGGAAGTTGAGTACCCATGTAGTAGTACTCGCGAGACAACATCTGCTCTCCCATACCTGTACCAATCTTGGTGGTGAAGTTGAGGACGGAACCAAAACCAAGATCACGACCCTTACCACACTGGTAGTACTCGCAGTGCTTTATGCGACCACCGCGGAGAAGAGCGTTCATACCAGCGTAAATATCCTCGTTGAGATGGAGACCCTTCTGCGCTTTGGAGACACCACCACGTGTTGTCATGAAGATACCGTTGAGGAAATCAGGATGACCGTAATGGAGCTTACCACCGATCTGGGCCAAAGTACGAGCAAACATAGTACCGAACGTCTGCTCCTTTCCGGCAGCGATGTCACCAAGGATACCAATGTTCTCGGAGAAAATGTATTCACGGGCTCCGAGAATGGCGACAGGGTTGAAGTTGGAGCTGGGAAGGCCAGGAGTGTAAGGTGAGACATTGTCAGTGGTCATCTCTTCGAACTCAGCGAGGACGCTGCGAATCTTCAGGCACTCTTCAAGGTAGTTGTCTTGGTTGGCGTCGATGAGCTGGATGTACTCTCCTCGGTAGAAGATGATGGAGTGGTTCTGGTTGTCGGACTTGCCATCACCAAGAATTGGGTTGCCGGAGAGTTGAATGCGGAACTTGGGACGACGCATGCCGTTGTCCATGAGCTCAGAGTGACCATCGATGAGAGCAGAGTAGATACGCGGTTCCTCGCCCTCGTTCATAGGAGGCTCCTCATCCAGATAGGCAATTTGAAGGTCGGGGTATGCACGGAGGAGGAACTCGGTGTTCTCGCGTTCTTCCTTGCTGAACTTGGCGTAACGTTGCATAGATACACAGATCTTGTACTTGCGCCTAGCCATACGCTCGAGTTCACGCTCAAGCTTGTCAGAGTTGCCACCGAACATTTGGACGACTTCAGGGTTCTCTACGCGGTAGAGAAGCTTGATAGCGCGGCTGTAGTTCATGAAACCAGAGATGGTACGGTAAAGAGTCTGCGAACGAAGAGAAGCCCAGATACGAGTGCGGAGGGTGTATTCAGGCGCGGCGGACTTGAAACCAATGCAGTAGAAAGGAAGATCGTCAATCTTGC